TTAGCTAGTTATTTTTGAGGTGGGGCGCAAGATTAGACAAATTTCAAAAAGAGGGCGCGGCATAAAAAGTTTGAGAACCACGGCTCTAAAATATGTTCCAAATGACCTGGGTTTTCTTTTTTAAGGTCATCCTTCATGAAGGATTTCTGTGTGTCGTAAAAATCTTGAATGCCGAACCTATTAGGTTAAACGGTCATTAGTTATGCAAATAACATATGTTTGTTGGTCACCGGGGAAAACGCATAATTATGTCGATAATTTTGATGACTTGATTGACTTACGAGAAGTTTAGAATGTGGTGTACAGCGTGTCGCTCGGGAACGACACTTAGAAAGAATATAGATAGGGTAAACGATCATGCTCAACTTTTGGAACTGATATTGAAAATATAAGTAGAAGGCTGATCTGGTTCGGCACATTTTAAGAAAATGTATTCAAAAGCGTAGCCAGTCCAAAATATTTTTTTAAGGTGAGGGGGAATTTATTTTATCGTATAATGACGTAATACGATAGTCACTCGTGCTCCCGAAGTATGCGCACCAAGATGGCGTACAACCTGAACATAGTATGTGTACCAGGTTAGGGTTATCAGGTTGTGTGACATCCTGGTGCACAAACTTCTGGAGCGCCCACTCGTGTCCTTTGCTCGGAACAATCCAAGATATAAGAAGATATATATGAATGTATTCGAAACTTTGCGGCGAACAAAGGTAGATAAACCGCTCCGGTGCACAAAAAGAGACTATTTGGTTAGGATTGACTTTGAAGGGACTTACAAAAAGAATACAGATATAAAAATACGACCTGTTATGAAATGTTCAGAAATAGTCTAATCTAGCGCGATTATGGATGTTTTCATTGGTTCTTCACAGATATTCAAGCATAATCTCGACGCCTCAAGATACAGGACCGATTATTCTTATGTTTCATGTTTTAAAATTTTTTTCTGAATTTATGTGCTTTGTGTCCTATTTTTGAACCGCGAGGGAGGTAAACGTAGCCAATGTAGTCTAGTACAGAATGTTCCCCATTTTTTCATTTTAGAGAGGGTTTTTTTGGTAGATATTTTATTATTTGAAACTTGAAGAAGGGAGTTATGTATTTGACTGATTGTCTGCGCATTTTTGCACTTATTTTTCAGAATTTCTGCCCGTTGTGCCATTTTTTGTACTCTGGCGCAGATAAATAAAGAATTATCATTCGCTATGGATTCAGTTTCTCTTGGACTAACTACTTAACCTGCTATGCTTTTGTGCCGGCAGATACGTATGCTTACAATGCGCGGATTATCTTTATTACTAATTATTTACCATATATGCATATGTGCTGGTATGCACCAGTTAACCAGCTCTCTCTCTCTCTCTCTTATACTCATTATTTATAATCCATTTTGCATAAGTATACATTACGCATGCAAACGGCATATGTTCCATGGCCTACTGGGAAAAGTTTTTCATTGACTCATTACCTTGGAATATTTAAGTTTGCAAATCATATGCTTTTCCGAAATCCTTGATGGCATTGCGGTTTGCTAGTGTTAAACAAGTTTTGTTGTTTCTTATTCCTAAATGTCGATAATTTTGAAAATAAAATGATCATGCTATTCAAATAAAGTTGAAGAATATTGCTGCACGCTAACACGAATAAAATTGTGTAATGTTTCTTTAACGTTCCGAAACTAAAATGATAAATATTGTTGATATTAACGTTGAGAGAGAATTGCTGTTGACTAGATTTGCCCAGCTCAAGGGTTCCCAAATTGATTAATTTTGAGTGTGTCGCAAAATATTAATCCTTTTGGCAAGTACTTATTGCTTACTTGGCCGCATTTAAGACTTATAATAAAATGATTTAATCTGTTTAAATTCGCATTCGACTATAACAGATTTTTAGATTAGTTATGATCGTTTATGTCAGGATTTCCCAAACTTTCTGATGATCGGTACGCTCCGGACAATTTAAGATTCGCTCTCGAAATTGTACTGCGTGATGTGACTGGGCATATGCTGTCATGTGAAGTGCAAAAGTAGTCTTGTTAGTGACTATAGTTGTAGTTAAAGCTTCTAATTGGGTAAAATGTGAATCTCAAGGCGTTCTCCGAATTAGGTTTGGAAATTTTTAAAAATATCATGAACAAAAATAATTCATAGAAGATTAAAGGTATGGAGTGATTAAATATTATACTTAATCTGAGGTAACCCTTGAAAAGTTGGAATGAACATCTTGGGGTTAGTGTACCCCAGTTTGTGAACCCCTAACACATTGCATTAAACAAATAAGTATGTTATTATCTCACTCAGTATTCACCTTGATTTGCGCCCTCGAGTGGCATCTATTCATATTTACCCGTTGATCTTTGCGGCAAATCTGGTATTTGCCCACTTCCTAACCGTACCGGTACCGATGTGTTACCTTTGTATCTCTCTTGTGTATCGATATAGTTATTCGATAATCCCTTATTAGTAGAGATGAGAGAATAATTATGCAAAGATAGCGAGAAAATGGCGACATATGTCACGATCGCGAAGATAATTAAGTCGATAATGTAAACAGTTTATGCGCTGAATAGAGAGAGATAAATTATACTTTCGTTAAACGGTTATTAGTTTGCAATCTGCTAGTAACGATAAAACTTTTTTATTTTTCAACTAAAATTGGGAAGAGTGAAGATAGAATAGTTGCAAACAATCATTGGTGCATTAGGATTTAGATATGTTTGGTAAAAGCAAGGTCTTTCAGCTGAAAGTGGAAAAGGTGCTTGCGGAAGAGATGCAAGTTTGCTTAAGTAGAAAAAGTACTGATAGAAGAGTTGTAAGTTTGCTTAAAGCAAGGTCCCGATCCCTAAGTGGAGGAGTTGCATGTTTTCTCGTCTGGCTACTGTAACGTTGGGCTGGGCGGCCATAAGTCATGAAAGTTTGTTCGGCGCGAAAGGCTCAAGTAGGGTTGTATAAAAAAATGGTTACAAAAAATAAGATCAGTCAATTGCGCTTGAAGGCAAAAATACGCCAAAATTGAGTACCCCCGTAGTGTGTGTACCAGTTTAGGGTTAGGCCATAATTTTATTCCGATTTTTCTTATTTAAGCTCTATTACGAGTTCGGGAACTGTCCAAATTGTTGTAAATGTAGGAAAAACTATCTATTTAAGAACCACTGGCTTAAAGGGACTGATCGAGAATTTATAATACACACATTTCGTCTGGCTACTGTAACGTGATATACCCGTATCTCTTATCAGTAAAGCATGTATTTAGTGCAAAATATGTCCCAATACACATTTTATGTCTGATAAAATCTGCTTAGCAAATGGAAAAACGTCGTTTAAGGTGTCAAATTGCCGGTCTCAGGGGAATCAGTAAATCTCTGTGTTTTTCTCGTAGTTCGTCTTCAATTTCTGTGAATATAGTGTGAAGAGGGTACTTGAGTATTCTGTATTGAACTGCAAGTAATTTTGTCATGTTGACTTCCTATTTTGCATGGTAGCAATGGTCGCAAGGATGCTTGAACGATAGAGTAGGTGAATAAGAACATAGCTGTTTTCACGATCGTATTAACGTGGTTAGATTCAAGTTTTGTGCAAATATGTATTTACTAAAAAGCATTTTTTCAACTTAATTTTTTATATTCGTAACTCGCACGTACCTTCTTTGCGAGGTCAGTCACCGGGGCTCCCGAAGTATGCGAACCAAGATGGCGGACATCGGAATGTAATATGTGTACTAGGTTAGGGTTAGGCCATAATTTTATGTATAAATACTACGGGAGGCTCTTGGCTAGTCTTCGAACTGATAATAGGACTAAAATAAGGAAAATCGGAAAAAAATATCGCCTAACCCTAACCTGTTACCGATGTTACGTTCCGATGTCCGCCATCTTGGTTCGCATACTTCGGGAGCACCCAGTCACCTTTATTTCTAAGTGAGTGTATAACCTTGCTTTGGAAAAATTCCTCCAAAAATAACATATTCACTTTCGACAAAATAGCAAGTATGTTTGTGAGCTTTCGTTAGACCATAGTCAAACTTCGTACAAAACAAGATATAATTTTATCGAACAGCGAACATTACGAACGAAAGCACATACAGTATATGCTTGCTATTTAGTGAGATTATGTTGTTCGTAGATTTAAATTAAGTTCGATCAAAGAGAACGTTCAGATCGCATTTTCCAAATCGAGAGGAATTGCTTCCAAGAAAGGTATTTTATTTTGTGTTTGCGCGTAGCGTTCCCAATATCTTTTAGGTACTAGTATCGTTATAAGACATTTACATATAAACGCATTACAAACTATTCAAAATTTACTAAATCCACACTGCGTGTTAATGAAGTTCCGCAGTGCCCATAAAAAGTTCTCTTGTCTTTTCTTGTCTTGAGTCTTGTTTAGAGAGAATTTTGGTAGCTATTCATCAAATGCCCAATTTTCGATTTTTTGTAAAAGAAAATTTATCTCATATTTGCGCTCAACTTTATGTTAAACGCAATGTTGAACGTTCAAGGCAAGTTTCGAAGCACTGAATAATAAAAGACATTTAGATGATGAATCGTAATTCGGCAATTGTTGCAGTTTTTGTGCTACATAAGTACAGTTAGTTTGAAGTTTTGAGAAAAAGAGAAGCTTTGGAGCACTACATAATCAGAGACCGTTAATCAGGAAGCTATTTATTGGGTGCTCCCGAAGTATATGTACCAAGATGGCGAACAACCCGAATATAGTATATGTACCAGGTTAGGATTCAGGTTGTGCGTCATCTTGGTGCACATACTTCGGGAGCGCCATTTATTGACAAGTTCCTCAAATATTTAATTTTCGATTATTTTACAGCATCTTATATGTTGTAAAAAGAACTTCATATACTTTATGATCTGTATTTTGAAGCTTGTTCAGATTCTTGTTCAGAGAGAAGTCTTTTAGTTAGAACAATGAATGACAGTTACAAATACTGAATTGAAAAGGCGTTACTTAGCGATTATTCCTTAATTTACCATTTCTTTAATTTTCCAGCTAATCGTTATTGTGAAACAAAATTTGGGAAAAAGTTATTTTAATAACACGTAGAGACAAGGACAATATTGAGCAGAAGCTGGAAACTGGCAGTAACTAGAACTCGTTTTACGAAGGTGGGTGTTGATTTTTATTAAATTTTGTAAAAATTAAATTTTGTAGAGTTGATATCATGCACATTAGTGTCAAAGATAAATAAAGCACAACCGGTGTATAGCAAAACGATAACGATTGGCAAATTATATCGTTTTGCTATACACCGGTTGTGCTTTATTTATCTTTGACATGAATATACCTGGTGGAAATCATGCGCTATGCAAATTAGTGGTTAAAGGCGTCGAATCTATGTTGTTATCGCGGGGTGCTAATTAATGCAGCTCCAGCAAGTTTTGATGAGTTGGAAAACCGTCGAATAATAAATATACACGATTGCTTGAAGCGTTGAGATTGCCAATATGGGAATTGCATGCGACCAATCCCCGCCTTGTTCGGAGCGAAATTGTTAAAACGCTTTTTAAAAAGAATGAACAAAAACAAGCATAAATAAACTTGATCTAAGGTCGCCCAATGAACCACGACTAATGTGTAGTGACTTTTTCATCCATTAACGAGTTGCAACGACATAAAAATTACCGACATTAATGGGGGAAATATAGTTCCTTGGAAGAATTGCGCGTGTAAGATGTTTTTATATTTTAAAAAATTTATCATCTACTTTGTAATAGTTTTTTTCCAATCGATAACAGGAATTTATAAATTAATGAAAAGAGTATTATATAGGGTGTCCATGAAGTCTTAAATTTTTTTAATAATGCAAAGGGAATTCATCGATACCATATATTGTTTTGACCTCACAGATATATAAAATGAATTGAAAATACTTGAACAATTATTGACTAAAAAACAACAAACATGATTAAGATATATTGAGAACTGACTTGATAACAAAATTAAAATCGTAAAGGTACTTTGTGGATACTTTGTTTTCAATAAAAAATGCTCATCTCTGACCAAAGTTACGACCGAGCACTAAAATGCCAAAAATGGGGGAAAACACTTCATTTTGGCCGTAATTTTGGTCGTCCTTTTAGTACAGATAGGATTTTCATTAGTGAATTAAAAATTCTCTAGAGACACTCAGAGTATTAAATACGAATGAAGAAATAACGCCCGTTTGAATGTATTTGTGACCTTCTTCTATCGGAGATAGTGTTTTATTAGAGAATAATTGCTTTTTGATAGGAACTCCAGAAGAGAAATAGATAGTATTTCGGTAATAACGTGTTTGTTGTCTTTCTTCTAGGAAAGATAGTGTTTTCTTTAGAAGTGCTTTTATTGAGAAAATTGACTTGAAAAATGTGCTTTACAAATAGTTAATATGAGTGATGATGACTCGTTTTATATGTAATCGCGACTTTCCGTTGGTCAAGATACTTATTGGAGACGAAACTCTCCAAAAAAAAGTATGTAAACAACATCTAAGTATGAAAGATCAGAAATTCGACTGCAGTCATGTTATGACATATATGATATATGACCAGAATGATGAAAATCGCTTTGAAAAAGAATACCGGACAAGTGTTAAAAAAAAAAACCTAAAAGAATCATATTTCTGCCACGCAAAAATCCATTTCATTTTTAATTCACTAATATTCCGATATCTAATTATTTGATATATCGGCATATACTGCTTTCATTTTCTTCTTAAAAAAGCATTGACAATGCCATGGACTGATATTTAAAGAGCTCGTGACATATGAAAATCTTATTTCTGTCATGCAAAAATTCATTTTATATTCAAGATACTGTATTCCAATATCAATTAATTTACATATCGTTATTTGCTGCTTTCAATTTCGCTCTGAAGAAGGGTATAAACAAGACTATGGACTGCTGTTTAGAAAGAGGATGTTCTGTTTGACTGTCCCTATGGCACTCCATCTAATCCAGCTATAGCGTTTTATTCAAAAGTGTTTATTAATGAACGCAAATCGCTTTAAATGTCGATTTAGACAACTATTAAACACCAAAAACTAAAAAATCTAAAATTTGGCTGCAATCATGATACAATCTTATTCCGAAGGGCAAAAATCGCCTTTAAATAGAAGACCTGACAAGTGTTGAAAATATTAAAAAGAATCATATTTCAGTAATGCAAAATTTTTTTTTTTAGTTTCCCATTATCTAATTATTTGACATAACTTCATCTACTGCTTTCATTTCTGCTCTGAAAATGCATATTCATGGCCGTGAACTGATATTTAAAGAACTCATGACATATAAAAATCATATATATGTCAAAACGCAGAAAATTCAAATTTATTTAAAGGTATATTCTATATTTATACCAATATAATTAGACAGAAATATTTCCAAAATTAAAATCCTTTATTCTCGGGTTTTTGAACTTTAAAAATGCTTTCAACATCTCGGCCGTGAGTAATTAAAATTGACGACGCAAGGAGTAATGGAGCGTAATGCATTAACCACAAATACTCGATTAGTATTATTATTTAGAAAAAAATATATTTCTTCGGTGAAAAATGGGTCGAAAAATCCTAATATTGTGGCATCGCTTATTTTCTGATATTTTCTTTTAATTGTGTTTTTTTCAAGTTGGTTTAGATTCTTGTTTTTCCACTGATTTAATGATCTGTCTTACTTTATTGTGTTTATCATAGGTTACGTAAAAAGAAAATTCTTTCACCTTATTTATTAATTTTGAGAATTCATTGATAATTTGGGCAATCTTAAATAGATTTGTGGCTCACTAAAATTGGGTTAGAACCCACTGATTAAGAATCGTTGTGCTATCCCAATTGTTTCGAACATTGATCGTTACATTCCTTCTTTTGATTTTATTTTATTTGTTAATCTTCAATGACTTTGAATAGTAGTAGTTCTTTACAAATCACGCAATGCCATGTTCGGAGTAAGCGATGTAAATAATCCTCGTATAGAAGTATATTTTTAATAATTTTCACACTAGGTGAAGCCAGTGATTAATTTATATCTTCTATTATAGAAGTAAAGGCGCCCACACGGCATGGATAACTCGACATTCACATCTAGTACTATGCTTTGTGGCTCTTTGATTACTCCACATGCTACAGCAAGAGCCTGTACCGCAGTGGCTACAATAAGTGATGGAAACACAAGCCTACAAGCTCCAAAAAAAGAAATTTCGACAATTTTTAGCCCAAGGGGTTCTCCAATGGTGACGTCATATCAAGAAAATGGAACACGCATGCGGAGAAAAACTGGAAGTCCTAGGAATGAGTCGGTAATTAAAATAATTCATGTATTTCTTCCCATTAAAGTTTTCAATGATTGTCAAAGCGCGATACAAAAATTGAAAAAAAAAAGCACCCGCCTTAAACTATCAATCTCGCTCGAAGATTTTTGAGATAGATATATACGCATATACAGTTAAGGGCGCTCCTATGAGCAGGGGGTATATTTACTTGGCTAACACAGACAGTCTTGAACTTGTAATAGATATAAAATAAGGAAAATCGGAATAAAATTACGGCCTCACCCTAACCTGGTACACACACTACGGGAGTACACAGTTGAGTATATGGTAGCACTACGCAAGGGCAATTTAGAATAATAAGATTCGAAGTATTCTACAATATTCTAGAATAGTAAATTATTCTACATTGCCCATCCTTAAGTTACACTGATGTATGTTACACCAGTCCTGGGAATGACTCGGTAAGCAAAATCACTCATGTATTTCTTTCCATAAAAGTTATCGATTACCGTAAATGCGTGATATAAAACATTGAAAAGCAACAGCGCTCGACTAAAACTATTAAACTCGCTCAGAAGTTAAACTTTTTGATATGATTTTCATTATTTTGCGGTTAATCCAAATTTTCGAGTCCCATATACGGTTGAGTATAAGGTGGCACTAACGTAGAATTTCGTACTTCTTTAATTTTGGTGTTCCCTCCCCCATTTTATTACACTAAGGGTGTGGAGGCGAGCATGAATTTTCTTATCCTGCAATGTCAACACCATCGGGCTCTATAAAATACTTTACGACCTACACCAGTATATATAAAACACACATGACTGTTGCAGAATTTACTCTTCTCTTACCACGCGGACAAAAACATTCCATTACCAATTTTTTCGCGACGAAATAGCATATATACTTCTGCCAATAATAATCCTAAACTCCTTAAATAATTAATAATATTGTGACGTCACAAAATAAAAGGAGTACCAGATTATCTCTGTTTAAGCAGGGGGAAATGATAATTAGGAAATAAAATATAGAACTATATTAAAGTCATACCTGACCGGTAATACCTTTTATAATTTTATGACAACATAATCGAGCTTCATTTAAATAGTCTCGAATATTTTCCCGCCAATTTTCTTCAGCCGACCGCTCCCCCCGTGGAGTTGAAACATCCATTAGAGGAAATATTCTTGTTTCCCCGTCTCTTTTAATCAATATGCGTTAGTTATTTTGAGATAGCTCATGTCACTGCAGAGCAACAATAATACTGTCCAATGCTATGTATGCGATAGCGCTTGTACCCATTATTTTGGTCACAAGAAGATTGTCAGCGCATGACGCGATTGACGCACATTTTCGACGTATGCGTCAATAACGTGGATCTGACGTTGGTTTATTTTACATCTACGCAAGCTTGGTTTTCGCCTGATCAATGGAGGGTTTATCCCACTAAAGAGAAAAGCTAATGGGAGTCACGTGTGGTCTAAATACACAGTTCTTACATCAAGTGAACCAAAAAAGCACTATTTGCTTGTTCGCATGAATGTAAATCGCATATTTTCGTCTATTTGACCGTTTGAACTGTTCGTGTTACAAGCATTTTGTTCTAGTCTGCGAAAAAAAACATTAAAGTATGCTACTCAAACACAAGTTGGTATTTTCTGTTTCATTTATTTATAAACTCTAATTTTCATAGGAATAAATGTTCACAAAAATTTTTTTTCTACTCGACTTTGTATTTTTTTTATGGATTAATGCAGCAAAATTTGAACCCTGTTTATTTAGAGGGTATTATTCTGACTATTGATGACTGACCCTATTGATTATTAGTAGTCGAGAAAAAATTCATTAAATTCGAAAGAAAAGCAATGAAATTATATCCTTTTATGCAATCCAAAAGTCCTTCTGCACACTAACACAAATGTATTTCTGTAACGTTTTGTTTGACCGAGATCAGACTTCCTCAGACAAGCAGTTTATAACAAATGCAACAAAGATATTTCATGTAGTATCTAATGAGACAGACAAAAAAATAGCAAAATAGACTTTGAACGCGAGAAAAAACTTCGTTTTGACACCAAAAACTTATGCGCGCCTTTTTTAAATCGTCCAATGTTTAGCCAACATAATGATTTTCGTAATGATGACATAATGATGATAAGTTCGAATCAACGAACAAAAATCAAAAATTTATTATTTTTTGATCGGTGAAGCTTTCCCATTTTATTTATTATATTATTATAATATTGTGATAATGATAAACTAAAGTATATTAGTAATAATACATGAAATACAAAACAAATTCTTAATCTGCAATTAAACATAGTTACAGTCCAACACTTAAACAAAGTACATTTTATTACGCGTAATCTCTAATAAATAGCATTTACCATTTTACAGAACGAAGTTATGGTCGGCGAAGCATTCCCTTCGACTGAAGATAAAATAAGTCAAAGCCGAGTATCAGACCTCAATGAGCCACCAAGCGGTTCAAAGCCGTCAGATTTCACATTTTTTGCGGGAAATTCGACTCTGCATGGGATAAACCATATTTTTGTTGACGGGAGATGGACACTGCGAAGGTTGCTTTGGGGAGCGGCGTTCTTTACCTCATTAGGACTGTTCCTGTTACAGGTATTAACGTGTTTTTATTCTCAAATTTTTTGAGGAACGTATGGCTCGGCGATTGACGCATCGTGCTAAGCGTTAGGAATATGCTCACCACCGCATTACCCTGCGTGGGTTAGCAGGTTCAAAATTCGTGGGTGATAGTTATGTGCAAGAATATTGATTGGCTCCTTGCCGCCGTCAGGTGGTTCACGTAACCGCTGGTCGGATATCGCTTCCTCCACCATCGAACCTGTGCATCTGAAAACACAATCCCATACCCGGCATGGTTTGGTAACCGGGCGAGAGACCGTGGTTTGCCATATGATGAACCGGTCGTATCCCTTCACTTAATTTCAAAGACTTCATAAACACACTTTATAGAAATTCATAAATTTTTATGATCAGTATAATGTTTCTTCAGACACAACACAATATGTAAATTTCCCATGGGATCGAATACATATGTCGGTGTCAAAAGCGAGCGAGCCATACGGACTACATATACAAAAATTATTTTCATAACAGAGAATTGAAAATATCTCTAGCCCGTGACTTTAACATGGCAGTGTTTGGTGAATGTCCTTAGAATTAGATCACAAGTCGAGGAGCAAATTCGAGCCAAGGGTCATGTGTGTCTCGAAGTCGAGACTTAATTAATAAAGTCTTTACGTCGTATTATTGACCATTCAATTTTATACCTTGGCTGAGATAGCACTTAAGATATTTAACGGGCATTTTTAACCAATCAATCAATCAATCATCATTTATTAGTCAACACAATAAAAGTACATTACGAAAAATATTACATACATGTAACTGACAACAAAAAATACTTCAATCGTGTGACAGGAGTTGCGAGGGACCTCGAAAGGTCTTCTAGCAGCGACACCTACAAAGTTGATTCAGATCAGCGAATAAATTTTATGTAATAAAGATGCTTCTAATTAACAATTATACCCAAATATAGGAAAACGAGTCAACAAAACAGTTTGATAATATACGTATATAACAATTTTGGAAAATGCCAATAGCTTTGAAAAAAAATTCAAAAGTTGAATCCAAACGTTTAAATCTAACATTCTAACTACTGGGGCAGTCATTTTCATTTTCTTATGATTCCCTCCAAAGACTCACCAATCTTGAGCAGGGTTTCCCAAGGATCCGTGGTGACTTCACAGGTGGTCCGCAACGATATGAAGAGTCCTATCGATCTTTAGGATAGGATAGGATAGGATTTACATATTTATCCCGGGAGAGAAGAAAGCCGATAATACGTCTTATCTATATGGCGAACCACAGCCTCTTGTCCGGTTACCATTCCATGTCGGGTATGGGATGAGTTAGTTATTTTATTTTTTCGGAAGCATGGACTTGATGGTGGAGGAAGCCGTAACCGACCAGCGAACATAACCATCCCGCATGGGATTCGAACCTGCGAACCCCACGCAGACTAATTAGAGGTGCGGTGGCGAGCGTATTCCTAACGCTTAGCCAGTTGAGCCACACCGCCGCGCCAAGCCTTTAATGATTTATTCCAACCAAAAAATCATTGCATGTTTTTGGTTGAACGTTGCGGGCGAATATCCTTTGCTGTCAGAAAAGGCAATTAAAATTTGTTGCTTTCGGCAGCGACTAACATGTCTGAGGCAGCATTTCATCTCTTACCAATATGATGACAGAATTCAATGACAATTGCCGTAGAGTCGGACCTACGAGTTTGCTCGTCACAAATTGCTCCAATAATTGAGAAATTGTTCAGTGAAAAGCAACTTCTTTTATCACGTTCAAGTCGTTTATGTTGTCGTGTTGTGAATGAAACATTATCCTTTCTCGTAGGTTATAGGCACAGAAATTGATGCGGCATAAGATGGGGGTCCGTCGAAACTAATATTTACAAACAGGGGTCCGCGAGAAGTTTGGAAAACCCTGATCTAGAGGTCCCCTGCTTCTATGAAAATAAATAGTTTCGCTCCGCTCTTTGGCCTTCTTGACCCTAGGCCAGGGGTGCACAACTCAAATGAGGACACGTGCAAATTTTTCAAAATAATCTTGTCGCGTGCCATGCACAATCGTTGGTTATTGTAAATTAACTCCCGTAAAAGATACATCAATAATACATAATAACGAATATCCATTTATTGAAACAATTTAATGTCCTGAAAAACTGCTGATTTTGATAAAAACATGATATTTTAATGCATATCATAAATACAATTTTTATTTTTACAAAACCATTCGCTTGCCACGTTTGAGCGTATGGCGTGCCAAATTTTGCACGCGTGCCCCGTTGTGTGCACCCCTGCCCTAGGCCATTAGGGGGCCCGAGAGCCCGGTTCAGGAAACCCTGCATTGGGCCAACGATCGAGCGCTAAACAATTCCGCATTCAGGATATTTTATTTCTCATCTTAACAGGGTTACGACAGGTATGCTTACTACGTTTCAAAGCCACATGTAACTAAACTTGATGAGCTTGAAGCAAAAATCATGGATTTTCCCGCCATAACGATCTGCAACATGAACTCGTTTCGATTCAGTCAAGTAACAACAGATGATTTTTATTATGTTGGAAGACAAATATTCGAGCTTTTTGACGATGACTATAATTTGAGGGAGTATGTATAATTTTTTAGTTTTTTTTTGGGGGGGGGAGGGAGGGGGAAGAAGGGCCTAGTCAAAGATCTTGGGTTTAAACTTTACGCCTACCATAAAAATGAAAAAAAGGACTGATTAAAGTTTTATGAACGACCACACGCTTTAAACTCTACATATGGGTTTTTATACAAGTGACCTCACAGTAAAGTCTGGAGTCTTCAACTGAAAATAAGTATTCATTAAAAATTTTCAAACAACCCTGGCACGCTAAGAGATATACAGAGTGTCAACAAATTCCCTTTACAATTTTAATTTTGTTATGAAGTCAGTTTTTGGGAAAATGTGAAGAGCCCACCAAAAAAATCTTGGGGGAGGAAATTCGTATGATCTAGCCGCGAAGCAATATAATATAATATTTATTTTGAGACACGTGTAGACTAAATTATATTATAACCTAACAAGTATATAATTCACAATTACTCGTTTAATGAGCCTATAATTTAATTATAATTAGACAAATGGCAAAAAACGCAGAAAAGTTGATGCCAAGTACAAAAAAGTTAATGGCGCAGAAAATATTCAAATGCTTAAAAATTAACTTCTGATCTGTTGGGAAAAATGGGATTCATTGGCCATCCGTTCGGTTTTTAACTTTCTAAAAACATGTGCGACCCGCCAATGACTTGCAGCCTTTAATTTTGGCCCACGGGCGACAATAGGTTGCCGACCACTGATCTAATGGTAGAGACTTCCTTGTCAGTAGAGAAACGCTGAATAGTCGAAAGTACAAAAAAAATCAACGAAAAAAATCTATTTTTCAGTGGTTACAGGGACGACAAGACTTGGGGCACAGTGCTGAAAAAAATTCAACCAATATTGAGTCAGAAAAACGATTTTCAACCTAGCAAAAAAGATTTCAATATGTTTGAGTTTTATAATCGAACAGGGCATGCTCTTGAAGCGACTATTCTACAATGCCGGTACCAGGGAATCAACTGTGCACGTTTAAAGGATTGGCATGTCGTGAGTACTTAAATAGCGTTCGGTAAATGGATAAAACCGCTAGAATTATTAAAAAATGGAAAATAAATGAAAACAATTTGAAGATGAAAATATTGTGTTCGGAAATGTAATAGATGACGTCACTTATTTTGGTGTGACGTCATTTCGACTGGTACACTATTGGTTGTTTTACAGAAGTAATAGTTGGGAAGTGATAAAATGATGGAGAAGTATTGAAAATTTTGTGTTATATAGGTCAAATGACAGCTTTTTGAGGGGGTAGGGCAAGCTGAGCTTTGTCTCAGAAAATTTGCATAAAAAGTGACGTTACAATTCTATTCGTGGCGTCTAATTGCAAAATTGTGACAATTTACGACTTGCAAATAAATGAAAATGAATTGTTGCTGTTTTCCATGAAGTAATAAATGACGTCATCCATGTGGTATGACACATTTTTAATACAATTCTTTGCTCATTTGAGAAATATTTGGAAAGTGATGAATTAATGAAAAATTATTGGAATTTTTGTTTATAAGCCGGTCGCGAGATTTTCAGGAGGTGATTGGGGCGTATGGAGTGAGCATTTGAAAGTCAGTTAGATGGTTTACTTTAATGGCTGAACCATTAATATGGGAAGAAAAAAATACAGACAAAATGACATCACCATTCTAAAGTTACGTCAGATTCCTGACGTCATAATACTAAATCTCGAAGTCACAACTCAAAAGGTGACGTAATATTAAGTAGATGCTTATGCCACAATTCAAAAAGATACAAATATATTATATAATATGAATATACCTAAATATAAATCCGTAACGTCATAATACCAAGTCTTAGCTTCATAACCTAAAATGGGACGTAATAATAACATGGCGCGGAGGGCTGAGTATTGCTTCCTCATAAAGACTTTGAAGTAGAACGTTGAACGAAAAAACAAATTTCACAATTCAAAACGTCGTAATACGAAGTCATGACGTCACAATATAGCGTAGTAAAATTATGACAGCATGTTGAAGGTGAACTTCAATCAAACCTCGAGTGCTTATCATGATAATAATTGCCTCAGAGGTCAGGTATACGCGCAGTCTATAAAAAACACTGCTCTTTCCTTGTTTTGGATTAAGATTGACAGTCTAGATTCGTCTAATGAGATTGCGTGGCTGAAAATAGACTCAGACAAAACAGGTTAATTTGATTTGTAATGTCGGGAGAGACAACTAACTGCCGTCTGGTATTGAAAGTTTCTTTTATTCCTAAGAGAGGAGCAGGGAAGGTTTAGGTGACTCAATATAGCAATTATTCAGTTTTATTTGATTAATTCAGACGAGAAAGCGATGCTCAAATGAACAAGAAGACTTGAGCGAAGCAGTAGTCTACCTCACTGTTTACAGTACCGGTACCGTCAAAAACTTTTCGAACTTCACGTAGCCATAAGAGTAGCGCGATAAAGGTCGAAGAACCGCTACAAATAATTATTATTAGTTTTGAAGAGTTCATCACACAAAATTTCGAAGTGAAAAATCAATCACAGAGTCCATAGAAAGTTTTGAAATGAATGAAGTAATAGCCTTCTAGTGAAAAATACAATCGTTTAACCACTGACAAAGCAATTGGTCCAGTAGTGAATGAGAAATCCGATACGATAACAAGAAGAAAAATACCAACAGGAACAACAACATAATCCATAGGTCGACTTCGTGTCCAGTAGGGGGAAAGATTGGAGTTGGAAGCGGCATTGACCTGAAATTTTGCAAATACGATAAAAGATGAAAATTCCATTCAAATATTCGTATAATAAATATCAAAACTTTAATAAAAATATAAAATGTTTGGATATAGACGCAATCTAAAACTGGCTCTACCTAAATAGTAGCTCCTGATATTACAGTGACTTCTTCTACTGAGTCATGTATAAAAACTTGGAAAAATCAGCCGATTCTCACGCCAACGCACTAGGATTTACATATTCATCCTCTAGGAGAGGAAAGTCTATACGACGGCTTATTTATATGGCGAACAGCGGCCTCTCGTCTGGTTACCAGTCTATGTCGGGTATAGGATTAGTTAGCCAGTTATTGTTTTCAGATGCATAGTCGTTCCCCACACAAAATAGTTAGGGCACTCCTGTAGTGTATGTACCAGGTTAGGCCATTTTATTCCGATTTTCCTTATTTTAGTTCCATTACGAGTTCGAAGATTATCTGTGTTAACCAAGTGAATATACCCCCTTGCCCATAGGTTTCAGTCCCTTTACACAACCTAATGTAAAATAGGCGACAAAATTAGTTACTCCCATATTGGTACACACACTTCTGGAGCGCCATACCCAGTTAGATTTACGTAAGGTATTGAGTTTAAAAGGGTTCATGTAATCTCTCACTAATCCATGTCTAGACTGGCTTATCTTCTTAACTACTGCAATCCAAGTAGCATTACATCACTGCGAACCCGATACCGGTAGCTTAATTCTAAGAACATCAAGGTGATAAACTCGGTCTGATCGATGCGATTATAACAGGTCTCGCTTTCGAAAATAAATAATACTTTGGGTTATGGCCTAATGGTAAGGTTGTTAAAATTAATCATGTTGGCACTGTAGGTTGAAGATTCCGGGTTGAAATCCCATGCCGTCGCCTCACTTAGAGTATATTGAATGGGAAAGTAGTGTTTAGTTTTGAACAAATTTGTTTATCATCGTATTTAAACGGCATGATTGATCTCTTCTTGTTATGGGCGGCGGCGCGACGGTGTGGCTCAACGGGCTACGCGTTAGAAATACGCTCGCCACCGCACCTCTAATTACTCTGCGTGGGTTCGCAGGTTCGAATCCCAAGCAGGGATGGTTATGTGCGAGAGGATTGCTGGACTCCTCGCCGTCGTTGGGTGGTTCACGTAACCGCTGGTCGGTTACGGCTTCCTCCACCACCAAGTCCATGCTTCCGAAAACAAACAAACAATATAACTAATCCCATACCCGACTTGGAATGGTAACCGGACGAGAGGCCGTGGTTCGCCATATGGATAAGCCGTCTTATCGGCTTTCCTCTCCCCCGGGATAAATATGTAAATCATATCCCATCCTATTGTTGTAAACTGCTCGTCTGAGGAAGTCCGTTTTTGGTCAGATGAAGCATTACTGAAATACATTTGCAGCAAGACTCTTGCATTGCATAACATAGTCATGTTCATTCCTGCTACAGCATCCTTGCAATATAAGCATACGGATTCGCTAGCGCAAAGGCATTGGGGAAGGAAAGGTAGTTAGTCACGTGTAACTTCTACTGATAGTTTTAAATTAGAGGTTGCATTTAAAGAGTCTAGCTCAGCGTGGATAGGACGAAAAAGAGGTTGCTGATAAAAAAAATAGGTCAGCTCGCGAGTGAGTCTCATCAGGAGAAATTGCGTACGCGCACTTTCGTATCCGACGCGATCTTGACAGCGAAACCGGGATAAATCGATTGTAATGCCGGGTGACGCACAGACGCGAAAGGGAAAACCTGCGAAAACTATAGACATAATCGTGTCGTACTCGAAGAAATATAAATGCAAACGCGCAGCCAATGCGCATATGTGTAAATGAGTGAGTGTGTGTGAATATATACAATTGTGTGTGCGTTTATTAAATATTTAAATAGGGATCCCAACCTTAAAAATTTAAACGCTGCAGTACGTAGTGCATTTCTGTGTGTTGGTGTGTGTGTGTGTGTGTGTGTGTGTGTGTGTGTGTGTGTGTGTGTGTGTGAGTGTGTGTGTGTGTGTGTGTTGATTCAATATTTAAATGGGGCCCCCGGCCTTACAGTTTGCATGTTGTAGTACTATTGGACGATGTGAGTTTGTGTGTGTGCATCTATGTGACTATACAAGAGTGCGTGTGCGTGGAAGAATATGCACGAGTAAGTTTGTGTGTGCCGTTATGTATGAGTTGTAAGTGCGTTGATTCAATATTGGAATAGGGCTCTCAATCTTTAAAATTAGCACCTGAACTTTTACGATATCGAACATTATAGTAAAATACTATAAAGCATGCAACATTAACAGCTGTTTTTTGAGATTTAAAATATTCACTTGATTCTAGGTTTTCACAAGATACGGGAAATGCTACACTTTCAACTCTGGCGTTCAGTATTCTCCTCTAACAACATTGAAAGGCGGTATAGACAATGGTCTCGAACTTCTACTTGACACACAGCAAAATGAATACATGCCTGTGTGGGACGAAAACGGTGAGTTGTGAAAATATATTATGGTCATTGTTGTGTAAGACAGGGGTGTGGGGGTGTAACCTGCGGCCCGCGGGCCAAATGTGGTCTGCAAGAAAAAAATTTGCGGCCCGCGAAGAAGTGCCAATTTTAAATGGTGTGCGGCCCGAGAAACGAAATTTTGATTTCGTTCAATCTGGCAGGTGCAAGTAATTCCATGTCTATGGCTAAGTTAAATAAAGGTGCGGCCCGCGGTTTTACTCAGTTATTTGTATCCGGCCCTCCCGTAGAGAAGTTTGCACACCTCTGACGTAAGATATGGAAAATGGAGATTATATGCGAGAGTCGGAGCCGAAAATAAGCTCAAAAAACATTACAATGACTAAGCATTCCCCAAAGACAAGTTGTGTATATGTTTATAACTTTAAAAATAACAAAACTTCATCTTCTTCGACAGACGAGATCTCGGTAGAAGCAGGGTTCAAAGTTCAGATCCACGTTCAAGGGGAACCCCCTTTTATTCATGAACTTGGGTTCGGGGTGTCACCAGGATTTCAGACGTTGGTCGCAACTCAGGAACAAAGAGTAAGTCTTTCCATGAAGTTTTTACGCCCTTCACTTCGAATAAGGATTTGTGTAAGAAACCACTGAGATACTAAATGTTTCTAATTTTGATGTAGATGATTTTGATAATTTTGAAGTTACGACAGAACAGTTCTAAAGAGCCAATTTGCTCGATTAGGCTTTTGGCTATCACCATTAACGGTATTCAGCTATGGAAGATGTTAATAATGTTGAAGATTTAATGTTCACCACCTCGTCCAGGACGTAATGAATAAGAAAGGCAACGCCGAGCCGGTCCTGTTTAAACTACAATAGTTTTTTTTTTGTTTGGACGGGAATGCATTTGAATCGTCGAAGAGAAATTTAATCGCAATTCTTGTCTTGTTTGAAAAGAGAAAGAGAGAGATAATGATTCGTTTTCTTTCCATACAGATCACCTTTCTTCCAGCTCCTTACGGCGAATGTGTGGAAGAGTTCGATAGAAAGAAGCACTTTCATTTTAATGATTACAGCATATCAGCATGCAGGATCACCTGTGAAACCAACTTTGTGCTGGATAACTGTAGCTGCAGAATGATACATATGCCAGGTAGTTAAAACTTTAAACCAGCGGTTCCCAAACTATGAGTCGCGACCCACTGGTGGGTCGCAAAAGGCATCTTAGTGGGTCGTGAAGAGATGTAGGAAGCTTTAGATAATTATACTGGTTATTAGGATCGGTCGCGACTCGAATACGTAAATCTTTAAAAAAACAAAATAAATTGGATTGAATTTAAATTCTAATCTGTGAAAGTTTCCTTTTCACGATCTTCTCAAAGGAACAAAAATTTGCTACACAAAGAATGACCGACCATGTGGCTTTTTTTACGCATAGCAGTTTTGTACACTGTACAGCACTTTTTTGTTTGTTTCCCCAAAATTTAGACAGGTTTTAGATTTATTTTCTTTTGAAGAATACCACTATGATTTTTTTGGAAGAGGTCTTTTGTGTTCATTTATCAAAAAATAAAATTAAATTGTAGAAAATCACGGTATTTTTCAATAAACATTATATAAAAACCGACATCCATTGTTTTTATTTGTATTTCCTATACAAAAATCATGTGACAAATATCATAATTGTGATTGTGACATCACACAATCTTGAATAGTGGTGTGATCTCCACCTTATCTCAGGTTATTGGAACCACTGCTTTAAACAATTAAACATAGATAGGCCTATGTATGCAACCTGCGGCCCGCGGGCAAGATGTGGTCCCCAAGCACAATTTATGCTTCAGAGAAGTGCAGATTTTGAATGTCAGTCCAAAAAGATTCCGATACTTGGGATATTGGTTCTGTTTCATCAATATTGTCCAAATATTCATTAGTATTGTATTGCATGTATATGGAAGCATTATACATTATTCAAATTTTGCAAAAGACAGATGCGACTTGCGCATTTCACTACCTAATTGTACATAAAATAAAGCAAATAACGGAACACAGTTTTTACACAGGGTGAAATAAAGAGTTCCAAAATAAGCAAAGAAGACATTTATCGAAAAACGTTGGGGAACCACTGACGTTTGCTATTTCTTTTCTAGGTAATGCAACATTCTGTGACCCAGAGCAGTACAAGATCTGCGCAGACAAAGCGCTTGACTATTTGATGGCGAAAGACATGAAAATCTGTGTTTGTAAAACTCCTTGTCTGGTGACCAGGTAGGCGTTACATGGTTTTCGAAGCAAGTCTTTATCGCATCGTGCTAAGCGTTAGGTAAACGCTAGCCATCGCGCTTCACTTTGATTACCTTGCGTGGTTTTGCGGGTTCAAATCCCATACGTGGATACGGGGATCAAGTCCATGCTTCCGAAAACAAATAACCGGTCAACTAATCCCATACCCGACATGGAATGGTAACCGGACGAGAGGACGTGGTTCGCCATATGATTAAGTCATCTTATTTGCTTCCTTATCCTCTTGGGATAAATGTTTGAAAATATGCGACGCAAATGCAATACATGAATAATCTCACCCAGTGGCATAAAAAAAACCACGGGATTCGAGCGTGCAATATGGAGCGATAAATATCCCAGGTTTTGTCTGTCTGATAACCAACTGTCTGGTGTTTCTTTTACGCATTTTGAAGCAAAAACGATTGGTGCACCGTGCTAAGCGTTAAAAACACGTTTGATATTATCTCACCCCTGATTATACTTTGCGGGTTCGAATCCAGTGTGGAATATCAATGTGCGTCGTTCAGGATGAGCCTAGAAAACAGAAATCGGGTAATTTGAGACATATTCTAGAGCGAACATAACTTTTGTTTAATTAAAGCATCCTCGATTACTGAAACCTTCAGGTACAATCATACTTAAACAGAAATTAAAAAGTTAAATAAATTTCCCTTCATTTTTGTAGAAGGAGTTAAGTAATTTATGGGTTCTGTTTTGAGGGGTTACCCTGTATTGGCTGTTATGTGAGCAACAATGTGATATTGAGAAATCTAACAATCTCATAATTAATTAATTAATTAACACCGAGGAACCTGAAAACACACGGATTACCATGTGTGGGTTCGAATCCCGTAGGGGGTTCATATGGGAGTCGCAGTTGATTTGTTACTGGTTTGTTACTGCCAACATGTTTATTCATTTTAAATATATAACTGATTTAATATTCCCACGTGAAGCCCGCTTAGCGGCTTTCTTCCCCCCTAAGATAAGTATGTAGTTTAAAACACGCGACAGAAATGTACTAAATGATCAACTTGATGCTGAAACATGATTCGTGAAATGTGATTCGAACATGAAACGTGATTCGAACTTCATGCAGGTCACTCAGAAGTCTAATGACAAGCGCGCATTGAGGAACGATGAATATCCTAAGTTATGTCTGTATGATGAACAAGTGTCGAATGTTTTGGTTACACAGTTCAAGAGAAACACGTTTCCTATGTAACCTCTGATTACCTTTTGTGAGTTCGAATCTCGTGTGACAGTCGCAGTCGTAGCTGTGTTTTGATTACACAGTTTTTGAAGCCAATTTGGATGGCGCATGGTGCTAAGCGTCATGAGCGCCTTTGCCACTTTACTCCTGATCTTTTGCGGGTTCGAATCCCGTGGGCAATACTTGTGTTAGTTGTATTTGAACGACGTCCCCTAAACCACCCAGTAATTTTCTCGTACATAAATATTCCGCTTTATTTTGACTAAATAAACTATTTATTTTAGATACAATCTGGAAACATCGACACTGCGGTTACCAAGCACACAAGCAGCAAGTTATCTGGCTTATAAGTACAATGTTTCTGAAACTTACGTCAGGTGAGTTTGTACTTAGTTACAAATGCAAAGTGATGTGCGAGATAGGCCACTGCAGCGATTCGCTAAGTGCGCCCCTAAATTAACAGAACTGTAATCAATACTAATATATGATTACATATTGTACTTGATATAAATTTTTTATTGTATCTTATTTTAATTAAATAATGATTGTATATGATTGTAAAAAAATTCATCTTACCTTCCAACAAAGTTAAAAGATGTTTTACACCCCGGATGGGACTCGAACCCACAATCCCTGGCTTAGGAGGCCAATGCCTTATCCATTAGGCCACCGGGGCGACGTAACCTTGTCACTATAAGTTAATTACCAACCCCGACCGCATCACTGTTTTTCCAGTCAAGATAATAATGATAAGATACACTCTAATCAGGATATAAGCATGGCAGCTTCATAGGCAATTGGTATGTTTCTAGTCTAAGGACTTAAATCTTGCTGTGTTCTTTCAAGAAAACGGCCTCCTTCCTCATCTTCCAATATGTTTTTTTTTTTCAGAGATAACTTTGTCAAACTGAACGTCTTTTTCGAAGCTTTGAACTACGAAACCATTGAACAAAAAGTTGCGTACGAAGTTGCTGCATTGCTTGGTAAGGTTTATTATACGTTTATTTTTTTCATGCAAAAATCAAGATGCGCTCATAGCAAGATAATGATTAAATAGGTTTTTAATAAAATACCAAAAACGGAGATCGGCTCATAACAGTTGACGAGGACCGTGAAAGAGTCGGCGAGTTATCTAGTCAATAAATAGTCTGAGATATACTTTTTGTACTCTGTACTCTTTGCGGATTATCATCCACCAACCGTTTCAATCACGGTAATGAGTAAACAGTCATGCTGTTGGCTTTGTTATAGGCCAGTGGTTGCCAAATTTTTCTCGATAATTTCTCCCTTTTGCCTATGTTGGATTTCTCCTTTTTTTTAAGTGAACGGAATAATCATAGTGTTACTATTTTCACAGGTGATATCGGAGGTCAGATGGGCTTGTTCATTGGTGCCAGTATCTTAACCATTCTGGAGCTTTTCGACTACGTTTATGAGTTTATCAAGGTGAGGATTGCAAAGTAATTACAGAGCTGGTCTTAGACCACTGAAGCCAATGTGACCGCATTTATACTCGCTTCCTGCATCGCGCTAATTCTAATGCCAAATTATTGAATTTACCAGTAACTTGTATGAAAATGTATAATTTTGATAGGATAAACATTGGGTTCCTTGGGACTTAGGCTTTGACATGAAATAACTAATAATAGACCTTTGGAAACTTCTTTAAGTACTGAAAACTTGAAATAGATGGGTCTGCTAGGAAGAGAAAAGAATTTCGCAATGAATACCGCCATTAGAACAACAGCCGTGCAAAACTATTCATTGGTACATTTCATGTCCAATAAACCCAAGCACTGAAAACTTGAAATAGATGGGTCTGTTATAGGAAGAGAAAAGAATTTCGCAATGAATAACGCCATTAGAACAACAGTCGTGCAAAACTATTCATTGGTACATTTCGTGTCCAATAAATCTAACCATTTTCATTATTTTATCAAGGACAAAACTTGGGGCCGAAATCTACGCAGAGCAAGAAGAGAAGCAGAACAACAGGCTTCTATCGCTGCAACAACATCATTACTTGTTGAAAAGAGCGAAAAAGACGGTAAATATAAAATTTTTGCTAATCGGACGCGCTTCCATTTGGGTACTCCCGTAGAATAGTACCAGGTTTATTCACATTTTCCTTATTTTAGTTCTATTACGAGTTCGGGGACTGTCTGTGTTAGCTAAGTGAATATACCCACTGCCCATAGGTTTCAGTCCTTTTACACGACTTGATGTAAAATAGGCGAACAAATTGGTTACCTCCATGTTGGTACACACACCTCTGAAGCGTCTCTATATGTAATCCTTGCCAATTCTTTAACACAAAAGATATTTTTATGTTGGTTACAGTCATTTGCAATGACGCTCAATGAAGTTTGTCATGCGAGGCTGTTAGCTGAGCATGTTTTCATTGGAGTTGACGCCGTATTCATATTTTAAACTTATCGGCAGTCGGTGTCTTAATTTTGAATTACACCGAAGCTGGGAGTCAAAAATTCGTACTTTCAATGGGGGTAAATACATTTTCTACAGAACTTAAAAAAAATTTGACCGAGAGTTTCTGACAAATGTCAAAATTTCCATCAAAACGGGTCAAAAAAATATCCCAATCTGGAGTGCGCGGTCGATTGTAAAATTTTTCTTCGACTCCATAGACCTATTGCCATGAATTCAATGCTAACCTTCTGCCCAAAACTCTCTGCGTATTCCGTATTCGATGGTCCTTGAAAAAAGAATTTTTTATTATTACACCGATGCCCTGAGATTTTCATTGTGCAAGCCTTCATAAAACGTGGATAAAGAGTTTGGGCGGTAGATTCATATTGAATTCCATTGTCCAGTAGATATTCCAAGACAAGTTTAGATTCAATTGGCATAGTTCACTTAATGTTTTTCATAGAATAGAATATATACGTATATATATTAAATGGTCTACTCAATGAGTTATTTTAAATAAAATAATGCAGCAAATAAATTTTTCAATCAGAACATAACATGAACGCCGATTCATACGATTTTCATCTCAACTATTGGCCCGGAGTTTTTATATATCTTTTCATTGAGTACATATCATAATTCTTACGTTATATACTTTCCCAATTCTTTCCATAAATTAAATAATTTTTTATTTTTACAGCAGTCAGCAACATTATGTCACCGTCAGCACAGTATCACGCGGTACCCGGGACTATAGCTATGACATTTCCGCAGCAGCGACCCAACCATTTTAATGGTATTGGCGCCACGCCACCACGTCACGGCATCCCTGTCTACAGTACGCAGCCACACCAATACATAAACCAGTCACGAAGCATGCCATACAGTGGTACCATGCCTTACAAATCCTCACTTAACTATAGCGCGAACCAAAATTCCCAGCGTGGGTCGAGATACGCTGCAGAGGAGCCAATGCCGCCCCCACCCCCACAGTATTTGGGTCAATCAATGATGACCCTTCGAGGGGATTGTGGCGTGCCTGAAATGGCCCTGACCAAGCGTTACAACGGAAGAGTCATGGGAGATGAAGGGCCCGTGAAACAAGCCTTAGTTACAATGATCTCTTACATCTGGCCGAACATGATCCAAACATAACTGAGGACGACGATGACGGTGATTATCATCCAAGACATGGCAACCATGTATCTCAGCTTGCGGCCTACACAGCTGGTCTGGCAACCCTCCCACATTTCAGAGGCGGTTTCGATTCTGTATCAACTGCAGTTGCTATGGACGACTATCGCCTTCATTCCACCAAGTAGACCGCCAACGACACGCCTATTCCCACAATTTTGATCACTCGCGTTCTCCAACGAAAGTCGACTACTCCAAAACATTGGAAACCGATATACATTAACGTTTGTATTCCGGTTCAAGTTTATTACTTTTACTCGAACAGAGGCAAACAATGACGTCACAAGTGTTCAATGACGACACTTGTGACGTCACATAAACTATTGATAAAGTTTCTTCAGATAATAAACACAAATCACATTCGCATGTCATTGATATTATGACCTCAATTTATTGCGTCGTTGCCATTTGATGACGTCATAAATGAGAACAGACTGATTTTCTTTGCGAGACAAAGTGTATTGCATTCTTCCATACTTCGAAATAAGCTTTCCGCTTATAACCCCGGTGCACGTTTTAACTGAAAATCGGAGCTTAGGATATGGAATAAATATAGAAAACAAAAGATGTACCAAACTTTCAGTGGAGATTGAGTAAGACTGAATGCTTATCCTTCCACTATGTTTATTCGCTGCTAAAGTGAGTCAAGAGTCTTGTGCACTAACACAAATGTGTTTCTGAATTTTTGCGGGTCCAACTACTTGTTCTTTTATATGCCTATGCGCAAGTGAATCCCGTATGCGTATGGATGTTGAAGCAAGAATAAAATTGACTGTTCCATTTGAATCGTGAATCTTGCTGCACGATAACACAATTGTATTCATGCGAGACTAAGTACATATTCCTCTTTGGTCCGTATTCCTATAAAGCGAGGATGCTGTAGCAGAAATAAATATTGCTGTTCTATTTGTTAAGAGTCTTGCAGGGATATATTTGTCTTGGAAAGTCTGACTTTGGCCAAGTGAAACGTTTCAGGAATACATTTGCGCTAGCGTGCAGCAAGACTCTTTAAACCAGTGCTTCCTAGCTCTTTTCGCTGTGAACTTCCAAATTTATATTTAAAGTCGTATGGACTTCGGAGTGTTTATTGAAGATATCAAAGTTTAATGATTTGCTGTCTTAAAATAACTTGGCTGATTAATTTGGGTTCCACGTTGGGAAGCCCTGCTTTATAAACACATACAAATATTCATATTAATAGCGTCAAAATTTTTCGATCAAATTTTGATTAATAATCGCCATAAAAGTGATTTTCCGATGTCGTTGTTTATGAAATAGTACGACGGAACACAATTTTGGTCATGTTACTTTAACAAGTTTGAGTTTTATTCGCTAAAAATGGAGATTTGGAATGTTTTTTTTTATTATTCGTCATTTTGAAATATTGGTTATATCAGACTCTGTAATTGCATATTTGATCACTTATTTTGATAGCATTTATTGTCGAAATTCATTTATTGAATTATTTATTTCTTTGCTTGAGTTCCAGATAAAGCATACATTGTAAAAAAAATCAGCTGCTATTGACGTGGATGCCGTAACGCCATAGTATTAAAGCTTCATATTATAAAACATATGGTCCTCACCCCCGCACATCAGCGTGCGCTGGCCAGTCATAGGCGTAACAAGCCAAATTTTTCAAATTTGCAATAAGATATTCATGCGCCCTTTTCAATACCATTTCACTCTATTTTTGGATGACTTACTGAAAACGGGACATTTTCTGGATTGCTATCAATAATCCGTTCACCAAATGAACCGAACGAGATAGAGGAAAATGCGTGCTTTTATCTGGCTCCGTTCGAAGAAGCACCAGTAAACGTCGTATTACGTCATAAAACAAAAAATGGGCAAACTACGCTCTAGAAGGCTATATATTCATAATAATCATACATGAAACCGCGTGCCCCGGTAACATGTGCTGTGGCGACTATGCCCGGATGCTCAACGCAGTACGTTTCTATAGAAGATAACGACACGCCTGCCATTGAAATGGGCACCGTATCACAGAGTACGATTCTCGTTACCCTTGTGAGCAAGTCTCTGTAATTATTCCTAGTTCAATACAACGGATTTATATTTATCGTATATTTCTTGATCTCGCTGCTTTATCTATTTGTGTAATATTCGTTTGTGTATTTGTGCAGCTTTTTTGCATTTTTTTGTCACACTTGAAATTAAAATATAGATTGTTTCACAAAATAAGTGCAGTAATTGGTAAGATAAGCAGTGGTTACAGTTACTATTAAAAGAAAATTTTTTGGTGCTCCCAAAGTATGTAAGTATGTGAACCAAGACGTAGTATGTTTACCAGGTTAGGGTTAAGCCAAAATTTTATTCCAATTTTTCTTATTTCAGTTCTATTACGAGTTCGGGGACTAACCAAGTGACTCCCGTAGTATTTGTACCTGAAATTATGGCCTAACCCTAACCTGGTGCACTTACTATGTTTCGGTGTCTGCCATCTTGGTTCATATATACTTCGGGAGTACCAAATTTTTTCAATTAAAGTGGTGACACACACGCCGCATAAAAAATGCCTTATTTAAAAAAGGTTCGTTATTTAACACTAACCCTAACACTGTAAACCTAACTGTTTTCATCACGAATACTTGTTTTACAGAAAAATGCTCTTGCGATTTTTCCTATGCGGCGAGATTTCTTGCGGCGAATTTTTCGGATACGCATAGATTTATGAAACGGGGCCATGAATAGAAAATTAAATGAGACTTATCGCTGAGCGAAGTTCGGGGCGACCACTGGAGCTTAGTAGCGCAGTAATAAGGTAGTGAATTCTAATTACGGAATGTCGCCTACATGCTCTCTCGTCAAGATACTGTAATTACAGTTGCAGAAAGATTTTCTCCTTGTAAAAACAGCATCCTGCTTTAGTGAAAAAGTCGGCGTCTAGACCAGTGGTTCCCAAAGTAATTTCACCGGAGGTCAAAATTAGAATCGGAATGATATTCGCCGGCCGGGAGAGAGGAGCATCCATAAGAGGCCGATACCGGTAGCGATGAATAATATTACGATACCGGTATAATTGAATTGTTACGAATATATACGTGCTTAAACTGTGATAATGACGTAACAATTTGACAGTATCTAGAACTACTTTACTTAAATTCGTGGGCCATATTAAATCGTTACGCCGGTCCTAATTGACTCGCGGGTCGCGAATTGTAAACCACTGGGTTAGCCCTTCCAAAGGGCCGCGCACTTTCATTTGCGCTTATTCTAAATCATTGGTTCATATACAGGGGGTAATTACCCCTAAAAAAATATTTGAACAAATTTCAGTGGTTTAAGTTTTAAATTTCAAAAGTTTATGAATCGAGTGACTTGCAAGACATTCCATAGGATGATGATATGGCCATTTTCGTATAATCTGTGATTAGCAGTTTTTTTTTTTTTTTCTTAATTAAAACGTGTTATATATATATATATATAAGTTAATGAATAATATTTTGTATTTGATGAATGAAAATAAACGGCAGCCCTCAAAAATAATCCCCAGTGTTATTTTTCTAAAGAAAGTTGAAATGAGACCCTTATTTTCGGGGAAACATGAAACACAGAGAAGAGTGGGGTAATAGCGCAGCTGGCCAATGTAAATAAACACAAATTAAACAAGAGAGCTATGCTAAAATATATGGACACGTCTAACTCATAAAGGTAGTAACACAAGCGATTCTAGTCACACTATACTATAACACCAGTTACCGGGTACCGCGCAGTTCACCGTTCCCCACAAACAAATCTTAGCGAAGCGAGAATTACATTCGCTTCTCAGCTGTTCTCGCGGAATCGCCACAAGGTTCCGCTATTTTTTATTCTGATCACATCTTCGCACTCAAAAAACGAATCTCTTGAGGTTCACAGACATTTTAGAAATAAATACAAGTAATAGCCTTCTGGCAAAAAAATCAATCTTCATCTACCGAAAATTTCAAAGCAATTAGTCCAGTATTCGAAGAGAAAAGCGATTTCATCATGACAAAAGAGAAGAATAATAACAACAACAACAACATAATATTGAAACGATCGTTATGTACACTAACGTGTCCAAAAAGAGACAAAATCGAGTGCGAGGCGATACATATAATACTAACGTTTTCAATACATTGTTTACGTTATGTATCACGTGACCTATGATTACCATCGGGCCGTGCGTGGCGAAGCGTGCGACAAATCAACAATAGAATCGGGTAATGTTTCATCACAATTAAAAAATATCGCGTCTGACGTCATGCGCTGATCCCATTGTTTATAACAGAAGGTGACATGGTTGAGTGGTTGCGATGTTCTGAACGTTACTGACTGTTCATAGGATATTGTTGGGGTTTGATGGTAAATATTCAATCAATTTTAGTACAGAGAGAGGTTATAATGCAGGTGGTGGCAAGGTTTTGCCTATCCAGACTAGCGACCCACGTAACTGTGCTGTATAAACAATACTTACAGTTTTACAGAGTGGAAAACAATAGGCCTCGAGCCAAATCAAATTTAATCGCAATTTCATCAAATTCCTTGAGCTATTTTTTAGCTAAAACATCAAAATTTGGTTTTAGTTTGGTTGTGGGAGCATCCGGCAGGTCAGATTGAATTACCCAAAGGGCCGGATTTGGCCCGCGAGGCCATGTCAGGCATAAAGGATACTGGGCAGTGGTGGAATTGAGAGGTTTTGCGCGAACCAGTTCTTGTAATGTATGTGATAATCAGCGAAACAGTTCTCGTTTTTTGTTTTAGATGGGTTGGGGCCGCCTCAGCTTGCGACTAGCGTTTCAAAAGTTATGTATCAGCTTTATTTAAAGCGTGTCATGTTCATATAGCTAACGTAGTGACGTAACATACATTTTCTGAAATGAGAGAACCTGTTGTTAGTAAGTTCGATACCAAAAGAACCTGTTGTTCAATCACTGGTATTATGGTTATGTGGAATGAACATCTTTTCACAAAATAGCAAGTTTGTTTGTGATCTTTTGTTAAAACGATTCGATGAAAGCTCACAAATATGCTTGCTATTTCGTGAACAGAGGTTCTGCTGGTATTATTAAGTTGGTATAAAGAAGAAGGTACCCAGACCAATGGATTTATTAATGGAACGTAGTTGTTGTTTGAATAAACATATTCGGTATAACTGGCGAAAAACGGACGGGAGGCTATGGTATACTTCGCCACAAGTCGACAATAATAATCTTTTTTAATTAAAATAATTTTTGATTCGTTGTAGGAAAAGAATATAGAGTTTCGTAATAAATTCGCTTATTATAAAAGATGTAATAAATTGCGTAGCCAATTTCGACAAGAAAGGGCCCGAAAACCTAACTGGCATATGGACTGTCATATCTTTTTCCGTTGTTGAAGTTTGCTTGTTGAAATAATTCTTTTGATAAATTGTCCTCAATGTAGCATCTAATGATCGGCCGATAGGCCTTTGTTCGCCATATGATAAGTCGTTTTATCGAGTTTACTCTCCCATTGGACAAGTATGAAAACACTATTTTAACTCATAGACTTTAATTTGTCTGCTAAACCTTTGATTAATTAAAATAAATACAAAAGCAATGGATACGGAATTTAAAACGCCGTGATATGGGTATGGGTAATCTGTCGCAGTAGACCAGTGTTCAACCTTTTTTTACTGCGCTATACCTTTTACAATTTTTCAATAACTTTGGGTGCTCCCGAAGTATTTGTAGCAAAATGGCGCACAACCTGCATATAGTATATGTACAGGTTGGGGTTCAGGTTGTGTGTCATCTTGTTACGAACTTTGTATCCCTCACAAATACCAATGTTTATTTAGGGCTCAAATAAACATAAATTTTACCACAAATCGTGAAAAAACTAAAACTGATGATACTGCAATATCATCATGAAATCTAATGGGCTACAGCCCGAATGATGTAAACCAGTGGTCGGCAAACTGTTGTCGCTCGCGGGCAAAAATTAAGGTACGCAAATCTTGGCGGGCCTCACATATTTTAGACCGATCGGAAGGCCGATCACAATTTTTTCACACAGATCTGCAGTTAAAATTTTAGATTTTAAACAGCTCGGGGAGGCTGCGACAATTCGAGAACTTAACTCAGTCCGTTTTACTATAAGGTAAAAATTACAAATGACATTTAATATTGTGGCATACGCTTAATAGTTTTTCGATATCAGGTGGCATACTAGATGAAGTCAAGATTAAAACATTTTCTGAATGGGCATCACTAATCCGAGTTCTCGGATAGAGATTTCCTTTAAGAAGATACTTTTTATAAAAATCAAGCAGTGATACATCTCTCGGGTAGAATATGGATTTTATTTCTTCGTTGTATTGCATTTTAAGTTCTGTTGGAATATTTTCTACGCCGGTAAACTTTTCTGCGGGTTGCCAATTGCCTAATCATAATTAAACTGTAGGCCCGTTAGCTGTTCACTAAATTGTTAGGTTATAATACAATCTGCACATGTCTCGCAATAAATTCTGTTACGCAAAGAATACAATCAGCGTGGATTAAAAAATTCATTCATCGCCAAAACCGCCGTGCTGCCACAATAATTCAGTGGAACGTCGCGAGCCGGATTATTTTACTCCGCTGGCCGGATCTGGCCCGCGGGTCGTAGGTTGCCGACTCCTGATGTAAATCTTGTAAATTTGAATGGCGGCCCTAGTGTCAACGGCTATAATGTTCAGCGTACGTAAATAAAGAGACGTGCATGGCAGCCGAAATCATCAACCCAGATAGGTGCCTGCATTATCTATTTCTATATAATCTGTGATGTAACAATGTGCTCAAGTCGGTTCTTTGCGTACACGAAATTTTGTTTTCATGTCCAATTGAAAATTTTATAATTCATTAATATTTAAGTTTAGGAACCTGGCTTAAGCTGTACACCCTTCGTCTACCCTTTCTCAGTTGTATACCCTACTTATGATCTGGTATACCGTATAACCGGTTGAAGAGCACTGCAGTAGACTACCAGTTCCCACCGTCACGATGTCATAAAAATCGTTGAAGATAGTCTTCACGATTTCATAAAAGCGTGTTTCCATAATTAAAAATTATACAGAGCGTTTCAGATGGAATACGAGATCCCACGGAAAATTTAGGAACAAATAAAAGTGATACCCTTCTATCGAATAATAATATCTTTAACCACTGAAATTTTTAAACTAATTTGTTAAGTAGTTAAAGAGAAAAGTTTTTTTTTTCGTGCCCGATACAAGAAAAATTCTAACAATAACAACAACAACATAATAACAAAATGATCCATGTGTCCACTCTTGTCCAATAACTAGTTACATCGGGTGGTTCCCCAAATAATTAGGTTTTCTTCATGAGTTTATTCTCGGCAGAGATAAATATAAAAAAATAACTGATAATCATTATCTTTTTCAGCTGCCATGGTCATTAAAATAACTTTAAGTTAACTGTAATCAATAAACATAGGGTTTAGAAATGGCAGAAGGACAGGAATCGAATAAACCGCCAGTTATTAAAGTTACTGTAAATTATAAGGAAGGTGGAACGAAGTTTGCTGGAGACAACGTCAGGTGAGTGATTGGTGTACATTTTTGGTTCTCTCGTAGTATCTGTCCCAGGTTAGGCGACAATGTTAGACTGATTTTCCCTATTTTAGTTTACGAGTCTGGGACTGTCTGTGTTAGCCAAGTAAATATACCCCCTGCCCATAGGCTTCAGTCGCTTTACACAGCTTGATGTAAAGTAGGCGAACAAAATTAGTTACCTCCATATTGTTACACATACTTCTGGAGCGCCAAATTTTTTATACAAGTTTCTTGAAGCAAGTCTTCAGTGAAATAAGCAAGTTTCACTAGAAAATCAGCAATCAGACTTTACTAAGAATTATATCAATGGTTTTCAACCTTTTTATAAAGCGACCCAAATTTTCTAAAAGAATTACTTTTGTAAAATCTCGCGACCAATGGATATGCTCAAATACTAAATAGCATGTGATACCTCCCTGGCCGTAATAATTTTCTGGTTGCAATATAAATACTGTGATGTTTCTCATGTAAATAATTACTATTGGGTCAACACATAAATACCAAATATAAAATAAACAATAAAATTTACTAGGAAATAGGATTAGTAACTTTTAGGGTTTTGTTAAAAAAAACTAGTTACCCAAGAAATTTTTTAGGTCACCCAGTTTTGGGTTGGGGAAATCTGAATGCGGAAAGACTACTGATAAAAAAAAGTAATGAGCTGACACTGACAAAAAATCACTGATGGAATAATTGCAAGTTTGCTCAAAGCAAGATCCTCTGCCCTTAACTAAAAGTGGGAAGAGTACTGATAGAGAGGGTTTCAATTTTTCTCGGAGTAAGGTCCCTATCTTTAACAAAAAATGAAAAGAGTACTGATAGAATAATTACAAGTTTCCTCAAAGAAAAATCCTTAGCCCTTAACTAAACGTAGAAAGAGTATTGGTAAAAGAGTTGCAAGTTTGCTCAAAGTAAGACCCGGAGCACTTAAATTCAGAAGAAAAAATTGTCTAGGAGAGGTTTGAACGCGATTACTGCCATCAGTTTCAAATTCCCCCTGCCCTAAAGGATCCAAAATTTTGTTGTTTATTTTACTTAAAGAGAACACTTCTTTATTCCGTCACACGTCTTTTAAGCAAACTGGTTGCCCTAAGCCAGTGGTCTGCAATTGTGGGCCTCTGGGTATTTTCAAGAGGGCCTCCAATAAATTTCAATTGCGGCAGTAATACGCAAAAAAAGTTCTGTGAATCCAACATTACATATAAATTTTTGGCAAAGGTTTTTTGTTCATTTATCAAACGATGACACGTTAAGTTCATTTCAAGTAAACAAATTGATTGTCGTTTAGTAAGTTTATTACGTGGGTAAATTCAAAATTCGAACGAAATTGTTGGGCCTTGACACCATTTTCATTTTCCTAAAAAAACTTGCAGACCACTGCTCTAGGCCTTTACAGCACTAGTACGAATGAGTGACCTTGGTGTTCAAAATTTTAAACATTTCTCTCTGTTACAATATACCATGTTGTATGCTTAGTTGAAGATGCTACGTTGTGACAAACCGCCATTTCCATATTTCATTTATTTTTAAGGCAGAAGACGAACGTACAAGCTGCCGAGATTGATCAAGTGGCCTTGCCAACTACACCCAGTACAACAGGTAAACTTCATCATATTGTTTTCAATTATTTCGGGGATACTCAAACTGGGGGTCGCGAGCCCACAGGATGGCACAGCGAAGAAGTCGCAAAGTGTATATCAATCAATTCACACAAAGCACTATTTCTATCGTACTTTCTAGACTCGTGCAAAACATAAATCTCACGATTTCGAAAGAATACATGCGATCAGAGAAACGGTGCGATTATATAACAATGTCGACCTAGCAGGGTTCGCCGGAGATTCTAATACAGGGTGTTAAAAAAGTAACGCATAATTGACAAAAGTTAATAAGAAATGCTACTTAAAACATTCAGCGACTAACACCTTTTAACATTATCAAATTACGGTGAACTGCCATTTAAACATTTCGCGACAGACATTTCTTAACCGTTACTTTTTTAACCTTGCCATGACGATAAATTTACTTTAATTTTGCGTAACTTTTTTACACGCTGTATATTGGAAGTGGTCGCAAGCTTAAACGTTCGGGAATCTCTGGTATATTTGACTACAGAAGTCTCCGGTTCTGACTCCAGAACTGAAATTACGACTCTGAACACCACACCAGCAAACATTTCATTGTACGACTCTAAACCTGTAAAATAAAGATACGGCGCCACAAACCTTCCACATGGGAGAGTAACATCGCTCAAAGACGTCATAGATCAAAGAGTCAAGTTGCAAGTTAAAAAATATCGTATTCAAATCCGATGCCCACAAGTTACAACCATACAATGCTGTGCAGAGCAATGCTGAACCAAAAAGATTCTGATCCTTTTAGCTTCAGGCTTCTCGAAAGGCTTGAAATATAAATTATAAAATTTAACCAATCTTTTTTAGAAAACTCGAAACGAAGTACGCTGGAATGTGATTCGATCCCAGGAAGAGTTTTGGCAGAATCGGAAGAAGCGAAAGTCGAAAGATGTAATCAAGGTTAGTATGCATGATGGGTTTACTAGGGCTCCGACCATATTAGGATTGTAACAGTGTACTCCTGTAGTATATGTACCTGATTAAGGTTAGGCCGTAATTTTATTCCGATTTTCCTTATTTTAGTTCTATTACGAGTTCGGGGACTGTCTGTGTTAACCAAGTGAATATATCCCCTGCTCATAAGTTTCAGTCCCTTTACACAACTTGATGTAAAGTAGGCGAACAAAATTAGTTACCTCCATATTGGCACACACACTTTTGGAGCACCGGCAACAGAACGGGTTTCTGGGGATCACGAGCAAAAACCTTCACTAGGTACATTGCCTTCAAATTTTTTAATGCTTTGAATATCATGCATTCATTCTTTTACTTTCGCTTGCTGTCTTTATTATTCAATGTGACGGACATTATTGGAAGCTGGTATTGTTATTCAAGATGGAAGGCCACAAGTGTCGAAATTTCTTGGAAAGGTACCACGGATCATAGGAGTATGAGAACCACTGACATAGGGCTAAATGTTAATGTCAAATTACAGAGTTTCCAAGATTCGAATTTATTCTAAAGTTTATACAAAGCAAACGACTGGCTTTTTTGTTAGGAATGGGCATTCGCTGATCCGTTCGCAAACCTTAGAAGGTTTGGATATATGCTAGGAGGCTGTTGAACTCTTTTTTTTATCTAGGGTGATTCACGTAACCGATGTTTGATTCTACATCCACGTCCGTGCAGCTGAAACAATGAGCTTGTATAACCCATCTTATCTCGACTACTATACCGTGCTTCTGCTTGTAGGCCATATACTGTTAGCGGTTTTCATCGTAGTCGTGAATTTGTGAAACTACCTTATCATTAATTCTCGGAGATAGAAGCCAAAAGATATTTGTCGAGCCATAATGACACTAATTAAACTTTCTCTGATTTAGATAACAAACCTACATTGCCATCTTCGTTTGCTGACCCCGCCAAGTCAATTCCGGGTCTGAGTTTGAGCGAAGGAATGAAAGAATTCATTGCAATAGGTAAGAATTCAACTCCTGTTTATTTCTTCTTGCCGTGCTCTCCTATACTCTATGGCTGACACGGGCAAATTGCAACCCGCGGGACAAATCAAGCCCGTTGGATAATTCGATTTGGCCCGCCTGAAAAACTGCCACAACCAAACTAAAACCAAATTTTAATGTTAGAAAGCTTGATGTTAGCTAGAAAAAATAGCTCAAGGAGTTTGTTGAGATTGCGATTAAATTTAGTTTTGGCACTAGGCTTATTGTTTTCCACTTTAGCTTTCGTAACACTGTAAATATATTCATATTATGTAATTTTACGTCACACTGACATTATTGACCTTTTGTTCATAAACTTTGCCCGCTCCATCTCTCCTATGCTTCATGTCTTGTAGCATTCAAAGTTACGCCCTTGCTTATATAGTATTGCTGCAATATTTAGGTTGATGCTTCTGTTACTGTACTCAACTTTCTGACCCAGTGTTGTTGAAAAAATGTTCTCAAAAACATGAATAAGTTGGTCCTTCACAGATTCACTATAAGCAAGGCACTGGGCTAGCCAAGATATGTGATATCGGAACTTTTATCCCAAAAGTTTACTCGATAAAATGGCCACTGCTGTGTAACAACATTATTTTCATATTTGCTCTAAACCGAGCCCGAGACAATTTGATAATTTTATAGAGTGTCATTTTTTTGCACGCTTATCTCTGAACAATGCAACGGTTATGATTGTATCAGATTACTCGTGCGTAATAGATATGGAAAATTGATAGGAATGAAACGGTACTCATGGGACGGGACTCAATTTTCAGTGTTTTTCAAACTAGTCCTCGAGCAAAGCTTACCATATATATGAAACACATAATCGGGACATTGGGCAAACCTTGGTTCAATTTCAAGATTGGTATTATTCAACTCGTATGAATATTATTGGCATTCAGATATCTTAAAAATGTATTTTGGATATTTTAACTGCAGTACAGTCGATCTCAGATGCTAAATTGACCCAATAACATAAACTTATACAAAAGATTGCGTTATAGCAGTGATGGGCAACTTCTCTAGTTGGCGGGCCAGATGTGGGAAAATGAAGTCCTCGGTGGGCCGGATTATAACATGAATAGTATTCAATATCTTAATCACATATTTATTCGCTAATGCAAGAAAGAAAATTCTAAATCGCGTTTAAAGTAAAGTTAAACTTTACAAAAAATAGAGACCAAAAAACACATAATGAATCAATCATAATGTACTAATAGTGTAATAATGTATTATCATAATGTACTGATGTACAGTCAGCGGGCTGGTAAAAATCTTGTCGCCCCTGGGTTAGAGGGAGGATAGGTGAAATGCCAGGAGTAAGAGTGAAGTATACAAGATATGAATACACAATATATAAACAAAGACAACTCGACACAAAACAATACAAACTAAACAAATTATTGGTTGTTATCTGAGCATGTATTGCTTTTGTGTTGACAGACAAAATAATCTAAATCTTTAAATCTGTAGCAAACTATCGTCACTTCATTCAACCAGGAATCGTTAGCTGGGTTTGATTTGTAAATTGATCAGAGTTTAGAAGGTAAATTCGCCTCGATTTAACCGCCCTGTTTTATATAAATACTGTTTTTGTGCTGACGTTAAAATAAACAGGACTGTAGAGTCAGAATATTTTCACAATCGACTCAGATTCCAGGTTGAAAACAATTTCTGACTCGGACCTCCGACTTCGGGGTGAACATATTTTGACTCCGACTCCACCCCCGAAGCACTCAAATTTTGATAACAAAACTCCTGGTTATACAAACCTTGGTTAATTAATAGACTTTAAGGGCTATTAGTAAATTTATTGCCTGTCCGAGTCTCTGTAGAAAATTATGACTACTTTTATCAGAATGTATGGAATTGACACTCCAGAGATTTCTCAACTTCGACTCCAGAAGCTTTAAAATACAATTGCCAAAAATACGAACGCCGAATTCACGGATCTGGAATAATCTATGTCTAAATATTTCCAGAGAACTCTCGTCATTTCATTCAAAACTCCAAGTTCGTCGAAGCTTTGGATCTGATTGAAGATCTTCCATCGTCGCCATGGCAACAATTGATGATGTCAGAATGCTACTTTCAACTTGGAAGAGAACGAAACATATTGAGGTGCGTTGATGCATTACAAACAATGGTGACGTCACCACCACGGCCTGATGTTGATGACGTAATCAAATTGGTTGACAATTGCATTGACAATGCCTCTTATATTCGTGCATTGGTTTTGCTGTCGTGCTGTGCCAAGTTGTATAAGTTCGAATCGAATCCGAATATTTCTATTACTGGGCTAAAGGATTGTTCTTTCAAATGTGGCATCGTGATTGAATCTTTGGCGGAAGAAAGAGGAAGAATGAAAATACTTGCAAAAGATATTGTGTTGGAAATGATCATTGATATGTTGAAAGATTTGAGATCAGTATCAGGAGCTGATATAGATGAAAAGACTGATATGGAAGCAAGATGTTTGAATAATGTTGGTTTAAGTTGCTACGATGTTGGTGAATATAAGAAAGCTATTGGATATTATGAAGAAGGCGTAGACTTGATGGAACAAACATTTAGTTCGAACGCTTTGAAATATAAAGTCTTTGGAGATCTTCTAAACAACATTGGTAATGCACATCATAATCTCGGTAACTTTTACAAGGCTGAATCGTTTTATTTGAAATCTCTTGAAGCAAAGGAGAATGCTAAAGACTGTTCCTGTAATAAAGTGAAACAAGAAAGCATAGAACTTACAAAGAACAATTTGAAAATTACTCAGAACCAAATGAAAATGTAATACATTGGTTTTGATAGAGAGGAAGCTCGGTTATAAAATTAAACCAACTATTTCAGGTTCGTTCGTGGTTTAAGTGAGGTATAATCCATATTCCCGAAAATCTTGACACTTGGATGACATCCCGGAAGTCCCTTTAGAAATGACAATTTTAGGTGATCTATAGAATGAAAATTGCTATAATCTTTTGTAAGAGCAAGCGCATGTTCCGTGTTTGTTTGCGATATTAGAGTAATTTCATAATATTTCACCTGATTGTTTCCCCGCATGTTCAAGGTAGAATTTTACAAACCCAAGTTACGGAACATCCGAGTCTTAAGTCAATGGCTGAGTTAATTAACTTAAGTATCGCTGGGAGTTATTTATTGACCAGTTCAAGTCATTATATTATATCAGCAGGTAGCAACCTGCTGCCCGCGGGCTAAATACGTCTCACAAAAAAGGAATTGTGCGGCTCGCGGTAAAATGCCATTTTTGAATGGAGTGAAACGGCAAAAAGAGTTTTTAATTTAGTTTAATATGGTAAGTGTTAATAACTCCAATCCCGTTGCGTTGCGAAGCCCATGCTTAAGCTCATTGAATCTTCATGTTTTGATTATTCTAATGTATCAAAGGGCTGTTTTATGAGATTGTATGAACCTATATATTTAGCTTGTAGTGATTTTATTACTTTACGAAAACAGCGCAAAACCTCAACAACCACAAAATCTTATAGTAGCGACCAATCTAAATGAAACCCAATCTATAATTAATCGTGTATGGGCCATTCGTACCGATTTGATGGTACTCCCGAAGTATGTGAACCAAGATGGCGGACACCGTAACATAGTATGTGTACCAAGTTAGGGTTAGGCCATGATTTCAGGTACAAATACTACGGGAGTCACTTGGCTAGTCCCCGAACTCGTAATAGAACTAAAATAAAGAAAGTTGGAATAAAATTATGGCATAACCTTAACCTGGTACACATACTACGTTCAAGCGTCCGCCATCTTGGTTCACATACTTCAGGAATACCGATTTGATTCAGATGAGCGTCGCGTCCTCTATTTCTATTTTAACTTCTTAATAAATTTTGTCTAAGTTTCTGTAATAAATTTTATGATATGTTTTTAGTTGAACTTATGTAACCACTTTTGGTCTGGGCCGCATTGATAGTACTTATTATATATTTAAATCGATGGAGGCAATGTCCATGAAGTCTTGAAAAAATTTAAAATTGCAAAGGAAAGGGCCACGTCTCACATTCGATTACTGAAAATGAGGTGATCCCAATGATTCGTACCAAAATTGCGCACGACCTGAACATAGTATGTGTATTGGGTTGGGGTTCAGGTAGAGCGTCATCTTGGTACGAATACTTCCGGAACGTCGAAAATGCAGCCATTGCTAACTTTGTGAGGCATAGAATTTTTTTTTTTATTTGTTGATTTTTTAGGTTGTCCCGTGGTATGTGTACCAGGCTAGGGTTAGGACATGATTTTATTCCGATTTTTCTTATTTTAGTTCTATTACGAGTTCGGGTTCTGTCTGTGTTAGCCTAGTGAATATACCGCCTGTCCATAGGTTACATTAACTTCACACAACTTATGTAAAATATGCAAACAAAATTAGTTACCTCCATATTGGTACACATACTTCTGGAGCGCCATTTTTTGCTTAGATGCCTATTAAAATTTGTTCAGTTCGTCAAATATTTCAGTGTTGAATGTTTGGTCTGTAAGATATTAGTTGACTTTGCACTTTTGGAGTGGAAAGTTATAGAATATAGGAGATGGTCATCTAGTACCAAGCGGTATTTCTACTTCGATTTTCGATGTAAATTTTTTATTGCAATCTTTCCATTTACAGTATATAACTTATAGTGTTGATGGCAAGCTGTGTGTGCCTCTGCTCAAATCTATGAATTATTCTTAGATTTATTGCTATGCTAATGACGACTGTCTGTGGATATAGATAAGAAACTGGAAATTATATTCGGCTCGAATCAACGTATTTTAATTGAAAACGATCGTCGCCAGATTTCATATTTGAACTGTTGGGACAGACAAGATATTTGATTGTTTATCTGTTAAACACGACTGATGTCACAAGGTTAGTTATTGTTAAAGATATACTATTCATAAGTGTGACTTCATGCTGGACTCCTTCAAAAGCTGCTGGGTAACCTGTATTATTGCGTCTCCCTTCACCCTCAATTCTGTTTGCACAATGTGAACATTCGACGTGTAAAAAGTAAACTACCGGCCGACTGATTGTTTGCAACTTTTGTAAATTTAATTCTAAATGGAATTTTAAAATCTATAAGGTTCAATTCGAATTCCGTTCCTGTTACGACTTTTGAGACTGTCTTTCTCAATATTTAAAAAAATTTTAGTGTCTCAATAAATTATTCTTCGACTTGATTCATAGTTTTCAACATATTATAATGGGTGATTGTATACGGTAACCCTCCTGCATTTATATGACGCTTCGAACACGGCACCAGACAAGTAACCACATGTACATAGCAATCGTTTGCTTTCATTGATTCCACATCTCATCCAATTCCTTACAATTTAGTAAATGTGAGTGTATGTGAGATGGGGTTAGTAATTAAGATCGTTTCTAACAAATTTTACAAATCAAGAAATCACTCGGTCAATTGCATTCTGTCCTAACAAATTCCAACTAAAAAAATAATCCACCCGATAGGATAGGACGATTATGTGTATTTGATTATTAAGGGCCGATTTCAAATTCCGATGTGATCGAGATTGTGTCTGACAAATCCCATAAACCAAGAAACTACTCCATCCGATAGGACTCTGTTCGATTATATTTATTGAATCACTACACTTATCTCTGTGAAAAATCATAAAAATGCTCAATTAATTAAAGGAAAAATGCAGAAACTACCTTGAGTTACTAAAAAATAACATTAAACTACTGTGAAGTAACAGTAGATTGGATTCATTTCATCACAATATATTCAATACATTTAATATCAAATGACGATAGATTATTTTATTTACAATAAAATCATTTCAACTCAAACTATATGAAAATGCCAGTGTAAAAGAATGAAAATAATGTAAAACACAGTATATTGAATGTATTTTATTGAAAAATACCCAAAGCAAACAATGTCAAATAACAGTAAATTACTTTAAGTACTTTGAAATAACAGTTAATTGGATGCATTTTATTGCAATAATTATCACGTGACGATTACTTGAATTACAGTAAAATCACACTAGTTTGAACTACATGAAAATGAGAGTAAAATCAATAGAAATAATGTAGAAATACAGTAAATGTATGTTATTGCAATATATCCAATGCAACCAATGCCAAATAACTTGAAATACAGTTTAATGACAATAACTGTTTTTAATTACATTTACTTTATGACAATCATATGCAATACATACATACAAACATGGGTTGTCGGCCATTTGTCAGGGAGATTGGGATCAATGACAAGCAAGCTTGTACTTGGGAATCGATATCAAATGGAGCGATTAATACAATCAGTATAATTTGTAAAAGGGGTTTTAAATCGAACCTTTGCCTGTCATGCTTTGAATAATTTGATGGAAATGTAGGTTGAATCAACTATGAAAAGTTAGTAATTGACTGCGTTTTTCTAAGAGTATATGAATATTAATTTTTTTCAAAAGATTTTAAATTTTGTCTATATAATTCTGGAAACTAGGCTGATAATTACTCAAATTGAAAATAACTGGACCGAATAATACCAGCAGGGCTTAAAATGAATACAATGTTACTTCACAAACTTGTTAAAAAAACACAATTTAAAATAAAAGTAAGATTAAGATTACACGAAATATCCAAATAACAATGCAGAAAAAAAAGATACAATTTAATGTTCCTGAAAAAAACTTCTCAAATAAGCATATTAAGAGCAGGAATGCGTGTTAGTGATAAAGAAAACACAAACAGTCACATGATTTAAAAATAATCGCGTGATTTACTACACGGCAGAAAAAATGTATACAGTGCTCAAAATCAACACTTATTAATACATGTTACATATTTATAAAATGCGATTACTAGAAATGGCTGCTGTGAAGTGAATGGGTGGGTACTTATCATATCTGTATTTTCTGCTTGATATCTATCTAACTCAGGGGTGGGCAACATACGGCCCGCGGGCCGGGTCCGGCCCGCGACGAGATTTTGAACGGCCCGCTGACCATCCAACCACTCTGTAATGTGGTCCGACGCATCATTTCTGAAAGTTGCCGATCGCTCTGCGAGCTGGGGAAATAAACAATTGTCTTAGTGAACAAACAATTGCGTTAGCACACTTGTTAAACAAACAATATAAGGTCAAAGAAGAGAGCGTTGTAAACATTCTCCACTACTGTTATATTTGGAATCTAAATAGAAAAAGATTTTAGAAATTAGATTTTATATTAAGTTTTATTAACCATGGAATATCCCAAGAAACGTAAAGTTGACAGAGAGTGTCGAGCATTTAACAAAGATTGGATGAAGTATTTTTTGTAATAATCCGGCCCGCCGAGGACTTCATTTTCCCACACCTGGCCCGCAGACTAGAGAAGTTGCCCACCCCTGATCTAACTCGATCTGAACTTCTAATCAAAAAAGTTTATGGGAGATTAATATACAGAAATTGAATGGCTAGGGATTTTTATTAATTTTTTGGGAAATAAATTGATGAAGGGGATTTTTGGAAGAAGTATTTTGGGATTTAATACGGAGGTCAAACTTTGATATTCCTTCTAATGTGACAATTTTGTAATTTTCATCGAATTAATTTCCATGTTCAAGTGAAGTTCGATAACATTGCTCATATTAATATATTCTACACTATTCAAATTCGAATTGATTCGTTAAAGAGATTTTTAGAATTTTAGTTGCGACATCAATTATAAAAATCTGAATATATATTTGTAAAACAAGGAAAGATGGAGTCTCCAATTACAAGGTTAATTTAGGAAATCACTTTTTCATTTTACGTTGAGTGTTTTTCATGTTTTCCTTTGTAGATTCTATATTTTTCTGTTTCGCCTTATCACTAGGCCAATCCTCAGCTTTCTCATACGCTTCCAGTGATTTTAAATAAAATGATTTAGCCTTGGAATAATCACCAAGATATTTATGCGCATTGCCAATGTTGTTCAAATGACCCCCAAACATCTGATATTTTGCAGCGTTCGAACTAAACGTTTTTTTCATCAAGGACAAACCTTCGTCGTAAAATCCTATCGCTTCCTTGTATTTACCAACTACTTTGTAACTAATACCAACATAATTCAAGCATCGCGCTTCCATACAGGCCTTCTCATTCTTATCAGTTCCTGATACTAATCTCAACTCTCTTAACGTATCAGTGCTAAGTTTTAAACCAACATTCATTGCTATGTTTCTCATATTCCCTCCTTCTTTAGCCAGGGCCTCGATAATTTTCCAACATTTAAATGAGCAATACCTAAGTTTATCAACCGCATTATTCGGGTTCGAATCGAACTTATACAACTTAGGACAACAAGAGAGTAAAATCAATGCACGAATATGAGACGAATCAGAAATACAATTATCAACTAATTTGATGACGTCCTCGACATTAGGTCTCGGTGATGACGTCATCGTTGTTTGTAACGCTTCAATGCACCTCAATGCTTTATCCGGTCTTCCAAGTTGACAGTAGCATTCTGACATCATGATTTGTTGTTCTTGCGAAGGTGAAATATCTTGCAAAGTAATAAGCGCTTCCGCGAATTTGGATTGGTGAATCAATCGTCTTAGATTCTCTGAAAAGACCAAAAATTAATTGAAGTAAACCTTTTAGAGTAATTGAATCTAACTGGGTACTCGAAGTCTGTGAACCAAGAACGTAGTATGTGTACCAGGTTAGGATTAGGCCGTAATTTCAGGTACAAATACTACGAGAGTCACTTGGCTAGTCTCCTTGTAATAGAACTAATATGAGAAAATTGAAATAAAATTATGGCCTAACCCTAACCTGGTACACATACTACGTTCCGGTGTCCGTACGTAATTCGTACCATCTGATTCTATAGTTTTTCAACTAAAACTTTCCCGATTTTTGCGGTTCGGCCCAACTACAATGACAAAGCTTTTTGGTTCGAATTCATCGACTTTGATTGTTCGGAGCAAATTGGGATGGAATGCCGAAGCGAAATGACACGAGTGTATGAGGTTTAGTTTCTCAGGATAATGAAATGACTGGAACTGACTGTTGACAATCTGTGAACATTTATGATTGCATTGTCGGATAGAGATATCGGGTTCAAGCCTTGAAGAGTCTTGCAGCCACCAAATGATTTTCCAACACAAAAGTGGTCTGCTCGTTTACAGCCTCAACATGGGAAACCTGCTTACCATATGTGACGAAATCCATTGCTTGAGTCAGATTCATTCTTGCAATATCATCAGTGACGTCACAGGAGGAATAGCGATTTGGTGTTTGCTCGTTCGATCCTGCGAAAGGAAAAATGTTTTAGAAAACAAAAGAGAATGAATTTAAGATGTGGGTTCATTACTACAATGAATGGAGGCGGTTAGAATATTTCAAGTCATATAAAAAAGGCTGGGCAACTTTGTTGCAAATGAGCGCATTAATAAAAGTACTTTTATGAAGTGTTTTGAAATACCATATGTATGATACAGTTATCATTAATTGAAATATAATATGTAAAACATTCAAGTTGAAAAAATGTACAGAAACATGGTGGGCTGCACAGAAAAAGTAAAACCCAAATTTATTTGACAAAGCAAATTACCTCATTACAAAGTAATGTTCATTTTCATAATCCTCTCCAAAGGCAGGTGTGCACAAAGAGACTGTGGACTGTATTTTGTCCATCTCTGGGCTAGTACGAACCTAGGCCACAAGCTTGGCCAAGAGATTTATGTGTTTGACTGATGAGCTGAGTTTAATATTTATTTAACAAACTCATACTACTACTGAGAATATGGGAAAATATATTAGTTTGAAAACATACCTGATGTTGGAATGACAATCTGACCGATTTCACCAGCCTGGATTTTGGTCTTCTGCCTGGAAATAAAATAAATCAGTGTCATGGTCGGCTCATTTATATGTGATAGAAATAGTATTTCGTTGTTTTCAAATTGAATTCTAAACCTATGCTCCGCAACCTTTTTTAACTTGCGGCACACTTATAAAACTTGTCAAATTCGACGGCACGCCACAACAAACGAATAAAACAAAGTGTAACTTTGTTTTATGTTCATATTTCAATGAGAGATTTGTGGTTGTTGAGCACAATCGCTCTATATTGAGATCAATACGTGAAAGAGCAACTCGAAGTTCGGCGTCAACAACTTTTATGCAGGATCGTTAATCGTTTTTGATCAGTAATAAAGAGGTGGTGTTTCATATTTTGGCCTTGGGATCGGCATTCTTTGTAACAACAACGATTAAAATTAAGGGCAGTTGGTTGAATAATTAACGAGAAAAGCAATTTCTTTCATAATGATAAGTAGAAAAATACCAACTACAATAAGAACAACAACAACACAATAACGAAACGATTCATAGGTACATTTCGTGTCCAAAAATACGAAGTGATCGATTGAGGTGATATGCTAATATTGCTAAATTTTACATTTATGTTATAGGTTCCGTATGCACTTAATACTATATAAATTGGTTATCATGAGCGACACAAATTTATTTTGTAACCTTTCATCTAACCCGAATCAAATTCAATTTTTTTTTAAACCGATATTCAAATTTTAGTCAATTTATAATTGGATGAATCTTTTGATTCATGTTACGTCTCATGTCTAAAATTGTATATATTGTAATATCCTTAGATATAAGTGGCTGCTTGTGTAATGCTTTGTTCGGAGTAAAAAAATATTTGAAAATCATGTTTCTGATCTAAAAATTCACGCAACTATTTGAAAGCTGGCGTATTCCAATCCTATGTCAACGTGTTCCCAACTCGGACGAAATGTAACTATTTCAATCATCGATTTCTTACCCAACATTGTCGCCAGCAAATCTCGTTCCTTCCTGATAATGGACGTTAATAGCAGGCAGCTGAACATTAATAACTGGAGGCTGGCGCCCTCCTTCAGCCATTTCGTTTATTGTCCGCTCTTTGATAGACGATTGAGATAAAACACAATTTTAGTTAATACAAATTATACCTGAAGAAATCGAAATGTATTTTTATATAGATTTATTCAGTCGCGGTTTCGCTGATTCAACCTTCAAAAATTGTGTCATTCAGTAACGTATCTATGGGACATGGCTTAAGTGGAACCGAAAAAAAAGTTGCGTCTTGGTGGACGCAAAAATACGTAAGTAAATAGCGCTTGTGACAACGTAAGATGAGCGTCCGTACTTGCGCTAAACTAAAGAAATCTCTCGCGAGTCATACTATGTGTTATGAATACATGTGCACTTGATCGCTAGAATCTGAATGTCAAACTACTCATCGCAAGGCCCGAGCTGGAACCGGAAGGCCGTGTTTCGCGGGGAAACTAAACGGTCATATCGGGATTCCTCTCACTAATACAACAATGAAAAATTCTGCCATTTCCAAAATGCTGAAATGCATTCGGCATCTTATCTTGCTTAAGAACTTATGCTGATATACGACTATTCTCACGCCTTTGACAAGGCTCTCTATGCAGGAAGTCACTGATTTGCAAAGAGTCACTGATTTGGGAAATACCGAAATCTTTTCAATACGACAATACTTATCTAATAATTTGCATCTATTTGTTTAGAATCTTCGTAAATAAAAAATTATTTTGCGTCACCATAAATGTTACGAAGTCAAAAATGGGTAAAGTGGAAAATGCGCAAAATTACGGAATACAGACGGAGAACTGTTTTAATGAAATGAACAGAATGGTGCACAAAAATTATCAAAATCAACGCGAGGAGATTACTTCGAATACCAATAACATCCTGTTGATATTACGCAATACTGAAACAGAAAATGAAACTCGTAATTAAAATGAAACTTGCAGAACCCTTGGAATGTTCTATAGCTATACTGAGCCTTAGTGCGCCCCGGTTGATAAGGAAATATAACCTACAAGAATCTCGCATTCACAAGTACTTGCTCACTGTACCAAGCGTTAAGTCGGACTAAGACTATAGCACTTGGCGATATAATAAATGCTTGAGGATGGTGGTTTGCATAACATGAATGGATTGACAGTATAAGGCGGAAATGACGATCAGCCTTCTGTTTCTCAGCTTCTATTTTTGTCGATCGTTCCTATTCTTCTGTCCTAACATCATTGATTTGCAGTTTCACAACACGCATTCCCTATTGTTGGGCATTATTGCTCACAATGCCATTGCATTCACATGCTGCAAGAAATCTTGCGCACCATTCAAAGTTGCACCAATGACACAAGCTGTGTTTGCCACACCCCACCCACGCCACTTATGTGACGTCAGTTGGGACTCAGCACAAACAGTAATACATCCGCATCCCACAATGATTGTTGTCGTTTTTCATTTCTTAACTGATGACGCAAACGCTTTATGTATTCTCATATAAAAGGTCTCAGTCTGATCTCGGATGTTTTATAGTAGCAAACTAGCCATACGAAAATGAAGTTTCAACTGTTAATTACTCCATTATACGACAGTTCATGCGTTATTGGTCTTATACAATGGATACCAACCATAATGATCCGTGGAATTCTTACAAAGACTCTCAACATTTGTGAACCACTGCTCTTTTATATATAGATACTTAGATTCACCTTTAACGCGTTTTCATCAGTAATTGTACGCGCCGCGTTTATTAATAAGAAGCCAACAAACGAAAGTAAAAGAATAGATGCATTGCGCTAAAATGTTTAACAAATCTTATTCGATTCACTTAAACGTAATCTTCGTCTAGGGCGCGATGAATACTTTCACTATATTAGGATACGAATATCAAAACTTTGATACTATTTTTGAAGTCTATCGATTAGCGAAATCTGATTCGAACAATTAAAAATTATTTTGCAGTTTCAATTCTTCAGTCGTTAAGGATGATGTTGTCACCAAGAAAGCTATCACAATTATTTTGCAATATTACCTAAGCTACCATAGGCCCATTTTAAATATCTCGCGATATATGAGAACTCGTCACGGAATTACTTTCACTTCGAATGACGTCTTTAATGGGTCAACGATTCCAGGAAGTTTTATTGAACCCGGAAATTGTTCATCGACGTTATGTGATTTTCTGTGATAAAAGGTTTTATTCTGCATAGATTTGTCGACGTATTATTTATACAATATGTTGGTTTCTGATTCTAAGGTTCTATTTTCGTCAACCGTTCCTATTCTTCCGTCATAAATCCATTGGTTTGCAGTTTCACAACACGCAATTTCCTATTGTTGGGCATTATCGCTTATAATCCTATTACATTCACATGCCGTAGCAAGCGCTTCATTCAAAGTTGCAGCAATGACACGAGCAGTGTTGGCCACACCCTAGCCCCGCCACTTATTTTATACGATGCCTTCCTCTCTGAACAAGGATCTATACAAGCACCTACAAATATCTCTCGATACGTATGGAAGTTCTGTTATTTGGAAAAGCCAGAATTTTTCCGATTAGACAACGCCTACTCAAATATAACTCCCTACATAATATCTGAATCCTAGATGTGTCATCTGTGGTACCAACACATTTAAGTCTAAGGCGAGATCAACTCTAATTTAATAAACAAATGATACACATTACGTATATAATACACAAAAAATGCATTTCGCTATATGCAGCATATAAAAAGAAACACGATTACAGATGAAAGTACATTACGTATTTTAACTAATAGAAACTTCAAAGTGCCATAAAGCAGTGGTTCCCGGCCCGCCGGCCAATAACGAACGCGTAACGATTCAATATGGTCTCCCGGACTCTACTGGAATGGTTTAACACTTTGTTATATTTTTTGTGTTTTAGGTATCGCTAATTGTTACGTCATTATCACAGTTTAGGCATGTGTGTATTAGTAACAATTCATTTCGGTATCTTAACGATTCCCTATCGTAATTACCGGTATCGACCCCGTGCGTGCGTTCCCCATTCCTGGCCCGCGAATATCTTTCAGCTTCAAATTTGGGCCGTCAATTAATTTAGGAAACCACTGCGGCATGAAGTGTTTAAATAGAGTCGTATAATATAACGTAATTCAGTCATTGTTAAGCACATTTAACGAGTTTTACAAAGTCATATAAAATCTATGATGCTCATTTTGAAGTATTCGGTTTTGATTTTGGTTCAACATTCAGGGAAATCCGAACGGTTGTTTTCATTGTGGTTGCGGATTCTCTTGCCTTTTCTTCGCTACGAAATAAAATTGTTTGTTTCCAATCGGCAAACGACAGTGTGACAATAACAACATCAAGAAATTGGCCTATGGAATTGAGAATAGGACCAATCCAATCGTGCTTTATAAATCCACCAGTCATATTAATTACTGCTCCAGAAACGACAAACGCTAAAGTCCCAGCAAACGCTCGTTGCATCACAGGAAGCAAGTCTGTCACGTTTTTATTGTTCATCCACTTGGATTTTATTCGGTGTTTATAAAGCGGATGTAGAAAAAGAAATAATAATATTGATTGTAGGAGAGCGACTGTGGCAAAAAGTGCAATCCAAACCAGACCAGTGATTGTGCCACTAACTATAAGCTTACATTTGTAATTTACTATTTCATGTATAAACGGAACTCTAGAAAATATAACCCCCAACGCAATATGCCATATCACAATCAATGCGATGGCGACAGTACTTAAAGTACGCGTGAGAACATTGGTTAAATCTTTCAGCACCGGGTTTTTGTACAATATTCTTTGTCTGAGCCAAAACAAAACATATATATTGAAACTCCCAATGTTTGCTACGATACCTCTGGCTATTTCTTCAATATAGCAATAATCTGGATTCCCATAAAAAGACAAAATTCTGAAGCTCGCGTATGTAACGCTTTCAGTAAATACAAGAAATGCCATTGTGATTTTAACTATTCTCATCAGTCTGGCCGACGTCATAGTTTGCGAGTCTTCTTTTCCCGAAGTGGAGATTTCTTTGTAAATGAGGGCTGTAAAAATGTACATTGCAGTCGCTGCAACTACAAAAGTTACAATTAAGTTGATCATCCAGTACACAAATGATTGTTCTGGAGTTTCGGTGGTTGAATTCGATGAAGTCCAGTTATAAGTCTGACTAGTTGCATTCTCATAGTGTTGTTCCATGTCAAACGCGGCCAGTAATATTTTGAAAATCAAAATATTTTTAAAATTTAAACTTGAAATCGTTGAAGTTAGAAAATATGTTTGACAAACAGATAAAGTAATGGTTTATAAAATAGGCGCACAACTTTTAAATACTTGTATAAATTATACGTTTGGTAACAATTCCCTTTCTTCAGGTCAATTGTTCTTTGTGCACAAGTTGAAATCAGTTTGCATAATGGCCTATATAATATTTAAATTTTCTAATTTAGATAAATTGAAAACAATAAATGCAATGTTCAAGAATTTTAATTATGCATTTACAGCTCTTAATAAGCGTGTGAGGGTTTATGTTTGTTTACCCGGATAAAGCCATGTTAGATATAATCATAAAGCTTTTACAACGCTATTGATCAAACATTACGTACCAATTTCCCAATCATTACAACAACAATAGCCAGCTTTGAATAATCATTTTAATATTGATATTTGTTACGGGAATAGTTCTCGAACTTTTTAGGACGCGCCCCTTTCAATTTGTCTAGCTAACAATAAGCTACGAATAACAGATAGTAAGGTGAAAGTATGTTTTAATAAAAAAAACACGTTGAAAATACGTGAAAAGTAAATATCCAAATTAGGGCGTGCAGGATCATTTTTTTTAGATAACTTAACGTCATCTCAAAAATTGTGTACGCCCCCTTGTGTACGCGCCCCACCGTTTTGAGAACCACTGTATTAATATTTTTTCTATTCCGTGGGCGGATCTTCTCATGTTGCAAATATGCATTTAAAAAAGACTTCAAACTAAGCTGTTTGAAATAACTTAATAAGAAACTAAGTATTAAGTTTGTACCAGATAAAGTGGCGTATCCACTAAAATGGCGTCCGTGGAAACTTTAGAAATGCATCCCGTGATCGTTGACTATCAATTTTTAACAAATATTGTTGGATGAAGATACTTATACGTTAGAATTTAAATAAAAGTACTAATTTAAAATATTTCCAATATGAAATTCTTTTATTGAGTCATTTTACGATTCGCCTTTTTGTGGCCTAATCCAAACGGTGCCAATGGTGCGAGCCTAGATACGCCACTGCCCAGAAAACGTTTATTGATCATCAGCTTTACGTAAGGTTGCGACGCCTCATTCGCTCATTACTGGCAAATCGCAATCGATCACTTAATCTCTATCGCAGTGGTTCTCAACCTTTTTTAGTGTCAAAGCCAAATTCTAAATCTTAAAGTGGTAAGAAGCCGCATAAAAAACAACGCAAATTAATTTAGCAACTAAACTCATATAAGTGTTTGAAAAATAAAAATAAATAAACAAAATTTGGGATAAAAACCAAGTTTACGTTAAACCTTGACTTTTGATTCTGAATTCTGAAGAAGCAAAAGACGCAATCAGGATGGACTATGTAATGAACTGAAACGAAGTCTAAACATTGTGGGTGGCACACAGCGGCGTAATAATAATAAAATGTTGCACTAACAGCTACGACCACATCAATTCAACTACCGCACTCAAGTCTTTCAATTTCAAGTCATTGGATTTCAATGAAAAATTGTCACTAAGGTTGAATAATTTTAATAGAATAATGAGAGTCACAGAAAGAAGAGTCGCGGTTCAGAATTACTTCTCTATGGGCTGATGTTGTCATAACGATATATCATGACGTTTAAACTAATTTAAATTTTTAGAGGGAAAATCATTAGCACTAGTTATTGTTCACTGCACAAATGTTTCTAACAATATCCAATTTCAAATTGAAATATTAATCATAAGTAACATTCAAATTTCTTTTTGAAATGCGAAGTCTCTGCGCCATTCTGACTAAAAGATTGCCAATGTCATTAATTTGGAATTAGAACCTATAGGTGCCACTAGGATATGGATTATGAGATTATGTATCATTTGAAGTTTTTTAAGTGGTAAAAACTGTTGTTCATTATCAATAAGGATAGGATTTACATATTTATTATAATTGTGAAATGATTGCATTGATTGATTGGAAGACTCAAATTCAAAGACGAATACTACAAAGCACAGTCTAGTATTACTGATAATATTACTTCGGAACCTAATACTGAAATTAGCACCAAACCAGTCTAGTTTCTTACTTAGCGGTACGAACCTACCTAAGCCTCTTACCTAGCGGTGCTACTTGTATGTTTTTTTAGAAGAAAAAAAGGAAAATTGGTGTTCCCTTGTAAACGGCATGCGCTTCGATCAACTGTAAAAAAAAAAGCAGTTCTCAATTCATTCACCATTCACAGAGAAATGTCTTGTTTATAACGGAGTTGAGGAAAACTTGTAACTTATAAGACCCCATGCTTCCTCCACAGTAATAAAATAATACTCGACGGAATTCGAACTTTATGCTGGGAATAAGATATGTGATGGCATGTTCATGAAGATTAAAGCAAACAGTGAGGTGAACACCCCCATTCAATCACCTCCCTAAATTTGAGGGGGGGGGAGGCCACACTTTAAATTTTCAATTTGAATATAACTGTGTTTTGAATATCCAGAAAACGGCGCATACACCAGTACAGATAGTCAGCAAAATACATAGCACATGTTTTTGGGTTGCAAGTAGTTTTATCTCCAGTCGCAAAATAGATACCACCCCCTAAATTTGGGAAACATCTCCTCAAAATTAAAAGCGGGGGAGCATACTGCAGCACAAAAGGCTGATATAGAGAAAATGGTATGAAATGAAAAAAAACATGACAAGCAGGTTACAATTTAATTTTGTTTAATTTCATTTTGTGTTTTATTTATGTGTTTTTTTCTAAAAACGATGAAGGGAATGCGAAGCGCAGTTAGTCAGCATGTCATTATTATTTTAACAAATACGGTGTTATATATTGAATAGGATATATTGAATAGACTCAATAGAGAATTACTTCTCTAAAAAAAAAGTACTGTCAAAGCCAGATCGTACAAAACAACAATAGCCTCCGGCGATCTAGCATATGAGATAACAACAACATTTTCTACTGTTTTTAGAGCATTGAGCCTAAACGATAATCATACCCGTAAGTATTTACTGCCTTAATTGAGCTGTAGACTTATACGCCTTCATCTGTTTAATGGCAAAGATAATTTATCTGCTTGGCATAATTTTATCTGATTCATGTTTCATTGGTGCTTTATCATTTGTATAGTACTTTAAGGTGACACTAATATTTTAGTGAATTGAAGCCTAGTATCTGTAATACTTATGCATTTGTTGGCGAGATAATGAACCAACCTTGGGTCGAAGCATAGGAATGATGTCTGAAGGAGTAGGTTGCAGTACAGGTTACGCAAGTAAAAATTCCAATTCTTTATAATGTCTTTGCTGCTGCTGCTGCTGAACTCAGCATTTATGGTGTCACTGACACGATAACTTTACAGTCTTTCGCAACTCCTCGTTAATTGCAGTTGAAATTGTGTATCTGTTTTTTTATTTCTTTTGCCTTGATTTAGTATTGTTTGTGTTACAATGTTTCATGCACGACGAAAATAAATTATCTGAATCTGAATCTTTGGGCTAGTAAATCCTTATACAGCGAGGATTCTGTAGCAGGAATGAAGTTAACCTTATTATACAATTCAAGGGTACACTAACACAAACCAGATTCGGACTCTCTCACGACTATTGCTTGTCTCTCAGCCTGTAAACGGCTTATGAGGAAGTATGATTTTTGCCTTTTTTAAAAATAACTGTTTTTTTTTAATATAAATGTGAGTTTGTTGCTTAGTAGGATGTTTGAACATTTCACTCTTACTTGATCTCTAATTGGACACGTCAGTGTAGGCTACATAACGATCGTTTCAATATTATGTTGTTGTTGTTGTTATTATTATTCTCATGATGAAATCGCTATTCTCTTCGAATACTGAACCGATTGCTTTGAAATTTTCATGGTTAAAGATTGATTTTTGCCAGAAGGCTATTACTTATTTCGGAAATTTCTGTGGACTTCAAGAGATTCGTTTTTTATGTGTCAGAATAAAAAATAGCGACACCTTGTGACATGTCCATATATTTGAGCAAAGCTCTCTTGTTCAGTCATTCTTATGTAAAACAACATCTGTAATTGTACGCCACTGTGTATATTTCTACTAATCTTTTTCATCAATCGTGGCCTACTCAATTTGCAAGAAAGTTGCTTCACACGGTTGACTTTTTGCCACTCGTTTGTTACTGGCTTGATTTGGTAGAAAAAATAAATAAAATTGCGCAATACTGTAGGTTAGGGTGGTCCAAACCCAGGCCCGCGGGCCACAGATGGCCCGTCTCTTCCCGCGTCGCATTTGCGCGAGGGTTAAAAAAATCGCGTTTGGCGTTGTTTCGTCATAAAATTAACCAGAAAAATCTTTTGACATATTGTGACATCAGTAATGTCACTGAATTGACTAGTGTTATGGCTAGCTGAGGCAACTAGCGAAGTTGGATAATGTGTTTAGCTAGTCTAAATTGTTAACTGGCTTTTTATCTTTTTTGGTCGGGAATATATGCTAACAAAATAGGGCACATAGAAAACTAAAAATCGAATTAGGAATCTATTAACCTAGGTTAGTTATGCCTGATAACTAAATATTAGTGTAATGGCCGAATAATATAATTCCTGCCTTTTTGGAAAAAGCCTGAACAGTATAACCAAAAATGCCGCTTATAGGTCAGAAAATTTAGTAATTACCCTCCTGTATATCGAATTCAGTAAAGTTCGGTAATATATCAATCTGCAGTTATTTTGTAATGTATATCGAATTTGGTAAAATTCGGTAATCAATCAATCTGCAGTTATTTTGTAATGTATATCGAATTTGGTAAAATTCGGTAATCAATCAATCTGCAGTTATTTTGTAATGTATATCGAATTTGGTAAAATTCGGTAATCAATCAATCTGCAGTTATTTTGTAATGTATATCGAATTTGGTAAAATTCGGTAATCAATCAATCTGCAGTTATTTTGTAATGTATATCGAATTTGGTAAAATTCGGTAATCAATCAATCTGCAGTTATTTTGTAATGTATATCGAATTTGGTAAAATTCGGTAATCAATCAATCTGCAGTTATTTTGTAATGTATATCGAATTTGGTAAAATTCGGTAATCAATCAATCTGCAGTTATTTTTTCTCTTTATGTCACTTTTTCGTTATGAAAAGTTTGAAACCTTACACTAAATGTAGATATAGTAAGATTTTTGCAGGTTTTAGTGAGTTTTCCAATGATTTTTGCATGTTTTAGCTTGATGAATGACAAATAATTATCAACGTGACAAGCGTTTGTTTATCTATACCTATTCTTGGCATTATTGTGGCCCGCGAGCAATACAAAAATAATAGTGTGGCCCGCGAGGCCGACAACCTCGTACCACCCTACTGTATTTACATCTGTTCTAGGGCAATTGTACAAATCGCCAGACGTCACCTTCCTCACACACACACCTACAACACCCCTGCCAACGCTCAAAATATGTAATTAGCCAGTTTGGGTTTTGATTAGGAATGCAAATTGCGCTGGAACTTAAAATTATCGTTAACCCTAACTGGACAATTTCTGTTTTGTTATTAAAAAACGTATATTATTTTTTCTCTCAAATCTCAAAGTTATGATTTGGGTTAGAAATGCAGATTGACTGGAAATTCAAATTTTTAAATCATTCCTAACACAAACTGAATGATTACTGATTTGCTGTTTATTAAAAACGTGGAGAGTTGTTTTTCCCGAATCTCACATTTTTGAATAAAAATCGGATCTTCCCTCAGATGAGTCCTGTACTCCTGCCAATTGTAAGTAAGAAGCTACCGGGCTTGATGATTCACACAAAATGTTGTTGCTTTATTTCAATTCATGGGAACACTTTAAATTGGCTTATGTGAACACTGTTGTGACGATTGACTATCGTGTCGATATATTTGAGCATTGCTCTCTCATTTTTCAAAAATATTTTTTCCGTCTGACTTACTAATTCATTTTATTTCACAGTTTAAAATGCAAGTATTAAAGATTTTTATATTAGTTTCTTATATTAGCGGTGTTCTATGCCAAATTGTTGACCCAGCTGTCTGCCCCCCACCTGTGTGTCAAGGCCGACCGGGGAAGCGGGGCCCGATGGGGAAAGCGGGACCCCAAGGTCCGCCTGGGGATTGTGGAATAAATGACGCAATCGAAGCTAAAATGAAATCAGGTGTTTTTCTAATATTATTATTATTTTACTTTCTCTCCAAAGCTCAATTTTATCAGATAATACTCATTCGCTACGATGAGAATGATGAGTATAATACTGTAAGCCTAGGTTCTCAAAGTGCTTGATACGGAGCACCAGTGCTCCATGGTAGAAACCCGGGAGCTCCGCGAGTTATTCGTTATTTACTATTAGCTATTCCGTATTAAAATAATGACTTGGCTAATTTTGTAACTGTTGAAAGAAGTAATAACGGCATTAATAAAACTTGACAACGGTGTCGTCGAAGCGTGGCAAAAAAACGACAATTCAAATATGACGTTATCTATAGTTTCAATAAATAATGCCACCTCGCTGCCAAAATTCGAATATATTTTCAAACTAGGAAACAGCAAATACATCTGAATCATTAAATAAAATTATTTCGATTTACTCAGGAACGTTAATCGGAAAGTATCAATGAGTTTTTGTTTTTATAAATTTATTTCCGAGGCCATTCATTGGTATTATAGGGCGCTCTTCGTTTGGATAAACTGTTGAACCAGTTTTTGATAAGGTACAAGATAAATGCATTAATTACCGGTAAAATATTGAAGATATCGCAGTCAATTTTCTTTAAAGTCAGGTAGTCATCGCGGGTCCCGTGTAGTTTTGTACCCCAATTACTTCTAGTGGAATCAGCATGTCGATCCTAACCCACACCTGACTACGTCATTCAAAAATGACGTCACTACGACTTCACAATCACATCATAGAGCTTGCCAAAGTGTACCTGCAATCGACCGATGATAAGAAACTCTAGCTAACAAGAGCGATCTCTTTTATATCGGGATCGTTGCGACCATAAAAAGAGAGAAATAGCTTGCTTGGTTTCGGGTGATCGTCGGCGCGTTTTAAATGACAGTTCGTACAGTTTGAATGGCTTTATTACGTCACTGTGACGTCGTGGTGACGTAATTTTTATATAACGCAGTTAGGTGGGGGTTAGAATTGACATATGCAAAAATTGTTATGATACGCCCACTAGAAGTACTTGAGGTACAAAACTACACGAGACCCGTCTTTGCGAACGGTACCTAGTGAAGATCGGTAATCAGTAATTAATTTTTCACCAATACTGAAAATACGCAACACACCTTTCATTCTATTCACGATTCATTACTTTCAGTTCTAGATGACCTTACGACAAAGGTTCACGAATTGACTGAACAAGTGAAGGAACTAAAACATAAATGCAAAGAACTTCCAGATGCTGAAAAACCGGAAACGGTGTTCCCTCAAGGTAAGCTTTGGAAAATATGATTTTGTATATTGATCTCCAAGGCAAGGAAAGTCGATGTTACGACGGGTGTTACGTAACCGCCAGTCAGGTATTGCATCTTTCTTCAACCAATGCGTACAACTGTATCTGGCATAAGGCTTTGATGGGGTATGGCCAAACAGGTAACCCGACTAGCCGCAGCTATATTAAGACATCAACTCAAACTTATAATACGACGTGCATCATTCCGAAGGCTCCGCACAATAAGCCACGGCTAAGTAGGGAATTGTTATCTGAAAATAGATCAAGGAAGAAATGCGCCAAAAGTGGTTTGGAACCACAGAATTGGGCCTTTTTACATTTAGGAAAAGATGTTCAATTTGACGCAGACTGGCTAATCAGTACAGCATTTTTATAGGTTTATGTCACGTGATCTACCAACGCAAATGCTTCTGGATGGTTTATATCGGAGCAGGAATTAACCACGCACAAGCAAAAGAAGAATGCAAAAAGCAGGAAGGTTTTTTATAAAATATGTTTTCAAGTTTTAAACCAGGGAGGGGGGGGGGGGGGGGGCAATTGGGCAATTACGGCCCTCGGGTGACTGAAGTGTTTCATCCGGCCCACTTGTGTTTGATGAAATCCCGACTCTAGTTTTTATGCTAATGATCCGGTTTCTGCGAGACTAACTACTTATCCTTCTTCTATGCTTTTGTGTCGGCGGAACCGTATGCATATAGTGCAAGGATGCTGTAGCAAGAGTAAAGATAACTATCCTAAGTGAATTAATAGTCTTGCTGCACGCTAACACAAATATATTTCTGTAACGTTTCGTCTGACCAAGGTCAGACTTCTTCAGACATACATAGTTCAACTACAACAAGAAAAGCGGTTAGATACATATTTAAACAATCAGTATAAGAGAATGGAAGTTACGTTTTTTTTCGGTTCAGCATTGGCTGTCCCAATCGCTACACATCGGATATTATTATTAGCTTATTTTCTGGTTACTTAATTTAATATAAAATTGCTGAAATATGTCCAAAAGAAAAATTAATTGCATGTTTCTAGAACTGCTGTCTTTATAAATAATTTGCAATATAGAGCATACTTTAGCTGACTGACTTAAGTTCGACGACAACAACGACATTCTCATTGAATGTCTGTTTGTTTTATGAAAGGATGTGTGACCTTTTTCACCAAGCGTCTTGACTTCCAAAGTGCAGCATTTTTGGCTCCATCTCTGATTTTGTCCTATGTTTATATGAGGCACGTAAATCCATTTACCGATTCCTTTTTTCTAGGATCGTTGGCGAATATTTATAGCAAGGAACATTACGACATGATCGGTTCGTCAGTGAGAAAGAGGATTCCTCATTTTCTAAACTTTCATACGTTATGGCTTGGAATGGGATATGATCCTGAGGTGAGTATCTGGCCCAATGGGGAGACGTGAGGATGGGGAAATAGTCGAAACATGACGTTCCAAACTAGGGGTGCGCAAGAATTTCAGAGGTACACCAATTTGACACAAAGTCCTATATCTAGCGGAACATTGGCATTGTCATGTTGTTGTTCTTCTTCATGGTATTTCTCTTCTTGTTGTTATGGAAAAGTCGTTTTTCTCTTAACTACTGAACCAATTGCTTTGAAATTTTTGATTGGTTAAATATAAAATTTTCTCTAGATGATTATTACTTATATTTGTTTCAAAAATTTCTGTGGTCTCTTTCTTCGTTTTTTGTGTGCGATGACGTCATCAAAATTGAAAATTGCGCTCTATTCGGCGATTCCATTCAAATCTGCTCATCTGCGATACGGTACCGGTAGGCTACTGTGACAGATTGTATACTTGCACCATTTCGTGTCCATATATTTGAGCATCGCTCTCTTGTTTGTTTTAACCGGAATAAAGAAATAGAGGACTATGGAAAGATTGTTTTACCGCCTTTATTCTAAACAAGGCTTCTCACATACGGCCACTGATGTATGGAGTGTAAGTCGTAAGGGACAAAAAAAGAACACTGAACCAAACAGTGTGAAGTTAGCAGCGAGTATCGGACTAATTCTGAAAATATTTTTACTTTACAGACCAACACGACGACATTCTCAAACGGTTCGAGATCTGACTTTCAGCAGTGGTTTCCAGGTAAAACATACTTTCGGTTAGCTAAGCTAAAACTAAACTATTGAACCCCATTAAACAAAATTTCTATTTGAACTGGAGTCCAGTGGTTCTCAAACTTGGGTCCGTGAAGCATGGAATTTTTTTAAGGGAACCACTGCACTAGACGAACTGATATTGTCATTTTTACGTACGCCCTCCATTTCTTTGTACACTATTGATTATCAACAATTCAATATCTAACTATAATCACAGGTACCTCTCAGCGGATCTCCAGGAGTAAGCAGATGATCATATGGGTTGAAAAGAACTCCGATTCACCCAACCAAGGGATGTGGAATTACTTTCCTGATAGTATTCATCACGGAACTCTGTGCGAATTAAAGTGAAGATGCGGGAAATATTTTCAACAACATGGACTAAGCAAGGGTTGCTCAACCCCCTCTCTTCGCCATGTAGACCACGAACGGTTTTCATACGTAGCTTATTTATTACGTAGAAGTATTTGTTGTTCTCACACGAATGTTGCTATGGAAACGGTGTAAATTTGGCCGAAAATTGGAGTGAAAATTCGAAAAATGTAACGCGGATCAAGGAAACGTTTGTTGATTGTGTTGTATTATATTTTTGAGGCGATGCTACCAGAAAAAAAAATTCCTAAATATATATAAATAAAATATTGTATTCCAATGAGTTTATATTATAATTCGGCGGCGCGCGGAAGCACTCTTAAATGCAATACGCCACAGTTTAGTGGGATCAGAATATCCATTTTGATGTTACTTTCTATCAGTGGCGTAGCATCCACCCCCGAGGTCGCGGGGGGTTCACAGCGAAAAGGGGCCCCAAGCGGTTAAAATTTAGAAATTTAAGCTGCAAAACTAAAATCTGCATTGCAAAAGCAGTAATGCACATCTTATAATGTTGATGTTAGTTCTGCTCAAATCGTTTTGTTACGTAACAATGCCGGAGTCGTCGATTTTCGGCGTCGTGTGGTTTGATCGCACCGGCCACCGGCACAATTACGAAGGCTGTCAGATTGCTGTCGAAAGCAAAACCTCTTAGTGGCGCACAAAAACGAAGAATAAAGCGCAGAAGAGAAAGAACGTATGGGAAAAATTTAAGTAACCAAGATAAACGAAATATTTAAACCAAAATTGAAACAATTAGACTTGGGAATACCGAACGTAACTGAGGAGGAATTAAGCCTAGCACCGGTGGCATCGGTAGAAAACCAGATGCGTGTTCAATCTTCAAAAGTGATGGTGCCGGCGCGAATGAATTTTTTTCCAAAACTTACACGACAATTATCACAGGTAAGCTACTGATATTTGAAGCAAATTAAAAAAATTCATATGACGAAGATGGTGGATGAGTTTGCTAACACGAAAGCGCAAGGTTGTCAGAATGATGTCGAAAGCAGAACCTCTCAGTGGCGTACAGAAACGCAGAAAAGGGGCAGAAGAGGAAAAACGTATGAAAAAATTGAAGTAACCAAGTTAAACGGCAACTTTTAGGTTACCATAGCCTTTTTATAGCGACATGTTATACTTTTTGACGAAATAAAAAAAAAAAAAGTTTTAGCTTATGTCCGAGAGTTTTTAGGGTCATTTCCACGAAATATTTTGGGCACGAGAGTCTTGCTACGCCACTGCTTTCTATTAATGCTAAGCGAGCCAAAAATTGTTAGATCTTAGGAAGATTTTAGTCGATGTCACTCGAAAATAGATGGGCGATCCATGCACTAAAAACCAAAAGATACATTTATTGTAAGATTTATTCATAACTTCGCCCCAATTATAGCACAATTGCGTTGTTGCATTTTATAAGCAAGATTGTTCAAAGCAGCATTTAGCAATTTTGAATGGAGTGCAAAATGCATTTGCGTAGAGCAGGGGTCGGCAACCTTTTGTCGCTCGCGGGCCAAAATAATGGTTGCAAGTCATTGGCGGGCCGCACATATTTTCATAAAGTTGAAAACCGAAGGGATGATACTTTTTATATTAAAAATCAAGCAGTGATACATCTCTTAAATAGAATATAGATTTATTTTCTCATTGCATCTCATAAAATTCTATTTGAATATTTGCGGCGCCATTAAACTTAGTATCAACTTTTCTGCGTTTTGTTGCCATTTGTCTAATTATAATTGAATTATATGCTCATTAAATGAGTAATTGTAAATTTTATACTTTTTATATTATAATATAATTTAGTTTACACGTGTCTCTTAATAAATTCTGTTACTTAAAGAATATAATCGTCAAAACAGCTATTTTGTTACTATAATTCAGCGAAGCGTCGCGGGCCGTAGGTTGCCGACCCCTGGCGTAGAGTATTATATTACAGGAAGCGATTAAGTGAAATAAGGCCCGATTGTACCGTGAATCTTGTGAGCGATAGCGCAAAGCGGTTAAAGCGATAGGCTTAAATGGGACCTCCTGAAGTATGGGCACCAAGATAGCGCACAACCTAAACTCAGGTTGTGTACCAGATTAGGGTTCAGGTTATGCGACATCTCGGTGCGCATACTTCAGGAGTACCCTTAAATGTGTTGGCTTCCCAGGTTACATAGGTAGGTTCATATATATTGCATGCAGAGTGTAATAATTAGGTAGGTGTTGTCGAATTGGAAAGATACCGTTCCTTCCAAATAATAGAATTTGTGGGTCACGCCCAACAAAGGGGGGAGGGGGGGACATAATTTTTGTGGGAGCGTGAAGCTAATTTAGTTTAAAATTATTTGTTAAATTTGAACTCGCCCGCCTTATTTTGGATGCTAACATTTCTTTATTGCTTGTAATTACAAGCAGGGTATTCCCTACTGTGTGCAAAGTTTGGGTATTTTCGAACAAAATATTGACTTATGAAGTTATTTAAAACAACCACGTTTTGAGTCCCTTTTTTCAAATGCATTTGTGTAATATGATAAGCTCCGCCTACAAAAAATTAACAAAAAAAAACATGAATACTGTAAGAATCTCCAAATTAAATGAAAATGATTATTCAAATCTGGCTATTACTGTTGAAATGATTGAAAAATTGGTACGTAATGTCCAATCAATATCGTTGTATAGACTTTATAATTAAATCCGACATGGTGGGGTGAATAAACGTAAACCCTCACACGCTTATTAAGAGCTGTAAATGCATATTTGAAGTTTGTGAACATTGCATTTAATGTTTTCAATTTATCTCTATGTGAAAATTAAAATTTTATACAGATCTTTTGGAAACTTGTGCACAAAGAAGAATTGACAAGAAGAAAGTGAATTGTCAGCAAACGTATAATTTATACAAGTATTTAGTTGGTGCGCTTATTTTAAAAACCTTTCTTTTATCTTTTCATAAAACATACTTAGACGCTTTGAGGTTTTAAAAATATTTCGATTTTTAAATCTTACTGGCCGCGTTTAACATGGTACAACACTATGAGAATGCAACTGGTCAGACTTATAACTGGACGTCGTCGAATTTGACCACGGAAACTCGAGAACAATCATTTGTGTACTGGATAATCTACTTAGTTGTGACTTTTGTGGCTGCAGCGACTGCACTGTACATTTTTATCGCTTTGTAAAGCTTGATTGGAGTAGTCCTATTCTCAATCCGATAGGCCAATTTCTTGATGTTGTTATTGTCACACTGTCGTTTGCCAATTGAAAACAAACAATTTTATTTTGTCGAGAAGAAACGGCAAGAGAATCCGCTACCACAATGAAATCAACCGTTCAGATTTGCTTGAGTGTTGAGCCAAAATGAAGACCAAATACCTCAAAATGGGCATTATTAATTTATTTAACCTTTGTAATATTACAATCCTTAAAACTCGTTAAATGTGCTTAACAATGACTGAGATACATTATATTATACGACTCTATTTAAACACTTTATGCCGCGGTAGTTCTCAAAGTTGATTGACGGCCCAAATTTGAAGCTGAAGGATTTTCGCGGGCCAGGAAAAAAAGCCTTCAAGGGTTCCATACCGGTAATTAAGATAACGAATATTTAAGATACCAAAATGAACTCTAACGAATATACACGTGCCTAAACTGTGATAATGACGTAACAATTAGAGGTATCTAGTACACACCGAAAAACAAAGTGTTAAAACCATCTCAGTAGAGTCCGGGAGACCATATTGAATCGATATGCGGGCGTTATTGTCCGGCGGGCCGGCAACCAACCACTATGACACTTTGAAGCTTGTTATTAGTGAAAATACGTAACATAGTTTCATCTATAATCGTGTTTCTTTTTATATGCTGAGTATAGCGAAATGCATTTTTATGTATTATATACGTAATGTGTATCATTTGTTTATTAAATTAGAGTTGATCTCGCCTTAGACTTAAATGTGTTGGTACCACAGATGACACATCTAGGATTCAGATATCATGTAGGGAGTTATATTGAGTAGGCGTTGTCTAATCCGAAAGATTCTGGCTTTTCCAAATAATAGAATCCCATACGTATCGTTAGCTATTTGTGGCTGCTTGTATAAGACCTTGTTCGCAGAGGAAGACATTGTATAAAATAAGTGGCGTGGCTAGGGTGTGGCCAACACGGCTCGTGTCATCGATGCAACTTTAAATGAAGCGCAAGATTTGCTGCAACATGTGAATGCAGTATGTTTGTAAGCGATAACACCCAGCAATGGGAAATGGTGTGTTGTGAAACTGCAAACCAATGATGTTAGGACAGAAGAATAAGAACGGATGACAAAAATAGAAGCTGAGAAACAGAAACCAACAAATTGTTTAAATTATACGTCGACAAATCTATGCAGAATAAAACCTTTGATCACAGGAAATCACTTCACGCACATGAACGATTTCCGGGTTCAATAAAACTTCCTAGAATCTTTGACTCCCTAAAGACATCATTCTTTGTGAAAGGTATTCCTAGGCGACCTCTCATATGTCGCCGGATATTTAAAATGGGCCTATGGTAGTTCGTGTAATATCGTAACATAATAGCAATAGCTTCCTATTCCTTCCCTAACGAGGGGTCAGAATATAGAGGTCAGAGTTCATTTTCGGAGTCAAATTTAGAGGTCATAGGTCAGTTTTGGGGTCAGATATAGGGTTACCAGACAGAGATAAAGAAAATTTATATCTGGGTGAAGTTATTAGTTTTGAAAATGCGGGTAGTTTATTTAATTAACTCAATTTTTCAATTTATTTTACAAATCTTACGCAGTTTCATAAAAACAATGAAGCAATATGTCTTAAACTTTAAGTATTGCGATTGAGGGAATGAAATCGCATATGCTCAACTCCCTATGTTGCGTTTATCTTAGATTCAATATGTGAGATGTGCGTAAAGGAAGTTATTATGAATAAACAAAGGACTGTTAGAAAAATCGTAAATTTAACAGGTTGAACGTGTAAATATTGAGTAATATAGACCGGTGATTGTAATAGAATAGTGTTACTCAAAGCATGGCGTTTTCGTTAATCGTTCAATACCCTCGGCCTAATTTTTTATTGTCAAGTTTACAGCAAACTTTTCAAATTTGACATAAGCTGAATGTTTCAAAAAACCACCAATCACTTTTACCTTCTAAATTCTCAATGGATTGTTGGCTCAAATCTGGAAGCCTCAAAAGATGTTTTGATAAGCATATGCAAGTTGATGCACAAAGTAAATCCAGTACACAATTTTTGTATTATCAATTTTACATTCTAAATTCTTGGTGTTCCGCGAGGCGAGTTAAAAAACGTAGGTATTCTGGGACAAAAAAGTTTGAGAAATGCTGCAATAGCAAATCGTTATCATCCTGTAATAACCCCACTACTAACTTTATTGGTGATCTACAGTGGCGTATTTTTGTAAATGGCACCCATGGCAAAGTTCGAAAGTACGCCTCTTTGATCGCTGATAAATAATTTTTGAAGACAGCTGTTGAATGGAGATATCTGTACGTTATTATTTGAGTAAAAATACGAGTTTCAATTATTTTATTGAACATTTTACAAATGGATATTTTCGCCCTTTTTGCACCCCTTTTTAAACGGCGGCCAAGACACGAGTACCCTAGATGCACCACTGGTTATCTATCTTAGATTGGGTTGGCATGAGATAGGTTACTGTTCTGTTATTGCTTAATCGCTGTATTTCTGATTAGTATTTTATCAGTATATTTTAACGATGCCAATACCGCGAGCAAAAAAATTTCAGCATCAGTATTCTAACTTATTTTTTAAAACATTTTTGATCAGATTCAAAAGCTAAATGAAATCATGAAAATCGGTCTCCAATACGGATACCGAAAAATGGCCGATACCGATACATCGGTACACTTCTAGTATTATGTATATCTACAAGTTGTAGGTTCGTATGCTGTAAAATGTATGTATAGGAACATAAGAGAGATCGTAAAACAGTGGAGTATGGAATAATTTACCCATATTAACAGCCAGTGGCGAAGCCAGGAGGGTGAGCCAATGAGAGAAGGGCCCCAAATGCCCTGTTGAAAGGAAAGGAAAAAAGATTTTTCGTATTTTGAAACGCTTTTTAAACGCTCAAGAACAGGGGTCGTTAACCTACGGCCCGCGGGCCGGATCCGGCCGCGACGCTTCACTAAATTATAGTAACAAAACATTCGTTTTGACGGCAACAAAACGCAGAAAAGTTGATGCTTAGTGCAAAGGGTTCAATGGCGCTGAAAATATTCAAATGGAATTTTATGAGATGCAATGAGGAAATAAATCTATATTCTATTCGAGAGATGTATCACTGCTTGATTTTTATTATAAAAAGTACCATTCGTTCGGTTTTCAACCTTCTAAAAATATGTGCGGCCCGACAATGACTTGCAACCTTAATTTTGGCCCGCGAGCGACAAAAGGTTGCCGACCCCTGCACAAGACTTTTGAAATCGACGTTTTCTGGCGTTAGGCATACGTATTCGCACGCATGCTACCCTGACTAATTCCATACTGCGCAAATATAATTTTAAGAAAATCATACCGTTTAAGCACGACCATCTATAATCAATGATAAATAATGTAGCTGTATAACAATACGTATAATATTAACAATACTGATTGTTATAAAACAATGCGGATTACGTCTTTCGACCGAGCATATGCTAAAACGCGGAAATACGTTGCAGTATGGGCAATATGGTTAAAATACCTAAAAATATATGTGCAAATGGAAATTATGCTATTTTAACGCAACTTTAGGACGGATAGGATCAACTTTTCACGGGTTGCAAGGCAGAGAATGCTAAGTCAGGACAAACATTTGACAAGTAGTGCCCGAATTCTTCGCAACGAGATAACTTCAAGCGGTCCTCGAAATATCATCCATTTTCTAAAATAGGGCTAGTCAACTGTACATAAAATTTTGAGAACTACTGAATTAAAAAGAATAGGAGATGTAGGCCTTCAGCCGCATCATGACCGTATATATGTGGGAAAACAAGCCGGTGTATCGCTTTTAAATAAAAACGCATTTATTATAAACTTTTGAAATGTCTCAATTTAATCGCGATTTTCTTTCCAATGCGCCGTGATTTGTATTACAGAAAGAAAATATTTGACGAGTTTGAATATCTTGACAACTGCACTTGACCATCACCAACAACGAATAAGGTGTATGCTTAACAGCCCGTGTCCGGAAAGTTTGCGTGAGAAATCTCGCCGCATGATATTTCGCCGCATAGGAAAAATTGCAAGTGCATTTTGTTGTAAAACAAGTATTTGTGATTAAAACAGTTAAGTCTATAGGGTTATGGTATGCGTATCTTTTTTTTTTAAAAAGGCCAATTTTCATACGTCGATTTTTCCCATGCGGCGAAATTTCCTAGAACCGTAATAACCAGGTGCAGGTCTTCTGAGAGCCCGTGATGAATGATAAATTTTTAAAAGTTAAAAAAATAACATCGTTGCTCGCCGATTAATGTTCCTGAGTAAACTAAAATTAACTTATTTAATGACTCGAATGCATCTGCTGCTTCGTATTCAAAAATATTTAGTATTTTTTTTTATAAATAAACGAATAGCTTGCAGAGCCCCCAGGTTTCTCTCATGGAGCCCTGGGGGCTTCGTATATAGCACTTTAAGAACTTATGACCTAGTGCAGCGGTTCATAAAGGTTGCGTCGCGCTACATTAACAATCACAAAATTGGGTTTAATTTGAAAGCAGCAATTTTTTCGTGTGAGTGCGCCATGAGTTTTTTTCCTGATAATTTGTCGCCGCGCGAAAAAAAAATTTGGCAACCGCTGGCGTAGTGGTAAAAGCATTAGACTTTGCAACGCAGATTACGTCTCAAGCTCAACTTCCATGCCGGACCATCACTTCACCCAAATTGTGATAGATAGGTTCCGAGGTTCCGAATTCTTCCGAAAAAATATGAGCGGGCGTGGGATTAGTTAGCAAGTTATTTGTTTTCAGATGCACGGACTTGATGGCGTAGGAAGCCGTTACCGAGAAACGGTTTTATGGAATTTTCAATACCTTCGTGATTTTCATAACAGAAGTAAATACATTGTGCTTTTAAATACTCTAGGAACCTCTTGTCAATACATTATACTCCGATTTTTCATATTCGACGGGTTTGCCAGACGCATCAAAACTGACACCTAGCGTCATATTTGGCGTTTCGAAAGTTATGTGTTAGATTCATGTAAAACGTGTCATATTAATGTAGCTTACATAGCGATATACTAATTAATAATGTTTATAGTTAGTTATATGGCCATAAGACCAGAATGAATTTCCGAAAATGATGAGTTTGATACAGAAGAGAACCGGTTCCTAAATTCAATCTCGCCATTGGGTCTGGGTACTATAGAGCTGGGCATTTTCGAATATCAGGTGATTTCAGAATCAAATTTTCTTATCATGCAATCTCATATTATGTTCTCATATATTTATAAGGCTAAAGGTTTGGCACGGGTTTCTGAAATGAGGGAACCCGTTGTTAATGAGTACGATATGAAGGAGAACACGTTCTTAAAATCTTTAATCCAATCACCACTTCTTGAAATGTATTTTTTCTTTTCAAAATTCAGTCCTAAATCAATATGAAATTACAATTAGTTATATTTTTCTCACTTGCCCTGCTGGCTGCAACGTTGGCAGAGGACAAGACAAAAGAGAAGGCGGTGAGTGTTCTTGCGCACGAAATGTGCACATATATTGTTTTGTATGGTCCCGCGGTACCCTGAACCTGAACCCTGACCGGGTACACATATTGTGTTCAGGTTGTGCGCCATCTTGGTACACAAACTTCGGGAGGTCCTTGTTTTGTATGGATCTAGGAAATCTCGCCGCAGGAAATTTCGCTGCACACGAAAAATCGCCGCAAGGACAATTTGCTGTAAAACAAGTATTTGTGATAAAAACAGTTGTTTTTTTAAAGTACCTTTTTATTTAAAAAAGATTCGTTAATTAAGAGCATACTCTAACCCTATAAACTCAACTGTTTTTATCACAAATACTTGTTTTGCAGCAAAATGGGGCGAACGGGCAGAAGTTTGTTGCCTAGTTTGAGTATTTAAATAATACCATCACAAACATATATATAACTCCTACTTGACATTTATTCATTCTAATGTATAACCACATCTATGATTTGTTTTGCGTGGCATCATTATCAGGAACTCGCTCTGGGCAGCAGAAAGGTTTGTCATGGCCCATGTTCTTGGGGACATTGTTGATGTCATAATTTGCAAAGCGTCTATTTTTATGCTTAGAAAGAAGCGGTGAAAGAAGTCGCAAAGGAGGCTGTGAAGGGAGAGGCAGAAAAAGAAGCGGTAAGAGTTATAAAACTTACGCAAACCGGTTAAAAACCGGTGACCTATTACAAACCCCATTTTCTGGGCAGTGTAGTCGAAGTCCGGCTTTTTGCTAAAATTAAAGCTAAAGGGACTCGTTGGAAAAAATAAACTTATGTTGTCAATACCATAGTATTTAAAGTCAAAGTTTGTATTTTGATCTCCTTGATGTTTTTCACCCATATTTAAGAGTAGAGATCCATTTGGATCTGGGTGTGCAACCTTTAATACAGGAGGGCCAGATACAAATTAATGGATGAAACCGCAGGCCGCACCTTTATTCAACAAAGGCTTTCCAGTAGTTGCACACACAAAAAAAAAAAAAAAAAGATTAAACTATATTAAAAACTCGTTTCACAGGCCGCACAAATTGTTCTTTCGGACCGCATTTGCCCCGCAGGTTGCACACACCTGGTTTATACAATTCAGAAAATTACGATTCACCAAAATGGAGTCGAATATATCTATTTTGTTCGTTATATTTCAGAAAAAAGAAGTGAAAAAGGCAGCAAAAGATACAGCGGTGAGTCAATTACGATCATGAAATCAGGAGTTCGAATTTAGTCTTTGTTTTGCGAGGGTTGGAGATATATCCAGTGAGGGGGTTCTATTTTGTATTGAACTCTCTAACAACAGGTCCCCACATTTCAGAAAATGTATGTCACTACGTAAGCTTCATTAACATGGCCCGCTCAGTGGTTCTCAAACTTTTTCAATCTAATGTTTCTAATGTTAGACTGTTTCCCTCATAGGTGAAGCTTCTCGATAATCATGACTAGTTTATCGCGTCTTCCTTCACACTGAAATGCATATTTTTTTCATTTTTCCTAGTTATGTTTGTCCAATGTGTACTTGGATGTGTACTTGTGTAATGTCGATTTGTGATAAAATAAACTACTGACTGACTAATAATTAATCAGCGCAAGATGCTTTTGAAATATTCCAAATAAGCCATATTTGAAATAATATTACCAATTTATAATTTCAAGACATTTCGCCATACGTGTTGTATATCCAACTTCTGTATGAATTAACGTTTCACCCTTTTTTTTTCAGGAAAAAGAAGTGAAAAAAGCAGCCAAGGATACAGCAGTAAGTTGCCAAATTGTCTGGAGTTACAAGTTTTTAATATTTACAGTGTTACAAAAGCAAAGGTGAAAAACAATACCTAAGTCCCATGCAAAACTAAATTAAATTGCAATCCTAACAAATTCCTTGAGCTATTTTTTTAGCCGAAACAGCAAAATTTGGTTTTAGCTTGCTTGTGATTGCCTCTGGTGGGCCAGATTGAGTTGCCCATCAGGCCGGATTTGGCTCGCGGGACGCAGTTTGCCCAAGTCAGGTCCTGACCCTACAAAGGCTATTCAAAGAGCAGAATGATCAAGTTGTGAAATTGGATCTCTACGTCAGAATGGTGCGCCCGAGATGGACATCAATTGCAACCGAAACTACAACTGTGTGTTTGAATTATGACCACAGGAAATATTCCTTCCCCACGCCCACAATTATGAAAAATTGCTTATAAAATGTGCCTGGGGCAGGGAGGGACTCCCGTAGTGTGTGTACCAGGTCACGGTTAGGCCATAATTTTATTCCAGTTTTCCTTATTTTAGTTCTATTACGAGTTCGGGGACTGTCTGTGTTAGCCAAGTGAATATACCCCTGCCCATAGATTTCATTCCATTTAAACAACTTGATGTAGAATGGACGAACAAAATTAGTTAGCTCAGGGGATGTAAATTCCAATTCTGATTTATTTTTATTTTCTTGCTGTAGAAAGAAGAGGTAAAGAAGGAAGCGAAAACGGCGGCTGTAAGTTTGAACAATTTTTCCATATTTTCTTAGAAAATCACTCTAAAGTAAGCATTTTAAAGCTGTAAATTTGAAATTGCTGGGAGATTTATTCTCTTGCGCTGGAAAATTTAGGTCTTTCCTGGAGTAATAAAAACATTGTTTCGATAAAAAAGTGAAATATAGCGAAATTCTGGATGAAATACCAAATAAAAGTCGTTTCTTCTTTTCATACGAATCCCCGATATCGAGACTTGCACCTCCTTTTCGAATTCTGTGAGATTTTCAAAATAGAAGCTCAAAGCGTATAGGAATATTAAATCCTAATTTTACATTTCAGAAAGAAGAAGTGCAAAAGGCGGCGGTGAGTGAACGCGTGTAAATGTCATAACATCAGTGCTTCCCAAAATTCAAAATTTTAAACGACCTGTTTCCTAGTTTACCTTCAAATTGTAAACGTTATTATTATGTAATACGGGCGCTCTCAAACTGGGGGTCGCGTTCCCGCATGTGGGCGCGAACCGAATTATAGGGATCGCAAAGAGCAAACCAATTTCCCACAGAGTATTATATATAGTGCTTTTTCAGACTTTTGATTCGAAACATAACTATTGAAACTAGTGCAAAATATTAATCTCGCGATTTCGAGAGAATACATAGGACCAGAGAAGGGGCGCGCTTCATAACAATGCTGACTTAACAGGGGTAGCAAAAATTTTTAATACAGAATATTCGAAGTGGTCCCGACCTCGACAGTGTGGAAAGCCCTGATGTAATAGACCTAATTGTGACTCCAGGTGACGCATATTTCTAGAACGTTTTTGAATTATATAGTACATTTGTATCAAGTGTTGAGAGTTTTTAAAATGGGTCATGAAATGCACAAGTTCAAAAACCACTGACTTTACATCCCAAATCGGGAGACAAAGGGGATTTAGAGGTAAAATTTATAGGTCTCAAATCGGGAGACAAAGGTCCAACTGTATATTCATTAATCAATCTTTTCATTATAACAGAAAGACGAAGTAAAGAAAGTCGTTAACGAAGAAAAAGACAAAGCGGTGAGTTTGTTACTGTAGACCAGTGGTGAGCAAGGTTTCTGAACCAGGGGCCAAAAATATTGCGGCCATGTAAGTGCGACTTAAAAAAAAAATTTCATGAACAATATTAACAGTGCAACGGTGGAAAACAATATACCGCGTGTCACAACTAAATTTAATGCAATCTCCACAAATTCCTTGAGCAATTTTTACCTAAAACATCAAAATTCGATTTCGATGTGGCAACAACATGCGGGCCAGATTGAACTACCCAACGGGTCGTACTTTGTCTGCTATAGACTTCAATCAATTTTTAACACTTCAAATCGCTTTGCATTGGCCGGGAATCGGACCTGGGGCCCCCACGTGGCAAGCGAGAATTCTACCACTGAGCCACCAAGGCTAGACATACCACACGATACCTTTTCATTCTGGATATATAAAAAAGAATCCTATGCCTATGAGTAGAACTTAAAAACGCTGTGAGCCGGGTTCGAACCTGCGCGGGAAAATCCAGTATACAGACGAAACATCTACCATTTAACCGCTGAAGCAAAATATTATGTTACACCAGAAGCATTGGACTATTCCTATTTCTTTTAATAGCATTATGACAAACGATGAGTAAACGAGATAGTGACTAGAGACTGCCGACTTATCGATCTTCGCATCACTAATTAATTATTCACTAGCTAATTAAACGGCATAATCAATCCAAAATCAACAGGATCTTGTTCCGAAATATGATGAGTGCACATACAAAATTTGGAGCAGATTCAGTCTCGCTTTCGTGAGATATCGCGTAACATACAAAAGTGTCCAACAGACAAACAAACAGACAAAAATACCTATACTTATCGATCAAGATCGCTAAGTAATGAAGCAATTTCACACTAATACCCGCAACCTCGACTAGATTGCTGTAAATATTTCAAAATTTTTGTCGAAACTGGGAAATTTGAAGCAAATTATGGCGTCATAGATTTTAATTATTTTGCATTTCGTCGCCATGCGACTATGAGGGATAAATAGTTTAAATCTAGCGTTATAATACCGTTTGGGTTATTGGCATTCAGCCATACAATCAAAGAATTCAGGGACCCCTTGACTCTAAAATCAATCTTTCAATATTACAGAAAGCCGAAGTGAAGGATGCCGTCAAGAAAGAAGTAACAGATAAAGCGGTGAGTCCGTATTTGTTGGACCTGAGGCATAGCACACCCCCCCCCCCCCCCCCCTCAAACAAAAAATTAATAATAATAATGTCAATTCTGCGGCATTTGCAGTGAAACATAAATTCTCACCATTTTCGTCTATATTTTTCAGCGATTTACTGAAAACCCGGCGTTTCCTGACTCGCTATCAATAATCCTTTATCCGTGAATATTAAAAAAATTTACTGCCGATCCAACGGGCTTGATCATTCCGCTTACAAATTTGCCGGTTTTCATACTTTTGAAGCTTTGTTCAGTGCAAGTCTGCATGATAACACTTTTTTCTCTTTTACGAAAGGTTTTTGGAAAATTTCATTGTACGGATTGATAAAACTTTTGTCATTTATATTTTTAGAAAGAAGCTGTCAAGGAAGTCGCAAAAGAAGAAGTGAAAGACAAAGCGGTGAGTTATGCTGTGACTGACTGTATGTAACTTTCGTGGTCTCGATTGTGGTTTGAACCATGACTCGCTGGCCAATTAGTGCCTGCGTAACGATTTAATATTATGTTTCGCCAAACTTGAGTGAAATAGTTTTCCACTTCATGTTTTTACGTCTTTGCGTTCTAGATTACCGTCAATTGTTACGTCATTATCACAGTTTAAACACGTGTATTTTCGTAACAATTCAATTATACGGTCTTTTGATTATACGTACAAGTATTAAGATTACATACAGTTCGCGCCTTGCGGGCGATTTCTTCTTATGGCCCGCGAATATCCTCCCGCTTCTAATTTTAGCCCCCGGTCAATCAACTTTGGAAACCACTGAGCTATAAGCATTTTCACCCGTATGCCAAAAACCGTACATAACAATATGCTATCGAGCATGATTCTGGTCGAAAGACATTGAATAGACGTACCTCCAGAAGTATGCGCACCAAGATATTGCACAACCTGAACATAGTATGTGTGTGTATCGATTAGGATTCAGGTTGTGCGACATCTTGGTGCGCATACTTGTGGAGCACCGAATAAACCATGTAACTGTACAACAGCAATATACACGAGCAGAGGCGTATCTCGGATAGAGCAGACATAGGCGCCGTTTGGTCAGGACGAAAAATTTTATTCGTAGGTTTCAATATAATAATTTCAACTTGCAAATAATTTAAACTCGTATTTTTACTTAGAATTAACGTAGTATATCTCAATTCAAAAACAGTCGTTAAAAATTGTCCATCAACGATCGTGGGGCGCATTTTCAAACTTTATCATGGGCGTCATTTTACGTAGATACGTCACTGTGCACGAGTGTTATGATATGCACTTGAATATTTTCATCTTCAATTACACAGTAGCTAATGTTTTCTTCAAACTTAAAATGATAATTATTCGATAAAATTTGTTCTCTTTTAGCAGAAATGACTTTTTCGATTCTTATTTCAGAAAGAAGCCGTGAACGAAGCAAAGGATGAAGTCAAGGATAAAGCAGTAGGTTTTCGAGATTCTTTCATTTTTTTAACTTGTATTTTTACTTGTAATTTTTGTTGTAATTTCCCTGACAGTAAAAACCAACCAGTCTCGCACATATTAATTGATCTGTCATAATATACAGCGTGACACAAAAAACAGAGAAGAAGTGCTTAGTAGCATGGACATTATTAAAACTGTTATTGAATTTGTTTTGTCTACGGACAGAAATATTTAGGATTAGTTTCTTGTTATAATAATTTATGTTTAAATATTGTATAATATGTTAGTGTAAGAATTTTAATTCAAATTGATCAACTTTACAGAAGGAAGCGGTGAAAGAGGTAGCAAAAGACGAAGTCAAAGATAAGGCGGTGAGTGTTCCCAAAGCAAAACACTATTCAAATTCAAGTGTATTTCGTAACTATCTTCATTCAGAAATAAGGGTTACATGAAACTAACTAAATATCCTTATTCTATGCAAGGACTTCTCAAACTAGGTCTTTTGCGAATACCGCAAATTATATCTAATATTTTATCATTTGGTAGAATTATGACATAAATGTTTTTATATGATGTTTCGTCTGACCAGGGTTCGATTTCCTAATAGGCAATGTGATGCGTCAAGCTCATTATCCATTTTTGTCACTTATCTTGTCATTGTTGTAAACTGCTTGTCTGAGGAAGTCTGATTTTGGTCAGACGAAACGTTACAGAAATACATTTGTATTAGTGTGCAGCAGGACTCTTGAATTAATTAGTGTATGGTCATTACTTATCGATTTTAATCGGTAAGTATATTGATAGGTATTTGTCTGTCTGTCTGTCTGTCTGTCTGTCTGTCTGTTTGTTTGTCTGTTAGATGCGATGCACGCGATATCTCACGAAAGCGAGATTGAATCTGCTCCAGATTTTGCATGTGCTTTCATCATATATCGTACCAGAAGCATATTGATTATAGATGAATTATGTAGTATAATTAGCGAGGTATTAATTAATTTGTGATGGGACACAAGGTGTCACTATGGAGTAAGAGCGCTGTTTTGGTGGATCCCCTAACTTTCGATCGATAAGTCTTCGGTCTCTGACCGATATTCTCGTCTTTATTGTTACTACATCGTTCTTGCATTGTATGCATATAGATCCAGAAGGACGAAGACGGGGCATAGTACTGTACTCAGTGTCGCATAAATACATTTGTGTAGCAAGGCTCTTGAATTATACAGATTTCTTTTAGTAGATTATTTGGTTTCTGCGAGACTAACTACTTATCCTTCTTCTATGCTTTTGTGCCGGTGAATCCGTATGCATATAATGCAAGGATGCTGTAGCAAGAGTAGAGATAACAATCCTAAGTGATTCAAGAGTCTTGCTGCACACTAACACAAATATATTTCTGTAACGTTTCGTCTGACCGAGGTCAGACTTCTTCAGACATACATAGTTCAACTACCAAACGTTACAGAAATATATTTGTGTTAGTGTGCAGCAAGACTCTTGAATCACTTAGGTTTCTTTTAGTATTTCATATTTATTTAGAAAAATTGTGACCAGTAATTTATCTGTTATATATTTCCTTACATATCGTTAGATAGCAGTGGCTACTGGTACGAAGCCTCGTTCTAAGCGTATAACTCTTTTTATTGCAGAAAGAAGCGGTGAACGAAGCAAAGGATGAAGTCAAGGCTAAAGCGGTGAGTCTTAGCAAGATGCTTTTTTGTTAATTTCCTAGCGAAGTATAGTTTGGAATATTTCAAGTGGCGCATCTCTCGATACTCTATAACAGTAGTCCTTAAACGACGAGGCGCGCTTCACAAAGGGGATGGACGTTCGGGCGTAGAAACTTTTTGTGGGAGACGTAGGACTGATTAGAAAAAACATATTGTTATATTATATCTTGACTATCTCATTTTGGATATTTACATTTCCTATTTGGTCAAAAACAATTGCACTAAAATAAAATTATAAAATTAATAATAATTTTTTCATTATTTACGTTCCATCCACGTATTTTCAACGTGTTTTTTTAGTAAAACATACTTTTGTCGTACTATCTGTTATTTGTAGCTTTTTGTTAGCTAGTTTTTTGATATGGGGTGCGAGACTCTAAAAAGGGTGCGTGGCTTAAAAGTTTGAGAACCACTGTGCTATAACAATATCAGTGAAGCTAATACTTCCTAGACAATCCTTATCCTAGTTTCGTTCTTCAACTTTTAAATAACTTCCTGACAATAAAATTTCCGGTGCTTCCGAAGTATGCGAACCAAGATGGCGGACATCGGAACGTAACATGGGTAACAGGTTAGGGTTAGGCGATAATTTTTTTCCTATTTTCCTTATTTTAGTCCTATTATCAGTTCGAAGACTAGCCAAGAGCCTCCCGTAGTATTTATACCTAAAATTATGGCCTAACCCTAACCTAGTACACATATTACATTCCGATGTCCGCCATCTTGGTTCGCATACTTCGGGAGCCCCAAATTTCCAGATAATTCTGATAATTTAACTTGATAATTAAAGTTTTTCACCAGTCGTACAACTGCCGCGCTTTAGATGGATTCCCTGCAATATCATCATTCTCTGCAACTTTTCTATCAGTATTATTTTGAGTAATACTTGTTAGAATAATAAAAAGTTGAATTTTTTTTTAAATATATGTATTGTATTGGTAGAAAGAGGAAGTTGAAAAAGCCGCTACAGAAGCCAAAGGCGAGAAGAAAGCAGATACGAAGGAGGATGAAAAGGCGGTAAGTGTTATGGCTGATAAGAGGGCGATCATGAAGTATGTGAACCAAGATGGCGGACACCGGAACGTAGTATGTGTACCAGGTTGAAATTGGGCCAAGATTTTATTCTAATCTTTTTTTTTAGTTCTATTACGAGTTTGAGGACTAGCCAAGTGACTCCCGTAGTATTTGTACCCAAAATTATGGCCCAACCCTAACCTGGTACACATACTACGTTCCGATGTCCGCCATCTTGGTTCATATACTTCGGGAGTACTGATGAGAGAAGTATGTCCCTAATTACTTTTTCACCTGAGTAAATTAATTTATTTAACGACTTAGATGTATTTGCTGCTTGTCAAATTTTAATAATGGCGTTATTGCTCATTTGGACAGTTACAAAATCCCATACCCGACATGGAATGGTAACCGGACGAGAGGCCGTGGTTCGTCATATGGATAAGCCGTCCTATCGGCTTTCTTCTCCCCGGATAAATATATAAATCTTATCTGTCTGAGCGAAAGATTTATTATTGTGAATTATTAATTATTCAGGATAAGAAGGATAAAAAAGATAAGAAAAAGAAGGGAGGAAAGCCATGGATAAAGCTTGCTCGCAAATACTACAAAGAAAATAGGTGAGTTAACGGTTGTGAGTTCGAATAATTCACTCAGGGTTGCCAGCCTATCGTTGACCTGGATCGACCAAAATCTTCGTAACACCTTTCGGTTGACTGATCGATAATAAAGCCACACACAAAAATAAACGAGTACAAAAAATCAAATTTCTCAGAATAAATAAAAATTGAAAGGACATTCTGATGTCACTGTTGAAGTTGTGAATAAAATATATTTCACTTCAGGGTATATCGTGTTTTTTTTTATGTGCCGCATTCCCTTTTGAAATGCAGAACAATCCCTCTGTGAACACCATGCAATTGAAGATAATTTTTAGTATATCATCAAATTTGCCCAAAACTATACGCGGTCGATCACTCACACCGTGGTGATAGACGTGTTGGCCACCCCTTGTACCATAACTAAAAGCACCTTGGGGCTCCCGAAGTATGCGAACCAAGATGGTGGACATCGGAATGTAATATGTGTACTAGGTTAGGGTTAGGCCATAATTTTAGGTATAAATACTACGGGAGGCTCTTGGCGCGGCGGCGTGGCTCAACGGGCTAAGCGTTAGGAATACGCTCGCCACCGCACCTCTAATTACTCTGCGTTGGTTCGCAGGTTTGAATCCCATGCAGGGATGGTTATGTGCGAGAAGATTTCTGGAATCCTCGCCGTCGTTGGGTGGTTCACGTAACCGCTGGTCGATTACGGCTTCCTCCACCACCAAGTCCATGCTTCCGAAAACAAACAATACAGTAAAACTAATCCCATACCCTACTTGGAATGGTAACCGGACGAGAGGCCGTGGTTCGCCATATGGATACGCCGTCTCATCGGCTTTCCTCTCCCCCGGGATAAATATGTAAATCCTATCCTATCCTAGTCTTTGAGCTGATAATAGGACTAAAATAAGGAAAATTGGAAAAAAATGATCGCCTAACCTGTTACCCGTGTTACGTTCCGATGTCCGCCAGCTTGGTTCGCATACTTCGGGAGCACCAGCACCTTATTACAAGTCGGCTGGCGAGAGACTGCAGTTAAAATACAATATCTTTCTACATTTTTAGAGAATCGAAAGACCAATCAGCAGTTGATTTCTTCAAAGGACTTCTTGCTAAAAAAGACGAGACAAAAAAATCAGCTACAAAAGCAGTAGAAAAAGCAAAAGAATCGGAGAAAAACGCCAAAGAAGCCCACGAAAGCGCCAAGAAAGTTGCAGCAGAAAAAGGGGGAGAGAAAGCAAAGGAAGCGGTTGAAAAAGCAGAAAAAGCAGCTGATACGGTAAGAATCATTTCAGAAGAATATGATGGTGTAGAAAAGGTACTCTCGTAGTATGTGTACCAGGTTAGGGTTAGGTCTTAATTTTATTCCGATATTATAGTTCAAACACGCGTTCAGGGAGTGTTGTGTTAGCCAAGTGAATATACCCCCTGCCCATAGGTTTCAGTCCCTTTACACAACTTGATGTAATTTTATTGCGATTTTCTATATTATAATTCTATTACGAGTTCGTGGACCATCTGTGTCAGCCAAGTGAATATACCCTCTGCCCATAGATTTAGTTCCTTCACACAACTTGATGTGATTTTATTCAATATTGGTACACATACTTCTGGAGCGCCGTCGAAGATACCAACCCGTGTTCTTGTGTTATATTGTTTCTCACAATTCTCTTGTTTAATTCGCCATTTTGTTATCTCATTTTCCTCTTCTATTTTAAGGAACTTATTATTGCAATTTTCTCACTTTTTCCCCTTTTTATATCAACTCGTTTCATAAGGATTTCGGGTGCCCCCGAAGTATGTGCACCAAGATGGCGCAAAACCTGATCATATTATGTGTACCAGGTTAGGGTTCAGGTTGTGCGTCATCTTGGTGCACATATTTCCGCAGCGCTGGATTTCGTAAGGATCCATTCAACAATTTATAACATATTTTGTTTTGTCATCTTACGAAGTTCTAAACTATTTTGAAGATGATTGTCCTAAACGGGCAAATTGTGTTTTTGTGGTATTCGCTGGTTTTTACTTTTCGATCTTACGATAGGTATTTGTCTGTCTGTATGTCTGTTAGATGAACGCGATATCTCACGATAGCAAGATTGACTCTGCTCCGGAATTTGCATGTGCATTCATCATATGTCGTACCAGAAGCCTATTGATTTGAATAAATTATGTCGTATAATTAGCGAGTCATTAATTAATTAGAGATGGGACACAAGGTGTCACTATGGAGCAAGAGCGCTGTTTTGGGGGATCCCTCGACTTTCGATCGATAGGTCTTCGGTCTCTGACCTATATTCTCGTTTATTCTTTTCTTGCATTTTATGAACTTAGCAAGTGAGTTCAGAGTTTTATAATTTTTGTTCTAAACAGGCTCACAAAGCGACCGAAGAAGCGAAGGAAACTAAAAAAAAGGCAGATAAGACTGAAGGTAAGCGTAGGACAGGGATCGGCAACCCAGAGCCCGCGGGCCGGCCCGCAGAGTAATATAATCCAGCCCGCGACGCTTCACTGAATTATAGTAATAAAGCAGCCGTTTTGACTATTTTATTCTTTAGTCGAAATTATATTTTAACCTAACCTAGTATATAATTTACAATTACTCGTTTAATGAGCCTATAATTTAATTATAATTAGACAAATTGCAACAAAACGCAGAAAAGTTGATGCTAAATGCATAGGGTTCAATGCCACTGAAAATATTTAAATGGAATTGTTTTGAGATGCAATGAGGAAATAAATCTATATTCTATTTGAAAGATGTATCACTGCTTGATTTTTATTATGAAAGTATTATCCGTTCGGCTTACAACTTTCTAAAAATATGTGCGGCCCGCCAATGACTTGCAATTATTAATTTTGACCCGCGAACGACAAAAGGTAGCCGTAGGAGGCGTAGGAGAGCTATAGGCTATCAAAAAGGTCTTAAGCATTTGGGGCGTTTGTCCCATAATTCAAACTTCCGGCGTCTGACCTTTCAGTGCTGTCGTAATTTTAACCACTTTGACATTTCACCGTCGTATATTCAATAATGACACACTTGTATTTATTTATAACGTCATTTACAGCGCCGAAGAAGGGAGATGATATGAAATCAAAGATGTCTGAAATGGCGAATAAACTTGTGAAACTCATTGAAGGACTGAATCTCTCTTCGGGTGAGTTTAATGCCCTGGTTGTCCTTAGATAATAATTAGAGCATCCAATACATCAGGATAGGAATGGACATCGTTGGTTGAATGGCAGCTTCCGTGGCGTGCTATTAGTAGGGCTGGGCATTTCGAATCGAAAATTCGAATCGAATCGAATAGTAAATTATTCGAATCGGTTCAAAGCTAAATTTCGAATCGCGCCATCTCGTTTTTTTCTTTCCGCCAATGATCTAGGCGAATTCCTCATTTTTTTTTCATTGAAGTCATATTTTTTCAACGCAATTCTAACATATGATACTTTTCTGTAGTGAGTTATTGATAAAACCTGTTTGTTATTGTGTGTGAACGCTCAGTAATCTGTCTGAGTGATGTATTCTATGTCTTCAGTAATTCATTTGTTAAGAGGACCGATTACTATAAAAAAAAAGTCGCTTACAATTATATATTTCCAAGTATTCGAGACTAAATTCGATTCGAAAAAATTATTTGATTCGATTCTGAAATCACAAGGTATTCGAAAATGCCCAGCCTTAGCTATCAGGCTTCCATCTAGCTCAGTGCTCTTCAACCTTTTTGTTATTGTGGAACCCCTGATATAATATTTCGTTTTTTATGGAACCCCAATTAACAAAATTAAAATAAAACACGAAATACTCGTAACACGGAATATATATTTGTAATTTAAATATTTCTACTTCAACAACGAGAAAGAAAGAAGGCAACAAGCGTGAAATTTATTGACTAGGTTGTTCTTGCAATTCCTTTGCAATCTTTTTGAATTCTCATACTCATGTCTACACTCTTTATACAACTTCGCAACGACACATCAACATGCTGAAGAAAGAAATGATTCCCACAAAAAAAAACGCGGAACCCCTAAGGAACCATATAAACTGACGTAACACCACTGCATGTATTGAGGAACCCTAGGGCAGGGCTACTTAACTGGCGGACCGCGGTCCGAATCCGGACCTTCCGAGTATTGGATTTAGACCGCACCTAATTATTTATTTTGGATCATTAGCCCCACTTTTTGACTTTCCTATCATAAAATGACTTTCATAGTTTTGAATATATAGGAAAAGAAATATAACACCATAATAAACATAATTAGTCGGTCGAGGAAATGCTCGTTTAAGGATGCCGAAATATCAGTTCTGGAAAGACCGGACCCAAATAATTTTGAAGTTTTGTTTGCGGACCTTCGATAAAAATAGTTGAGTAGCCCTGCCCTAGGGTTCCGCGGAATCCCTGTTGAAGAACACTGATGTAGACAGTATGTTAGGAATAGAGATATTGTCCGAATCGCCATTAAATCATGACCTCCTCCGCAGCGGGCTGTTGAGCCGCTCTATAGACAGCAGGTTAAGAAAAGAGGTGGAATATACAAAGTCCAATATTTTATATTTGCAGATGCGGAATTGGACGAGATTATCGCCGAATACGAGGCGTGAGAGAAGAGGAATCCTTCGAATGCACACAAAAGCGATTTTTAATTCTATAGTCTAGTGCAAAATATTAAGTTTTAACCAAGAATATCATTTAAATTTCATATTTAATATGTCTATTTATTCGAGACTTCAAAAAATTTAGTAAACAGGGAAATATTTCAGCAATGAAGTAATGTTTTGTCGAAAAATATATTATTTACAAATGTTTCGGGCACATTAATTTATTTTCGTAGACCCGTGTATGACCGTCTGTATTTGTTTTAGCGCTTGTTATAGGTAAATTTGTTGGATGATTAAGTGCATCTCTCTGACAGTGAAGTCACATTTCATTTTTGTGTGGACCCACTGCATGTATGTGACCGTCCGTATTTGTCGTTATGACTAGTAGGGCTTTAGATGAGTGCAGTCAAGTACACTTTGGGGTAATTTCTAAGTGAAGTAATCATATTGTCCTGAAATATTTGATTTTGTAGTGGTCTCATTGTTTGTATGTAATGGTGGGTTTGTTGTTACTGGTATTATTAATAGGGCTTATAAACGGTGTCGTCGTACTTACCATAGAATAACTGGGTGGGCCTCTTGATTCTGTCCTCAGATTAGTGCGTATACAGCCTCGCTACTTAAGTCTGTGGTAGTCAAAGATGGGGTACAGTACACAAGATATGACGTCATAATAAAATTGTGATGTCATAGCACCTTCGCGAACGGCGTCATAATCCACCCTCTACCGTACAAGTACTGCCTAAATTATTGATGTTTTTATGTTATATGTTGCTATCTTCATTATTTTCTCACGGAGGTATATAGTACAGTCATGCAATTATGTATATAGAATTCTAGCCATTCAAGAATAAGCCTATTTCAAGGCGGCATTTCACTTAGATATTTCACTGTGTATAAACGGTGTCTTCAATTGGATTGATATAATAAATGTGAACTAGACTATTGTGGCAATATATGGTACATTGTGAAATATACGAATGAAGGTATTCAGCGTTTGTTATGAGTCTGATAGTTGAAGAAAAAAAAGCGTTGTAGGCATTTAACTGTCATACTTACGTATTGGTTGAGACCTGGAAAGAGATAAGTTGTAAATTAGGGCGCTCAATAGTCTATTGAAGAAGGCTATCTCGCGCGCAATTTTATTTTGAGCATTGTTAGACGGTTTTCCATCGCAGGATAGCATTTATACGACTCAATCATATGGCGAACTAAGTTCTCTCATCCAGTTACCAGTCCACGTCAAGTATGAGATTAATGGATAGGATAGGATTTACATATTTATCCCGGGGGAGAGGAAAGCCGATAAGACGGCTTATCCATATGGCGAACCACGGCCTCTCGTCCGGTTACCATTCCAAGTCGGGTATGGGATTAGATTTACTGTATTGTTTGTTTTCGAAAGCATGGACTTGGTGGTGGAGGAAGCCGTAACCGACCAGCGGCTACGTGAACCACCCAACGACGGCGAGGAGTCCAGCAATCCTCTCGCACATAACCATCCCTGCATGGGATTCGAACCTGCGAACCCACGCAGAGTAGTTAGAGGTGCGGTGGCGAGCGTATTCCTAACGCTTAGCCCGTTGAGCCACACCGCCGTTTACCAGTAATTCGTTTTCGGAAGCATGGACTTGATATTGGAAATAAAACTATAATAAACTACTTTCCGGGATACATAGAAAAAACAAAACTGATGATAAGAGAGATATATATATTCAAAAAATTAAGACAAATCAAAAAATAAATATTTATATTCGGGAATAGTTGTGCCAAAAGTCCAAACAGCAGTGTTCGATTGGAGGTAAATAATTCACAACATCTCATTTTGAACCATTAAACGCACAGTGATCAATGAATAATGTGAAGATAATTGAGGAAATAATACAGTGGAGAAAAATAAAGCAAAACAGTTATTCAAAAATTTCAAGAATCTGCCTTTACGAAACGGAGTTAAATCAGAGCGCAATGAGACCTACACCGACCCCTGTCATTTGCTAATTGAAATGCTTTAAATTATTAAATTCAACCCAACAATACACATCCGTATGGCATTGACTGAGCAACAGGGTTTCGAATAGGATTTTACATATTTATCCAGATGGGAGAAGGAAGCCGATAGTATTGCTTAATCATATGGTGAACCACGGCCTCTCGTCTGTTTACCAGTCTATGTCGGGTATGAAATTAGTTTTTCAGTTATTTGTTCCTTGAATATTAGACTTGTTCTCTAAGGCACCTCAGGCGAAGTTTATGGACAAAGTGAAATACTAATGTTTTAAACCCAGTATTCATCATTTCTTGAGTTCAATACAAATTTTAGGTTCATGGGCAAATAATACCTGTAGCCTCCTCTTGGTGCTTTTATTCTGCATCAAAATTTTGCAGCATGCCAACAAATTTGGGGCAATTCAATTATGTGTAAGCCAGTGTACTGCTTCTTTCAGCTATAATGTTTTAACCGCAATTTCAAATAATTCATCTCTTTTTTGAAACTCAATTTAAGATATGTTTCACATATAGAGCCCTGCAAACAGGGCATTTGAAATCCAACCCTTGTTGCATTGTGGGAGAACTCCCATAATTCTTTGTACCATCCATATTTTCCATAATGTAGAACTCTTCCAATGCTTCTAAACACTTGGCATGGAACACATGAGAACAAGATAAAAGAGAAAGAAAAACTTCTTTGGGGGATTTGGAACTACTTTGAAGCGGTCTATGTTCACTTTGGTTAAAGTCAGAGCTTGAATTCAATGGTTTGGTATTTCTTGGTATTGGTTTGGTGTCTACCTTGGTTGCTTTGGAATTTTGTTGTGATGACTTTTGTTTTTGTTGGTCTGATCTGCATAATTTTGAAGATGTAGAACGGTTCTTATAGTTGCTGGTGCTTGAAGACGCTTGTGGGGAATTGTTTTCTGTTTTTTTATCAGTCCTGAGTTAAGAAATGTATTAATAATTAAGAATAAAGTATTAATGAGAACGGCTTGATTATGGAGGCGGGCGACTCATTGTTTTTCTTGTTGTAGTTTTAATTGGGACATTACAAATTATGGAAGCGCAATTTCCATTTTTTCAGAGCTAGTATGAGAACATTTGCTTGGACGTGGTATGGAGGGTGATCAGAGGTGCGTCGGCGAGTGTATTATTAACGGTGAGCATGATGCGCCACAGCGCCAGGTGAGATACTTGCTCACGCTCTCGAGAAGAGTCTGGTTTACCCTTCACAGCATCAGGGTGTTGATATTATTATGTCTGTGTGTCTTGGTTGGTACTTTTTATGGTTTAAACACATTGAAACATGTACGAATATTGAATGTGAAACCTATTGGAACATTTTAACACGACATTAACACAGATTTATATTCTCAAATGCAAATGAGAATTGAGGATGATTGACTGTTCTTACTGTTTTTGACTAGATCCCTGATTTACAGACAAACTTCATAGTCAGGTAAGACACCAACAGTTTAGAGCCGTTCCTAGATTGAAAAAAAGAAAATACTAAGTAAAGCAGTAACAACTTACGCATCATTTTCCTGGTACCTCAATGCCCTTAAACATATCGGGCAATCCGTGTCATTTCTCTCAAATGCTTTGACTTCAATATTGATCCAATCCTCATCTGAGAGCCGGTGGAGACAGGAATCCTCAAAATGTTGGAATATGGCCCTAAAAAAGGAAAACTTTGGAGTCATTTTTTTCCTTTGTTGTTTTTACGTCAGCCGTTTCAGCTATGTCTATGTACAAGGCGGGGTGCTCTCGAAGTATATGAACCAAGATGACGAAGCATGTGTACGAGATCTTTATCTTGGATCGGGGACTAGCCAAGTGTAGTATCTGTACCTGAAATTATGGCCTAACTCTAACCTGATACACATATTATGATGCGGTTCTCGGTTCACATACTACGGGAGTACCCAAGCCGGCACTGACATGTAAACGGTTATCTTAGCGAAATGACTCTGCTCGAGAGTTCATGATTAATCTTACGAACATCTTATGGGCTTTTCTTCCATCAAGATAAATATATAAAGCCCATCCCAGATATATATCAAAATAGAATAAATTCATACCTGCTTGAAGCAATAGAGTTATCAATATCTTGTAAAAATCGGTCGACCGTTTCAGTGCTCGTCATCGCCACCATGCGGTCAGTAATTTCCTGAAGTTTATCTTCGTAAAATCGTTGCCGTAACTTCTTGTCATGCGGTGGCACTGTTCGACGCAGCTTGTAATACCATTTGCGGACGACGTACCCTCGCCAATAGGATTGTATACTAAGGCAATAATATATATAGAGTTATAAATAATACTAGATAGCTATCGGAGATCGCCGACTTATCGATCTTCCGCATGTTCAATATTTTACTCGACACAGGGCATTGTTACGCACACAATCGATAACAGCGACGAAAGTTAGAGGATCCCCAAAACAGAAACGGCGGTTTCGATTCCTTCGCTCTGACTCAATAGCGACACCGCGTATCCCATCACTAATTAATTGATATCTCGATAATTATACAACATAATTCATCCAAAAACAATAAGCTTTTGGTTCGAGATATGATGAATGCACATGCAATGCAATTTGGAGCAGATTCAACTTCGCTTTCAAGAGATTGCGTGTATCTAACAGACAGACAGACGAACAGACAAATACCTATCAACATACTTACCGATCGAGATCGATGAGTAATAATATTTTTCTGAGCAGTCAGCACACTGCAATGAGGTAAAATCAAAGCACAGGCAACAAAATGCCAACAAAACCCTAAAAAATGTTTGGGTCTCGGAATGTAAGTTCCCCAGAAAATAGACTTCCTTGTTTACTTTCTTAACATTGGCTAATCAGCAAGATGCAAGAAGTGACGTAACAAACTAACAATAGACGTTTAGCAGCTGCTCAGACACTCTTTTTTCGGGCATGGATGTAAGTAAGCATTATCTTGTGAAACAAGTTGTTGAATATTTTGAATCAAAATGATGGTTTAAAACAAATAAATATTTCAACTCATAACTCGTTAAACCACTCTTGAAACAATCATCAAAGCATGAAATTTTACAATGGTCCAGTATAGGAAGAACCACTTCTTCTTGACAATCCCTTCATCTTATATTCTGTACGTTTTAAACCTTGTCAAGGTTTTGTTTGCTCTCCTGATTTCATAATCAGTATTTATCAATCATTTTATTGTCTGTTATGCTTATTATGGAGTTGAAATAAACTTATAATTATACATATTTTCCAGAGGTCAAAATCGAAGAAACGTCCATTACAACAAGAACTGTAAGATTTAGTTCTTAAGAGTTAGGGAGTTGAAGTAAGAGCAAAATTTTTGTTAATTTGAGTTTAGCAGTCGTGAATCTGAGCTATTTTTAGAGTGGCTCAGAATTTAGAATTAAGGAGGTGCATTTTCTCAAATCAAGACCCACAGATAATAAATAAACCACCTTATCAGCTTTCCGCTCCCCCTACCTACCTTATGGCAGCCTTCTCCTTGTAGACTCTTGTGCCGTCATGAACAACCCTGGCTTGGTATTGTATCTTCCTACACATTGGACAAGTCTTCTTTCCTGTGAATCGCTCAAATGCTTGGATACAGGCCTGAGAGAAGAATGCAATATAATTATTTTGACACAGCATTTTTTACTCAGAATAACGATCCAAACAAATTGTTAAATAACTGTAAGGTTTGACAGATGATGCATGCTGGTGCACGCTTTCGAAATTTTTGAAAACTGAAAAAGTCGCCAATAACACATGCGATTGCATTTTTCGCAAATCGTTTTTGTCAGTGTGACGTGTTAATAAATGCTCACACCGGTGTAGCCAGGAGGTTTCAAGGGGGTGGGAGGGGACTGAAACAGCAAAGCTAGATTGTTACAACTAGCGGGTCCTCATACGCCTGAAAACACAATCAAGTAAATATTGTTTAGGTCCTCGTTTTGTTAATATTCTGGGTATTTTGGGATAATTTTTTATTATTATTTTTTTGAAATCCTTTCAATATTAATGATTCATATCGTTAAAATATTGCGCAATACTCTCTGAATGTTGCGCAACTCCAGCATATGATCATAATATTACCTTGTGAAAAACGTGAGAACAGCTCAACAAAACTTGATCAGATATTGCGAAATATTCTTGACATATTGCACAAGGATTCTTGAAATCTTCTCGCGCAATGGAGCGTTGTTTGATTGAAGACCATTCTTCGCTTGTCAAAGGTTGGTCAGGCTGGGAGACAAGACCAAGCTTCTGGGCTGAGAACAGAGTGATAAAAAGTAAGAATAGGAATTCCATATTATTCCCAGGGAGAAAAAACTTGATAAGACATATCGCCGGCTGAGAACAGAACAGGCCCAAGTTACAAATTTGGGCGCTCAAGAATTGTGTGTACCGATACGGAGGTAACTAATTTTGTTTGCCTACTTTACATCAAGTTGTGTAAACTGACTGAAGCCTATGGGCAGGGGGAATATTTACTTGGCTAACACAGACAGTCCCCGAACTCGTAAAAAGAATAAAAAAAGGGAAATCGGAATAAAATTATGGCCTGACCCCAACACACACTACGAGAATACCAAAAAAACTAGATAGAGAGATATGAATTTGTACTTAAAGTTGCGATTTATATCCTTTTTTTCGTTTCACTATACGGCGCATTGATTAATTGCTGTGATCTTTTATTGTTTTGTTTCAGTGCACAAGGTCGAAGTTCATTAAAAAAATTGAAAGGGGGGCGCCATGGAATTTTTCTCAGAAAGTTTGGAAACCACTGATCTAACTAACCCTATACGCAACATGGACTGGTGACCGGACGAGGGGCAGTGGATATATATATATATATGATTAAGCTTTCCTGATGAAATCCTCTCTCCGAAGTCTTATCCATATTATGAAACACAACTTTGTCCTTGCCAGAGGGAGAGAGAGTTTATTTCATTTTGTCAAACCAAGAAAACAATTCATGCACACATAAACAAATATCAAAAAAATTGTTTCCGGTATATGACTGGGGGGCAACGATACGACCTTTTGGGGTCATCAGAGTCAGTTGCCACCCAAGTTGCCAACTATGGACTTACCCAATGATGGATTTGGTATCGGGTCCAAAACATATTCCCGCTCTCCGTCATTTTCTTGATGCTTTTGATTGACAGGTCTTCTCATTCTCCCTACAACAAGTATAAGGGTAGGATTAGATCTATTATAGACTGAGGGCGAAGGCCTTGAGAGGGTGACGACACGATGCCAGCAAAAACTAGGCATTTCTGCACTTATTTTCAGTCCGGTAAAAATTGGATAGGATTTACATATTCATCCCGGGGGAGAGGAAAGCCTATAAGACGACTTAACCATACAGTGAAACACCGCCTCTCGTCTGATTACCATTTCATGTCGGGTATGAGATTAGTTAGTTATTTGTTTTCGGAAGCATGGACTTGATGGTGGAGGAAGCCGCAACTGACCAGTGGTAACGTGAACCATCTTACAGCAGCGAGGAGTCCAGCAATCCTCTCGCACATGACCATCCCGCATTTGTTTCGAACCTGCGAACCCACGCAGAGTAATCAGAGGTGCGGTGGCGAGCGTATTCCTAACGCTTAGAACAGTGGTTCTCAACTGACCGCGTACCACTTTACTATGGCCGCGAACCACTGACAAAGCTCCTTTTTGGGCGTGGGGAAAAAGACACAAGAAACATGCTATGTGCGTATTTTATAATGTGGCACTACATCCTTTGTGGCGTAACACGCAAATCGAACAAAAACATGCCCATATTGCTGGGTTACGTGTTTGAAACCAAAATTTTTATCAAAATCAATCAACCATGTGCCGTTTGCAGATACTGATATTGCTAAGTTTAGCCTTGTCCATCGCAGCATTTGCGAGATTCAATTTCAATTACTGCAACTAAAGTAAAGCTCCGCAGAAGACATAATGACAATTAAGGTAATTAATTCACTATTATTTTCTTGAAACACAACGGAAAACTGACAAATACTGTCAACTGTTACGTGTTGCGTCATTATTGACTTATTGCTGATTGGTTATAGTTACGGAAATAAATAAGGAAACTGATGCTTGGAGAAACATCCATAAACGCTGTTCAGCGAATACATACAGTAAGAAAGATAAAGCATTGCCAGCATATTTTAGCCAACTGATAGGTTAATTGTTGCAATAATTCAAAACTGCTGGCGTACCACTAGTGGTACGCGTACCACAGGTTGAACACCACTGGCTTAGCACAATGAACCACACCGCCGCGCCATAATAAACCACTGAAACGATTTGAAATGAATCCGTACCTGTGTCAACAGTTGGTTTCACATTCTGCAGGGCTTTCCTTCGTTTTTTCTCATCAGTTCGTAACTTCTGTTTTAAGCCTAGAAAAAATAGTGAATAATACAAATTAGTTAATAACTGATAGTCTATCGAATTACATTACAGCACACAAGTTGATCAAAGAGAATTGCACCGATACCTGTATAGTGGTTTACAGGTTTCAATCTTGTAGGAATATTCCTATAAAAAGATAGTTTGGGATGATCACAGGCACGGTTAAGGTTAATCGTATGATAATTGATCATGATAATAGCCGCTAATAAGCAGTCTTATCGACTTTTCTCCCACCCATCAATAACATGAACAGATCAGTTGCCCTGAATAGTTTAAAATCAGTGGTCCCCAAACTAGGGGTAATTACCCCCGAAATTCCAGGGAGTAATCCAGACGTTCACTGTTTTAACAATTTCTAAGTAACTCCGTACTTATAGTCGAAGAGCCTAATCATATAGTGACCACTGTGTTTGCCCGAAAATAAGACCTAGTCGGCATTTTAGAATAGATTTTAAGCTCTCCCCTTAAAATAAGACTTAGTAAAAGCACGAAATCTCTCTTACACGTTTTAAATGATTGATAATCCATGTTTGCAGTTATTTTGAATTAAAACGTGTTATTTATAAAAAAAATGGATATCGGTTTTCATATTCTGTATATTTGAAAATCTAGTATTTCTCTACTTTGCAATTTTGTTTTTGATAAATGAAAATATAAGACATCCCCCGAAAATAAGACCTAGTGTTATTTTTTAGAAGAAAATTGAAATAAGACCCTGTATTATTTTTGAGAAAACATAGTGGTCACGCACGGCGTAGGACACAACGATATTACTACTGTATTTTTTATGAGAGGAGTAATTGAGCTTCTTGTAATTCGATTTAGGGAAAACGATATCAAAAAGTTTGGGAACCACTGGTTTAAATGATAGCAACAGAACTGGCTGTACATTTAAAGTATCATGCACTATAGGCATCCTTATTATTGTGAGACACTGCGTTTCTGAAAGGGTAAGCAAGGCGGTTAATCTAGTACTGGTTTCCTACTTATACGTGACGAGATATCTCCCTTTAGAAAGATCCCATATCCGACATGAACTGGTATCATGCACTATGGGCATCTCTATTATTATTATCGTGAGACACTGCGTTTCTGAAAGAGTAAGCAAGGCGGTTAATCTAGTACTGGTTCCCTACTTATCCGTGACGAGATATCTCCCTTTAGAAAGATCCCATATCCGACATGAACTGGTAACTTGACTACTGTTGTTTGCCATATAAATAATCCATCTTACCCCCTTAACCACGGCATAAATATTAGGATTAGAATTTACATATTTATCTCGGAGGAGAGGAAAGGTGATAGGACAGCTTAACCATATGGCGAACCACGACCTCTCGTCCAGTTACCATTCCATGTCGGGTATAGGATTAGTTAGTTATTTGTTTTCGGAAGCATGGACTTGAGGGCGGAGGAAACCGTAACGATATGTAAATCCTATCCTACACGACATCTTACCAGAGTATGACTTCAATGGATTGCCCAAAGACAGATCTCCAATAGATAGATCATGGAGTAGATGGTCCTGGAATGCACCAGCAGTTAGAGCTGCAGACGAAGGCTGGAAATGTATAGAAAATACGTTTAGGATAGGATTTTTACATTTATTCTGGGGGAAAAGGAATGACGATATGACGGCATAATAATATGGCGACACTCTCATACAGAACCAATGCAGAAAATTTAAGGTCATATTGCCAATGCTTAGCACGATACTCCACACTTACGAGCATGTAGGTTTAGTATTTCTGGCTACATGAGCGATTAAGAATTTCTATATAAACATGGAAATTCCAAAAAAAAAACTGGGACCCTAGGCAGGGTTATCAGTGGTGGCGAGCGTATTCCTAACACTCAGCACGATGTGCCACACCATCGAGTCACAAAATATACCCACTTACCGGGCAATCTCTTCTTTTATTCGACATACCGGTAACTCTTCTGAGAAAGTATCAAATCAGGATCATAAAACTCATTATAATTTCCATAGTAATTTCATTTGATTAGTGTGCAAGAGGCAACTTCATAGCTTATTAATGTTTAATTAAATAAACCTGGCTGAAAATAACAAAGGAACATCGTAAATAATCACAAAAAATTAAATTGACCATAAAAAATGCATCGACTTCAGAGTGTATCACTTTGTAAACTTGATTATCTAATTTCAATTACCGCATACCCTTTCATATAAGCCGGGTTTAAAACTTAAAAAAAAGTTGCTAAATTAGGGGATCGGGGGTCGGCTTATATGTGCGTAACTTTGAGCATACTAAAATTCGGCGTATACGCACACAACTCTGATCGTACTTACACTAAATTACTTTATGCTAAATTAATTCCAACTCGCTACAACTCGAACCACGATAAGAGCGTACGATTCGTAGGGTCGTCTTATGTGTGAATTTTTATAAATTCTGATTTAGGGGGTCGGATTACATGGAGGATATACGGTATGTGGAGATTGTAGAAAAATTACCCATTAGGGAGACACGACACAAGTCACCATTTGTCAAAAACTAAAAGGAACTCAAGTCATCTAAATGAAATCACTCTGATTCGTATTCAGCTAATCACCAGTGAGACTTAATTAATTCGGTGATTGACTTGTCTTGACTTAGGGGGTCGGATTACATGGAGGATATACGGTATGTGGAGATTGTAGAAAAATTACCCATTAGGGAGACACGACACAAGTCACCATTTGTCAAAAACTAAAAGGAACTCAAGTCATCTAAATGAAATCACTCTGATTCGTATTCAGCTAATCGCCAGTGAGACTTAATTAATTCGGTGATTGACTTGTCTTGACTTAGGGTTTGAGAAATCTACCCAGTCCTACTATTGCCAATAGATGGCAAAGGGACACAAGGGATAGTCATAGGGTAGTACAGCAGGGATCACAATAAGATTGCGAACATAAATGTGAGTTTTGTTCTTGAACTTGAACAAACCTACACAAATTCAAAAAATCTTGTCCAATAAATTCAAACCAGGGCATCTTTAAACAAGCAATTATTGAATACAACAAGATGAGATGGGAAACTAATAAATAAACATTGCTAGTTTTCTGCACTTTAGCATCATTCACCAAAAAAAAATGGCACCAATCGGTTCTTTTAAATATTCGAGTCATGACCGTGTGTCTTATAACCGTCCAAGCCCGGCAGTTGGTGTGAATATTTCTTATCGCCACAGAAAACAAAAGTAGTTTATGTTATATTTTTAAGAAATGGACTTTTTTAGTCTTATCATGTCATCATGAACCATCTTTTGGTGTGAGTTTCAAAGCTACACCAGTTTTGTTCCGTTTTTTGGCTTTGCGTTATGTTCATTCTTAGGTTAGGCCATACAGATCTGAAAAGCACAATATTGTGAAATGCGAAAAACCACAAAGAGTGACATGAGCTAATTTGATTTTACAGCAGCGATATGATGGACCGCAGTAAAGTCTCATCTGACCCCTTTCATGAAATAGGCACATAGATTGATTGGCACCATATTATGCATGAATTCAATTTTAAGATCATTCAGAATATCATGACGCTTTTTTAAATTGAGAATAAAAAGCACTTTTTGATTTTGGAACTGGATTTGGTTTCTCAGTGACGTCTCGTGGTTTAGAAGGAACAAATTGCTCAACTGATCTGTATCCTTGAGAATGTGTTCCAGAATTAAAACCTTGGTTTTGTCCAAAACCTCCAGAGGGAACCATAGAGCTATAATTGGTGCCATACCCTCTAGGTGGCGCTGATAAGTTAGATCTTGGGGTTTGTCCGTAACTATAAGATGGCGGAGCTAGAGAGCCAGAATTTTGAACATTGCCAGTCTGTGAATTTGGATAACCTGATTTTGATGAATTTTCATGCTTCGGATTTCCTGTATTTTCAGGCTGATATCTGCCTTGTACACTGGCTCCCTCTGGTGGATTTAAAGAAGGATATTTCTGACTTTCTTTGGTGCCCACGGAGCTAGCGGATTCCTGCGGTCGAGGCACACTATGTCTAACATATATACCCGGTCTCTTTGCTCTCCCAGATAAAGAATCTAGTATTCCTTTCGGAGCTGAATCCGGCTTTGATATGGACCCACTGGCCCCATGGGAATCACTGCTTTCACTCAGTTTCGAAATTATTTCTCCCTCTTTAGTATTATTATTTGCATTCCCAGAATGTGATTCTGTTTTTTCAAGTACAGGTGGTGATGTTTCTTCATGAAATCCGATGCCAACGTGGCGCCGTGATTGGCCGGTTAGTTTATGCGTCAACGATTCATTAAATTGACTTTCAAGTTCAGTTGAAACTTTTAATTCATCTTCGCGTGAACGAACTCGCTCTAGCCATTTGCTCGCTGCTGTCTCATTCTTTCTCTTTTTTCCACCTGTAAAACGAATCATTGTTGACAAACTCAATTGAAGTGAACTCGGATATATGAAATTCACTAAATATTTTGGTCCTTCCAAACGCTATATCCAAATCCCAAGAATTTCCCTCCATTTGGCTCAATAAAACAAACACTCCATGTGTCTCACAAACGAGAGGCGCCTGGGACCACGTCAGATGCGTCATATCACACCATACTTATCTCAATAATAATCTAAGTTAATCGCGGCCGTCACACTCACATGATCAAAATTGCCGTTTTTTGCTAAAAACTCTCGAATGCTACAGTAAAATTGTTGTGCTAGATGTGCTTTTTTGTAGTATTTTGCGCAACTTCGTTATACTGTATTATTACCGATATTGAGGGACAACAATGTCCGGTCGTCTCCCAAAGGAGGGGTGTCTGATCATCTGTAAAATGGGTTTCTCTGAAACGGGACAATGTCACCCGATTCGTATAATGTGCCATACTGTATGGCCTAAAAAACACAAGTAATAAGTTCGAATTAATATTGGAGCAAGCTGTTAATTAATATTGAACTAAAATTCATAAAGACACTGTTGGAACATACTAAAGATTTTGACTTTATTTAGATTTAGAAGCAATCTTACATTTCCGAAGTATCGTACGCTTCCTTACAATCTACCACATTTTTTCAACTCCGTCTATGTTTCGCTAAAAAACGGTATGATTTTGATGTAAGATATTTCTACGCCGTGTTTTTCATACGATGCCATGTGTTATTAAATCATCTGAGGTTCCCCCGTTTTTTTCCAGCGCATTGGCGGGCTCGTTCATATATTTTTTGGGCCAATGTTCACCGTCAACGTCCACTTGCAGTCGATACACAGGTACATTTTGATTAAACCGATATACTGTACTGATTTTTGAGCTTTCTGAACGTTTCTAGTTGTGGGGTCGCGAGTATCTGTAGAGTTTGATTTTATGAAAATTGGACGTCTCCCAAAGGAGGGGTGTCTGATCATCTGTAAAATGAGTTTCTCTGAAACGGGACAATGTCACCCGATTTGTATAGTGTGCCGTACTGTATGGCGTAAAAAACACAAGTAATGAGTTAGAAGTGTAAGTTGGAAAACTACTCACCAAGAAGCCTCAGTAATTTGTTAGTTTTAGTTTCAGACTCCAGAATGCTTCCCCCAGGATCTGCGGTTTGTGATTTAGTATCTGCAGGGAGGCTCCTTTCATCCTGCGGGGAATGAGGACGCTTCTGAGATCTCCGTGCCGTTGAAGATGTCGGTGTTTCAGGAGCTTTTTCCATCTTTGATGCTGATATTTTAGGTTACTTTAGTATTTTAATTTCCTATCAGACTGTTAAATTGATAAAGTAGGTATTAATATAAGAAATAAAAACTACAAACTAAGACTATCAAGTCCACACAGCTGAAACAAATTAATGGTTAACCATTGTCATGCAGGGCGTAGCATAACGATTATATTAATATAATATTTCTAACCCCCATCTGACTACGTCACCAAAAAATTACGTCAATTGGACGTCACGGTGATCCCCAGTTGGCCAGTTCTGCCCTAAATCTGTAAATCTTATCCTAAAGTTTTCGCTTGAACACTACATTCTGCAAGCCAAAAAGGCAGGAGAGCAATGCTCTTGTATGGACAAGAAGGTCGAATGTCAAACCACAGTTCCGAGTTCCGACGAAGTGAAACAGCAAAATTTTGGGTGAATCAACGAACAAAAACACCATGACTGGGGGTAGATCGCAGTGTTGCCAGATCCCAGCGACCAAAAAAAAAGCCAAATCAAGACATAAAAAAGCGAACAATTTTACTAAGAACAAAAGCCCCATGATTTGTCAGATTTGAAGCCCTGGCACTGTAGTGCAGTGGTTCCCAAATTGTGGGTCGCGAACCCGGATGGGGTCGAATGGAGATTTCCCGGGATCGCCTAATTTCTTTCAAACATGCGCACACAAGTGACTAAGATTTAAAAGTTGGAGAGTGAAATTTGGACTGGTCAGCAGGTACCGTACCGTAAAAAAGCCTAACTTCGAATTTTTCAGCAATAACTCGACCATTTATGCCCAAACGGCGCCAAAATTGCTCGGTAAAACTTTCATGTGGCACCTTTACAGCTGGTCGGCAGGTACCTGACCTGTGTCAGTTAATGTAATTGAGTGACAGTGGTACGAACGCCAATAATATATTTCTTTTGATAGCTTTTTGATCATGTTACATCCGGAATGAGTGGATGACAAGCTAGTACGCGGATCGGATTTTTCGCCCGGCTGCGAGATTATGTTTTTATGTTGGTTTGTTATTTTGTACCTGTGTATCCTCTTGGTTATCGAATATACAAAGCAAAGTTACTTTATTTGGCGATTGGCTTTCAATCAGGTGTTTGACAAGCATAGCATTGATCGCCGGGCGGTGTCTTGGCCGAGTAATTACACTTCAGGTTTTGCGCACGTGGGTAAAATCTACGAGTAGGCTACGTGTTTCGTCCACATCGCCTTCACATAAAAGCGAACATTTGTTTATTGCATTGTTACGTATTTAGACGTTTCATACATAATTTCGGAACGTTCCGAGCAGTCAAACACAAAACCACAATCAGTTCTAGCATAATAAAAGGCACCTAATCAAAAAATGTGATTCCGTGGACGTTTTTCCCTATTTTACTTTCATGCTCTGTTTTACTTTCGAATTAATATTGGAGCAAACTGTAATATGTTAATTAATATTGAACTAAAATTCATAAAGACACTGTTAGAACATACTAAATAAGATTTTGACTTTATTTAGATTTAGAAACAATCTTACTATTTCCGAAGTATCGTACGCTTCCTTACAATCTACCACATTTTATCAAATCCGTCTATGTTTCGCCAAAAAACGTTATAGTTTTGTTCTAAGATATTTTCACACCATGTTTTTCATACGATGCCATGTGTTATTAAATCATCTGAGGTTCCCCCGTTTTCTTCCGGCGCATTGCCGGGCTCGTTCATATATTTTTTGGGCCAATGTTCACCGCCAACGTCCACTTGCAGTCGATATACAGGTACATTTTGATTAAACTGATATACTGTAGTGATTTTTGAGCTTGCTGAATGTTTCTAGTTGTGGGGTCGCGAGTATCTGTAGAGTTTGATTTTATGAAAATTGGGGTCGCGAGAAAAAAGTTTGGAAACCAATGCTGTAGTGGATTTGCACAGTTTTGAATATGCTGATGTATCGCCAAACACGCATTGTCGGGCCGAGATATCGGCTGAGCTCTAACCCTTTATATATATATATATAAAGCCTTCAGTTATTTTAAAATCAATTCTCGAGAATTACCGTTGTATTTTCCACATTTCGCGATTAATGTCGATTCAAATTATATTGACATACGTACATGCCACCTCCAGATGAAAAACAATGTATTATTGCAGAATCACATGTGGAATTTGCTGGACAACCCTTAGCTATTGTTTTAGCTGGTAAGTTGGTTCTTAAAGATCACAACCTTTTTTTATTAACCACGATGATTCGTAAGTTCAGAGAGGTGAACTAAGGATGAAAGAAATATTCGTTTGTTACTCTTTTTTTATTACAAATGTTTGCTCAAAGCAAGGCCACGTGGAATCGCTCAGAAGCAGAGGGTACAGATCTTTAAATGACTTTAGTCATACTAAAGTACAAAAAGTCATGATACAATTATAGAGGCTTATAATTACTCAGTAGCGTATTCTGTTTGACGTGAGACGTGCAACAGTTCAAGTCATCTCGATCAGGAAAACAAGTATGGATGGCGATTAAAGAGCACTTAGCAGCCATATGAACGTCCAAATACATGCACGTACATTGTAGAGAAATCTATATTCGACCAGCAATTACATGAACCACACAAACAGCAAAGTTTAGTGACAATCAACTTGCTAACTATTTTATTCGATTCAAGAGTCTTGCTGCACACTAGACTTCTCCCCAGTCAGACGAAACGTTACAGAAATACAGCAAGACTCTTGAATCAAACAGCATAGTCATCTTTATTCTTGCCATAGCATCCTTGTGTTACACGCATACGGATCCACTTCAACAAAGGCATAGAGCAAGGAAGAGTATTAGGTCATACGTAACCCCAACAGATAGTAGCTATTTTGTCTTGTGTAAATTTTAATACAATTTACATTATCCATTCAATTATATTCAGATACGCAAGACCACGCTGAAGCGATTTCAAGATCAGTTGTTGTTACTTATAAAAACAGAAAACCAGCAGTGTATGAGATTTCAGAGGCAATTGAGAAAGAAATGTTTTATGATTCTCCGGATAGTGTTGTTATTGAAGATGCTCCAACTGCAATAAAAAATGCTTCACGGAAGGTTTGCATATCTGATTATTTTGTTTTGTTGTGTGTAATGCAGTGGCATACCTGGGGTGCGGCAGCCATGGGCGCCGTTTGCACACAACAATAATTTTAAATAAGGAAAAATTGAAACGTTTTTTTTTATTCAAAACATAACGTAGAAGTATTTCATTTCAACAAAAGCTGTTAACATAAATTGTCAACCAACGATCAAGGGGACGCATTTTCAAGCTTAGCCATGGTCACCATTTTACGTATAGATACGCCACTGGTGTAACAACATTCAAAGTCATTAATTGATTGGCATTTTGGAGGTCACCATGATGGCGACAAAAATGAAACAATGTCCAAGTGTGAGCAATAATCAAATAATATATGTACATGGCTTTGTAACTCACCGTTTTCTGAAAAATCAGCGGACAAATGTAAAAGACGAGAGTGTCCTTATATTTCATTAAAAAGCGTTACCATGCGTTTCAATAAAACCGTATCATTTTTGGTGAAATATCTGTTGAAAAAAGTAACAGCCTCCGATAGTTTTCAAAATTTTTAAGTCTCGCCCCTTTTTAGAACTTGTCAAGTCTCGCGCTTCACCTTTAACAAAACTAGCTAACAATGAGTTACAAATAACAGATGTTTTATTCAAAACACGTTGAAAATACGTGGATGGAACGTAAATAATGAAATAAATGAAAAGTTTTGAATTGTAAATATCCAAAATAAGCCGGGCAAGATCAAATCTAACAAATATTTTCATTTTTAGCTTCAGCCCCCCTCAAAAAACTGTCTACATCCCCAGGGGCGGATTATGCCTCTTTGGTGCCCTAAGCACTGAAGACTTTGGTGCCCCCTCATGTGTAATTTAATTATAAAAACCACATAAGTGTTATTCATTAAAAATAATCACAACCAACAGTAAATAGAACAACCTTTACGAACATTTTTAGGTTTTTTAACTGTTATATATATCCGATATATATTTTGGCCTTTTACTGCCGATATGATATATTGGCAAACACGCAATATCGAGCCGATATATCGGTTGAGCTCTAATCCTGAGGGATGTGATAATAAAGATTCATGTTTCCAGTCTCAACGTGAATCGAAATATCAAGGAATACAAGTCACTACTGATGTTTGAAAGTTTACCGGTACCTAGTAGTCCTCACGGCGATTCAAGGTTGCAAGGTTGGAGGACCGCAAAAACTTTTGAGGAGGTCTCGCGGGCCGCAAGTCGGGGAAACCCAGAAGTGATTGAAATATCGCGAGTTTACTTACCTTCAATTTAATAAACAACGAGAGTTTACCGTTCTAATCAGACTATTATTATGTTGCATGGATGGCGCTCTCTCAAAAATATATATATATAAAGCCCTCAGTTATTTTAAAATTAATTCCAGAGAATTACCGTTGTATTTTCCGCATCTCGCGTTTAATGTCGCTTCAAATTATATTCTTTCGTGACAGATATTACTTGAAATCAAACCAGACACTGTGTCATGGGCAAGGAAATACGTTTCCGCCGTGTTTTCCTTTTGTCACCTTTCTTGTGACACTCATTTTATTACGAATTGTTATGTTTGAGTAATATAAAAACTTGCAGCGTGAGCAAGCTTAGTGCCATCGTCAAATAACAACCAAGTCCGTCTAAGTTGCGGCTCGGCGGTGTGGCGCATCGTGCTAAGCGTTAGGAATACGCTCGCCACCGCAACTCTGATTACCCTTCGTGGGACTCCTCGCCGCCGTAGGGTGGTTCACGTAACCGCTGGTCGGTTACGGCATCCTCCGCCATCAAGTCCATGCTTCCGAAAACAAATAACTGGCTAACTAATTCCATACACCATCTGGACTGGTAACCGGGCGAGAGGCCGTGGTTCGTCATATAATTAAGCCGTCTTATCGGCTTTCCTCTCCCGGGGGATAAACATAAAAATCCCATCCTATCCCAAGTTGGTATTTCGGGACCTAGCTAAAAAAAAACTGGATTGCGCGGCGTTAAGTCGGCTCTGCGTTTTGGAATAGCTGAAAAGGGACATACTAGGAGAAAATTTTTTTTAAGAAAACGACTCACAGGCTCAATGTTTATCTTTAATAAAGAAGGTTAATATGATACGTGAAGAAGAAAAATAAGCGAACATTTTTAAAGTTTTAGTCGTCAGGTGAACTCGTAATATTTTAATAAACACCGATAAACTATATAAAATTCTGCTCTAAAATTTCTGTGGTGCCCTAAGAACGTGCTTGCATTGTTTAATGGTTAATCCGGCGCTGCGTTGCTCCCATACCCAATCGGAGTCATCTTATAGGCTTTAGCTTCCCCCACATAAAAAAAAATCATACAAGCTTAAATAGGAAGCATATATTTCACACATTTACTAGGCAAAGGCACAGTTCTAAACACACGAAAGCTTGAAACTACTAAATTAAAGAAATCAATGCAAAGTACAAATCCTCAATCATTCTCAAACTTTGGTGTTACGAAGCCGGTGAAGGGGTGACTATTAGTTACAAAGCCCCACAATAAATTTATAAAAATTATCGGTGCTCCCGAAGTATGCGAACCAAGATGGCGGACATCCGAACGTAACATGGGTAACAGGTTAGGGTTAGGCAATAATTTTTTTCCAATTTCCCTTATTTTAGTCCTATTATCAGTTCGAAGACTAGCCAAGAGTAGTATTTATACCTAAAATTATGGCCTAACCCTAACCTAGTACACATATTACATTCCGATGTCCGCCACCTTGGTTCGCATACTTCGGGAGCCCCAAATTATCTATTGGAACTTACAGATAATGTTATATTTGAATTCCCGCCTTGTTGCCACAATTCAACGCTATAGTTGTCAAATTATATTATTGCCGTTATTGCTTTATTGGACAGTTACAAAATTAGCCAAGTCGGTATTTTAATAAGAAAATGATTTGCTCACTGAACCCCTAGGTTTCTATCTCGTACTCTAATAACCTTACCTCTAGTCTAAACTAAATCATGCAAGGAATGATTAAAAATTAACTTAGCAAACGTGAGCTGATATGAATAGAATCAAAGAAACTGATCAGAAAATGAGATATGAAACAATAACAGGGGGCAGAGGCGTAGCCAGGGATGGGGGAGGGTCGTAACTACATCCCCCCCCCCCAGCAGAGCAGCTGAAGGGTCATGGCTTGACAAAGTGTTTTCACTTTGTTGAGCATGAATTGGGTGCTCCCGAAGTATGCGAACCAAGATGGCGGACATCGGAACGTAACATGGGTAACAGGTTAGGGTTAGGCGATAATTTTTTTCCAATTTTCCTTATTTTAGTCCTATTATCAGTTCGAAGACTAGCCAATAGCCTCCCGTAGTATTTATACCTAAAATTATGGCCTAACCCTAACCTAGTACACATATTACATTCCGATGTCCGCCATCTTGGTTCGCATACTTGGAGCCCCATGAATTGTTTAAATATAATGAAATTCGGAATCTACCAGTCAAAATAACACTATAAATACTACTGGAATGATAAACAGGGGCCATGAGTGCTAAAATCCTCCAGCCACACCAACTCACCAACATTGCAAAAGACAAAAACATAATTAAGACACAAAAATGCTAAAACAACTAAGAGGAATTAAAGTGAAACAATAAAACACTTGCTACTTTAAAAATTACTTTGGTAACATCTACTAACATGCTCAATGTATTTTAGTAGAAGCGATTTTATCACAGGAAATTATCACAGAAAGTCTGCTATTATATTATAAATAGACTCACCATATCAATGAAATAAAATACCGGTACACTTGGACCGGGTTCGAATCAGAGTTTTAGTATTACTCGGAAAGCACAAATGGGTAAAAATTAGGGACTCCCGAAGTATGTGTATCAGATTAGGTTTAGGCCATAATTTTATTCAGATTTCATTGACTGTCTGTGTTAGCCAAGTGAATATACCCCCTGCCCATAGGTTTCAGTCCCTTCACACAACTTGATGTAAAGCAGGCAAATAAAATTAGTTACCTCCATATTGGTACACATACTTATGGAGCGCTAAAAATCACTTATACGTAATAGAAATTACTCATGCTGAGAAGTGTTTTTGTAAACCAGGGATGTTGACAAAGCATGATGTCTCAAAATGAGTAAGTGTGCTGAAGCAAACATATGCAACTTCTATTTTATTGGCGGTATTCTATACACAAAGATATCTATCCTAAATATACAGGGTGTCCATAATGTCCATTTACAATTTCAATTTTGTTATGAAGTCAGTTCTCAATATATCTTAACCAGATTTGTTTTTTAATCAGTAATTGTTCAAGTATTTTCACTTCATTTAATACATCTGAGGTTCAAAATATATGGTATCGATAAAATCCCTTTGCAATTTTGAAAGATTTCAAGATTTAATGGACACACACAGTTAGTACAGAGTGTATATTCGGATTATATTTGTCATGATTTCAATACTAAAACACCTATTCAGGTACAATGTTATTCAGAAAAAAAATGACTTTGGTGCTCCCGAAGTATGCGAACCAAGATGGCGGACATCGGAACGTAACATGGGTAACAGGTTATGGGCCTTATTTTAGTCCTATTATCAGTTCGAAGACTAGCCAAGAGCCTCCCGTATTATTTATACCTAAAATTATGGCCTAACTCTAACTTAGTACACATATTACATTCCGATGTCCGCCATCTTGGTTCGCATACTTTGGGAGCCCCATGACTTTTCCCCTGTTCCTTTTTAAAAAACGAAGAAAAACCAAAAAAATGCAGATTATATATAAAGGTAGAATGCTGAATTTTTGATCAATCTTAATAAATTTCTAAATTTCCTCTCCCCATAAGAACACTGAATTTTCACAATAACAGGAGAAATTTGAGGTATTAGTTGGAATGCGAGGTCACGTCGCCTAAGTTTTGTTCCCTAATAATGAAGTAAAAAAATTAGGAATTTTTGTGATTGGTTGTGTGTCATTATTTAAATAATTATGGTCCCTCCACAAAACCTTACAGGGTGTCCAAGAAATTGCGCCCGATTTGATAGTGATAACAATTGAAAATTTCCTTGTCCTTGTATATTAATAGTTCCTATTGTGCTTGGAATTCTCATCTATCATACAATAAAATTCGGGGGCTCCCGAAGTATGCGAACCAAGATGGCGGACATCGGAATGTAATATGTGTACTAGGTTAGGGTTAGGCCATAATTTTAGGTATAAATACTACGGGAGGCTCTTGGCTAGTCTTCGAACTGATAATAGGACTAAAATTGGAAAAAAAATTATCGCCTAACCCTAACCTGTTACCCATGTTACGTTCCGATGTCCGCCATCTTGGTTCGCATACTTCGGGAGCACCAAAATTCATTTGATTTTACAATTGCTATAGGATCGAATGAAATTCGTTGGACACCCATCATTCACTTGCCGCTCGAAGCGAAGACCACCAATCATAGTGTAACAAGTTTTTCCAAGTTCTTCACAAAGTAATTCACCGACTTGATTCAAACTAGGCCCTGGCCTACTTCACACAGGGTCTTTGCGGTGAGCAGATGGTAAAATTAGAAATTTTATAAACATTTTGGCATGCAGAATTCTGAGTATATTACTTATATATGAACATTTCAAATTGACATGAAAAAAAAAATTTTTTCGCTACATTTTACCTCTGGAATATTTTTGACACTATAAAAAATATTTGGTTCATAGCGAAGATTACAAAATATTTTATATTTGGGAAAATTTATAAAAATTCTAATCTTAAAAAATTTTACTGTTATATATTTTTCTGAATATTCATATTTCCCACACAATCAAGATTACTTACAAGATTACTAAATTACATCATAACACAAAAACATGACGTCAGAAAATGTGGCCTCAAGGTAGGCTACCATTTGATCGCACGAAAAATAACATGTCCTAACATCTCTAAATTCTATCTACAACGATGAACCAGTCTATCCAGTCTACCTTTGAAGCAGGGGCGGACACCCGGGGGGGCGAGGGGGGGCGGTCGCCCCCCCCAATAATTTCGCAAAAAAATTTAATACATGTTGTTTCCGCCCTACAAAATTATCATTTCCGAAGCGATAGTCAAGCGCCATTAAACGGTTAATAGTTACCGATATTATAACTGTTTTCTTAC